ACAGTGAGAGAAACCCAAAGGCGAAGAGAGAGAGAGTGCATGTTTCCGAAGTTGCTCGTGCCTTGGTGGCAACAACTTCGGTTGTTGCCGTTAGAATGGCCCAGCATACAGTGGGTGAAATGGGTTCATTAGCGAAAGAAAAGTATTCTTAAACAACATGTATTTGAATTATTGTAATAATTTGTACTCGGTTAGGGAAACTTTTTATGTTCTTGGAAGAAACGGTCCCATCTCCCGTGACGTGAATTATTTTACCTCTCTCTGCCAGTATGTATACAATCATTAAAATAATAAATTATGCCCGTCAAGAAAAATCAGTTTTACTAGGACAAGATTCGTTTATTTACATGAGCATGTAATAATGATATACAAATTTCCTCATTTGTATCCGTTGGATACTCTGCCGAACCCATTGTGCAGCGAGCCCTTTTTATATACAGGGAATTTCTCAGAAAAAGAGAGAGAGAGAGCGAAAGAGAGAAATCCTGTTTGCTCTCTTGAAAATTCTTCGGTTGGTTTTCCCGTTGTTTCCCTTCGCAAGAAGCCAGGTTTTTCGGATTCTATAAATTTATATTCTCTCCATATTCTGTTCAACGTTGAAACGCGACGGACGCGCCTGAAAGCGGACAGCGAAATTGCAGTTAAAAGCAGTACGATACGGATCGGGGAATTTCTTCTGCTGCCGCCTCTTTTTGGATATATGGATATTTATGCTTCGCGTGCCCGTAACCGTCGGTGTGTGCCCGTGTTTGTGTATGTGCGATAGTGCGGCAGTGTCTGTGCGGATAATTAAACCAGCAGCAGCATAGAAGTCGGCAGAGTCCGAACTCAAAATGCTTCAAGACCGAGATTAAAGTTGAAGGTCGGTCGGTGTTTATGTGTGGAAAATCGGAGAGGAAAGGAACGAAAAAAGGAACGCCGCGCTTTGGATACACGGATAACGTTAAATGTTAGTATACCAACCCAACGGAAGCCTGAAGCCGCTGAGCCAAGAATACGTATACGTTGAGCCAGCAAAATAAAAGTAATCGAGCAGAAGTCGCGTGCAGTGGCTCCCTCTGCTCTGCGGCTCTGCTGCTGCGCATGTTTCTCGGCCGGGCGCCTCTGCCGCCGCTCTGCCCTGCATTTTTAGTTTCGCTCCAACTATTACAGCATGCTTTACATTCCGTTTACATCACGTGTTAAATAACTGCTGGCTGTCACTGTTCGCGGCTTGTATGTGTCTGTGCACATACATATAAACGTACATATTTTGTTGTTGTTGTTATTTGCCCAAGCAAATATGCAATGATTTTTTTGCCCCTTCTCTTTTCATTCATGCCTTGCAAATGAAGCGTAAGTGTTTGTGTGTTCGTGTGTGGGTGGTGTTGGGTGGCGGCGGATAAAGCACCCATACTCACAGACACACACAAAAGGCAACTCCTGGCGGCGGAAGTGGAAGTTGCCTTCAGTATGTGCCAGTGCCAGTGTGTGTACGCGTATCTAATGGGATTTTCTAATAAAATTTAAATTGTTGCCATTTTTGCTGCTGGGCGGCGTTCTATGAATTTAATATGACCCCAGTGTGCGAGTGGGCGTGTGTGTGAGTTTGTGTGTGAATAGGGGCCATAAAGCTTTGCTTATGGCTGGAAAATTAAATAGAGTGCATAATTCAGGCAACAACTTTGCGTTGAATGCATAATGAACTGCTGCAATTGAAAGGAAACATCCACCAAAATGCCCAAGGAAACACTTTAAATTTCACAAGGAAGCTCTACAAATTTTTATCGAATTTGCAGTTGACGCGTTGTCCTGCTTTTAATTGTAAAAATTTCATTTGGATCATAAAAATAAACTAAAACTGGATATCACCATAAATTTTTAGTGCATGCATGTTATTAGCTTATAAATGGTTTTGTAATTGTGTTTAATAATATAAAAGTAATAATAATGAAAACGTGATTGAAAAACGCCGTCGGCTAGCAGAAAATAATATGTGATATCCTGCAGAAGATTTAATAATAATAATAATCATGAATAACAAGAATTTAAATAATAAATTTTTTACTAAAAAAAATAAAAAAATAAAAATATATATATATATATATACCCAAACTATTCCCTTTCAATTCAACATATTATAGTATTTTTATTTCATTTCATTTTGCTAAGGAGATTTTAACACCAAAGTATAAAAGTCAGTTAAATTTAATACTACCAAAGTACTTGTTAGGTTTTTATACTTACCCGGCTATGGTCAATTTTTCTTAGAGTCGGAATCAGCGAGCCGAAAAACATAGCTTTATGGTGATTTTCTAAGTGGAAATGACCAGAACCACTTGGATTCAAACGGATCCCGGATTTCATACCGTATAACACCCGGGTCCCCATTTATTTATTTTTCAAGTGTAATTTTTAAATTGTTTGGTTCCGACGGTATTATTTTAAAGTTATCTTTTACAACAATCAAATCAAGTGGATGTTTTTATAATTTACCAATTTCTAGTTCTGAGATATGTATTCTTTACGGTATAAAATGACATTTTTAGTTAAAGTTTCAATAGTCTTGCACCTTGTATTAAATTATTTAAATTCAACTCAATACAATTCGTGATATATTAAGGGAACTATATAAGGTTATTCGGCAGTAAAGATCTTTTTCGAAAATTACTAAATGCAAATGTAAATACATATCCAAAAGCAAGAACTTCTTTGAATAACTATGTTTTGGACAACCGGAGTGCAGTCAGGCAGATGGACGTACATATGTATCTCCTATCCGCCGTAATAGGCTTATCGCATAAAAACGTAATCTGTGGGATCTCCGAAGAAGACAAACATAAAATATAAAGTGTTTCCATTTTATATGTTCGTTTTATTTTCTTTCGTTTCGTTTCTTTTATTTTCCCCAGCCGAGTGATATGCGTGTGTGTTTTGAAGGTCTGTAATTTCAGTAGGTAGAACGGTTCAGCCCGAAAACCAGGCACATAATATGGTTTTTGAGTCTGGAACCCAGGCTTAGACATGATGTTCGCATTTAACGATCCGTTTAGTGAGCGATGTCAGGTGGAATGCCAATCCCAGCCATAATAGAAATATATACATATTTGTGTACATATGTATGTCTGTATGTGTATATAGTTATGTAAAATATTTAATACTGCCGCCCTAAAAATTCTTATTCATACCAATTTTCTTGTTATATTATGTGAACATATATATGTAGATGTACATATGTATGTATGTAATTTACTTGCCAGGGGGGTTATAATTTAAGTGAGAACCTTCAAATCATATACTTGATCAGCATCAACAGCCATTTTAGGCAGAAAAATATGTATTAATTTCTTAAACATTGATAAGGAGTATATTAAATAAAAAAATTAGGAAAATTAAATTTTTTATAATGTTTAATTCAGTAGACAGATTTATTATCCTTATTAAATTTAACATAAAAACTTTCCGAATGCCTTTTTGGCAGTTTTTGGTTTTTAAGACATTGATTTTTCGAAAAAAATGTTCATATCAATCATAATCGATTAGAACATAATCGAAATTAGAACATACTATTAAGCATAGTTATGATCGATTTCATATACGATACTATAAATCAATTGCCAATTGCAAGAGTATATAAACATCGGATTCCCGAAGTAAGTTACCGTTCATGTTCAATTACAAAATTTTGTATTACATCTTTATCAGTTTGTAAAAACAAATAAAAATAAAATGTAGCGGGAATGGTTTTTTTTTTGTTTACTTATTTAACTATATTAACGGATAAATTTCACAACAGATTAAGAATCGAATTAAAAGCTTTTGAATTGTCGCTACAAAAATACCCCTTTTTGCGAACGGAGGATATTTTTGTAGTCTTACAAATATGTATATATATGTACATGCATACATACGGACAGTCCGTTCATCCCGTTCGTTTACCCATCTCGCTCTCCTGTGGAGTGTGTGTATGCTATGTGTGTGTGTACACCAGCACGCAAACACACAAGCGCGACTTGGCCTGCTACCTGAAACTGAAATTTTCCCGTATTAGATTGCGCCCCTTTTCTGCTGCTTCTCCTCTTCTACTTCTTCCCACTGTTGTTGTTGTTGCTGTTCTTATGTTGCACGCGGACAGACAATCAGAACGAACGAGGAAGATAGAATGGAAGAGAAGCATTTTTTGTTTACTTTATGCTTTCGTTTATCGACCCCCGTTTTGTGTGTGTTTGTGTGCTACATATGCGAGGTGCTCTCTCCTTTGTGCGTCCTCCTCTCTTTTGCACTCGCCCATTGCTATTCGTTCTCTGCAGCATAATTTTCCGTTCTTTTATTAAACGTTTCTCTCGGGTCTTGTTCTGTAAATATTGTATATATTTATTAAGTTTTATGATATATTAAGGGGTTAATTAATTGTTTTAGGTAACTTTATTAATTGATAACTTTGGTAATTTGATTATCATAACGAAAGGATGTACACAGATGCTTTTAAGCATTTTTATTCGGCCACACTGTTATTTCCCGCGCTCTTTTCTTAATCGATAACAGTGAGAAAATCTTGCATTGACGGTCAGCAGCGCTGTTAACAGCAGCAGCAGTGGGTTATCGATAGGCGTTGGCGGCTTCCCAACACTGCAAGGCAAATAAACAACCGAAGAAAGAGAATAACAGAAGAAAAAACAAGCAAAGCGTGTAAAAAAAGACCAAAGGCATACATATATAAACACAAACAAAATCGAGGTGTGGAGGCCATGTAATTGACGAATTAATGAATTAAAATTAGCAACCTTGCGTTCCCCGACAAGCAATGCACTTTGCTTCGGTTTCCTAGCTTTCCTCGATCCGTTTCCAAGAAGGTGTGGCTGAATCGGAGGCATGTCGGGATCTAGGAGCAACTATAACCGTTGGGCAAGGCCCTTGCTAGCGTGCAAACCCTTTGAAATGAGCTGATTCGTCGCTTGATGATTGCAATGTCAATGTGATAAGAGAATCGTACTTATGGATTATTTTCCTCCTTCTTTCAGCGGCGTTGCCACCTCGCTGAGCTGCGCGGACTCCAGCACGGGCTCCAGTGAGGATGCGTCCGATCCCGGCTCCCCGTATAGCGCGCACTCGCAACTGAGCGACCCGCCCGATCCGCTGACCAAGATGCCACCCCAAATCATCGGTAGCAACTCCAGCGGCAGTAGCTCCGCCGGCGGCGGTACCGCCGCGTCCTCATCCCCGCCATCCGGCGCTGCCAGCCAGGCTCCGTCGCCAGCCATTCACAGCCACAGTCACCTTGGGCCCGGCCACAGCCACAATGGCGCCGGAAACAGCGCCTCCAAGACGACGACACCCCTGCGCCACACTAATCCCAGCAACGCCAGCCTACTGCCAACTCTTCAGTGGCCGTGGAATACCAGCCTGGGCAGCACATCCACCGCCGTGCCGGCCGCCACAGCCAACAAGAATAAGCGTGCGGCTGGAGGAGCAGGAGCAGGTGCGGGGATGAGCTTGGGTTTGGGCAACGCTGGTGGCGACAACGGACCTCACGCGGGGAGCGGAGCGGCGGCGGCCAAGAAAGCGCGCAATGAACTGCCTGGCGGCTCGGACGCTAGCAAAAGACTGAAGGCAGCCGCTCTGGAGGAGTCGCAAACAAAGATCACCGGCTTCTTCAAATCGCAGATGAAGCCCTCGCCGGGTGGAGGCAAGCTGTCGCCACAGCCCGGCAGCCAACAAAGCAATCCTGCAAACACACTCACCATGAGCACGCCCGCCACTACAGCCTCTCTGAACAAGTACTTCAACATCCTCTCGCAGTTGAAGGAGCAAAAGGCGCAACAGCAGGCGGCAAAGGCGGCGGGCACTCCGACTTCCACAGCCGTTCCAACTGCTACTCCTGTCGCTCCCGCCATTACGGTCGCTCCTGTTGCTCCGCCGGTGCCGACTGCCACTCCCAGTCCCAGTCTGCCCGTACCGGCGCTAAAGAAGATCGAGCGCAGCACCAAGCAGCCAGCCAAGATAGCCCAGGTAGCTCCTAATCTGCGAAAGACGCCCAGCAGCGGTTCCTCCGGCAGCTCATCATCCTCATCGTCCAGCTCTTCAAATGGCTCGAGCAATGGGAAATCGCCGGCTAAGAAGCACGTTGCCATTGCCCCAAGGACGCCAGAGATGAAGCAGCAACAGCATCAGAGCAAGGCGGCTATGGTCTACCGACCGCCGGGAACTGGCACCGCCCTGAAGCAGAAACCGATCTCACCGCCCGCCCCCGTGGTAGCCACCGCCCTCGCCCCCGTTCAAGCGCCAACACCCACGCCCGCCCCCGCCAATCCTACGCTCTACCAATTGCCGGTACAGCTGCCCAACCTAGTCCAGCTGCCGCCTCAGCTGGCGGCCGCAGCCAATATCATGCAGCTGAACAACGTGGCAAAGGCGGCGGTGGCAGCTGCGGCCAACAACAATGCGGCCGCTCAGGCAGCGCAGGCGGCACAGGCGGCCGCTGCCCAGTATTTCCTCAACGGCACCGTCTTCAAGCTGCAACAGGTCACAACTGCCACTACGACGACGGCCACCACGGCCACAGCCGCCGCCGCTACGGCTGGTAACTTTGGGCTGCTCAGCGCCAACGAACTGCAAGAATTCCTGATAAAGCAGCAGCACCAGCAGCAGCAATTGCAACTGCAGCAACAGCAACAGCAGGCTGCCGTTGCGGCGGCAGCTAAGGCGCCGGGAAATGCACAAAACTTCCAGGAGCTGTTTCAGCAGCAGATGGCCGCGCTTGCCGCCCAGCAGCAGCAGCAACAACAACAACAGGTGATGACCCAGCAGCAGCAGCAGTTGCAGCGCCTAGTTCAGGGAGGAGCAGCCGCCGCTGCTGCCCAGCCAGTTTTTATGGCCACGCCAGCGGGACTGCTCCTGAATGCTGCCACCCTGCCGGCAATGTTGGCTGCTGCCTTTGCAGCCAACAGTCAGCAGCAGCAGCAGCAACAGCAACAACAACAGCAGCAGCAGAAGGTGGCCGCTTCCTTAGCAATGCATCAGCAGCAGCAACAAACACTACCCGCTTTGCAGCCAATTCCAGCCCTGAGCTCCATCTTTGAGCCATCGACGGAACAGCAGCAGCAACAGTTGCAAATGCAGCAGCAACAATTGGCCCAGCTGCTGATGTCCCATCAACAGCAAACGCAACAGCAACAGCAACAAATCATCACTGCCACGCAGCCGCCGCCATTGGCTGCCGCGAACAACAACAATACGAACACTGCCAACAACTCTACTGCCAGCAACAGTAACAACAACCAAAATGCCTCGAATAATTTAAGCAACATCAGCACCACTGCCATACAGCAACAGCCACTGCCACAGGCGCCAGCACAGCGAACGAATGTGAAGCCGCCTATGCACAGCTCCACGCAGCCGCCGCCTCTGGTGACCATATCGTCTCTGCCCACTGGTTCTTCGACTGTCACATCCGCGCCAGCTCCCAAGCGGGCGCTGCCAGCCGCCAAGCCTTATCAAAAGCGACTGGCTACCAAGGGAAGCGGCAAGTTTCAGGCTGGCGTTGGTACAGCGCCTATCATTGCCACACCCACCACGCCACCGCCACTTGTGCCGACCTCGGCCACCAAGGAGCTGGGTCAGTTGCGCAAGAGTACGGGAACCGCGGGAACAGCCACATGCACAGGAGCCAAAGAACCAACGCCCACGCCGCCCCTGGTGAGCATCGCGCCCTCAAAGCTGACGCCTACGCTGAGCATTGCAAAGCAAGGGGCCACTATGAAGCTGGCCAATAGCTCACCCGATCTCTTCGACCTGGTCAAAAACTCGAACGGTGCCATCAGTCTGGTGGCCAAGGCCGCTCAGCCGCTTACACCGCTACCCTTCAGCTCGCCGAGCAGCAGCAGCAATGGCAGCCACTGCCTTCGTTCCTCGCCGGCGCTGTCGAGCTCCAACTCGTGCACCCTTTCCGCCTTCAGTAAGATAAAGGCGGAACCATCGGAGCTTGCATCTCAGTCCAGCTCGGTCCCGTCTTCGACAATGTTCCCCATCTCACCGAAGCCCCAGAGCTTTGCCGGGCAGCTGCCCAAGAGGGATCAGGATCAGGATCTGGAGTCGGATGCGGATGCGAACGCCGAGGCATTGAAGCACGAACTTCTGCCTGACTGCAGCAACAGCAACTCAAACTCGAATTCGTGCAGCAGCAACTCCAGCTACTCGCACTCGGTCAGCTCGGCGGCCGATCTCTCGTTGGAGGCATCTACGCCGGCGCACTCACCATCCCCATCATCCTCGCCGTCGTCTGCATCACCTTCCGGGTTGGGCTCCCCCTCCCCGGCGGTAAGCAACATGAGCGGTAGCAGCCGGAGGGCGGCCAGTCAGACTGACATGCTCAGCGAACTGGTTACCTCGTCGTGCATCTCGAGCGGCGGCGATGACTGCTCGCAGGCCACCGACTCGCCTCCACCGCCGTCTCTTCCTCTGCCTGATTCAATGGGCAAGAACCCAGCAGTGCCAAGGCCGAGCGGAGGAAGCAGTAGTAGCAGTAGCAACTACGATGAGGAAGATGATAAATCGGTGGTCTCGCTGGAGACTCAACAGACACACAAGCGGCTTAGGGACCTGCCGACGCCGGAGTCTGGGATCGGAGGAAGCCTGAGCAATAGCGAGAGCAGTAACTCGATAGCAGATGCGATGTAAGTATAGTTTCCGCAAGACCCCAAACGAACGAACTAATCCTCAATCATAATCCTTTCAGCTCATCGAAATCAGCCTCTGTGGGTCCACCGACTACTGCAGCCAGTGGCAGCAGAGCCTCATCCGCCGTCTCTGTCTCCGATTGCAACTCACTGGCCAGTAATGCCCCATCTCCTGCATCGCCAGATGACAATTCAGCGGTTGCTTCGCCCGCCTCATCTGCCTCTTCCGCGTGTACTTCCGCCACCCCTAATCCGCCAAGCACTCGAACAGTAGTGGACATTGCCTTGGCCGAAGCCACCAGTAAAGGCCTGCCAAAGAGCGCCATCTCCCCCATACTTTCGCAGCCGAAGACCATTCGCTTCCCGGCCGGAGCGGGGGCTGGTGGCAAGGGCGGCAAGAGACACGATGGCGTCTGCTACTGGGACAAGTGCAACAAGAAGCACGAGAGCAACTCCAAGCTGCTGGACCACATGCAGACGCATCACGTCAACACGCAGACGGGTCCCTTTGCCTGCCTGTGGGTCGGCTGCAAGGTGTACAACAAGGAGTCCTGCTCTCGCCGCTGGCTGGAGCGTCACGTGCTCTCGCACGGCGGTTCCAAGCAGTTCAAGTGCATCGTCGAGGGCTGCGGCCTGAGGTTCGGCTCACAGGTAAGACCATTTGTCTATTTTTACCTGATCGCTACTAACTCTCGATCCTGCTTTATTCAGCTGGCGCTACAAAAGCACGTGAACAACCACTTCAATGCTACGGACAATGCCAAGGAGAGCACCAGCAAGCGCACCTCTGATCCCCCTGTACCGAAGCAGCTGCGTAAGAATGGCAAGAAGCTGCGCTACCGCCGACAACCTTTTTCAGGTAAATATCTACATAAAGGCTCAGGATGCGGAATGTCAAAAGCCATATTGACCACAAAATTCGTTCGATTTCAGCCCGTATGTTCGACTTCTTCGACACGGGCATCATGGAGGGGCTGCAGCATCGCCTGCGACAAATAAGCACACTTACCAACGGCGCCCAGGCCATTGAGTTTCAGGGACAGTGCTTGATGAGACGTCGCAACGTTCAGGGAGGCTATGAGTGCTTCGTGCGTTGGTCCCCCGCGAAATGTAAGTTCACCGCACTACACTTTCTGCAAGATGCTCACCTCTTCACTTTTCTCTTTAGCATTTCCGACGAGTGGCTGCCTGAGTGTCCGAACCAAACACGCCGGCACACCAAGGTGCTGCACATCAAGCAGATGCGTCCGGCGGAAAAGACGCGCGTGGACAGCCTGCTGAGCACAGCTTTCCGGCTACGATATGACGCCCAGCTCTTTGCCGATGATTACAATGTCAATGAGCACCACGTTATTGGCGGCGAACTGAGCGGCAGTGATTATGAAGAAGATGGGGAGCAGGAGGAAGATGACGATGACGAGGACGACGATGAGGAAGACGACGGTATTAGCTCGCGCAGTGCTAGTTGCGAGACGGTGTCCAGCTATCAGCAGGTGCTTAGCATCGCCAAGTTGCAGATGCAGCAACGCCGCAAGCATCCGCGGAAGCCGCCCAAGACGGCACCGATGACCAGGAGGGATCAGCTGGCTCAGTTGGTGCCCACAGACGCCCTGGTGCCCATCTAAATGGGCGCATTAAGAATTCAAGTATTTTCTAAGTAATTAAACCGGAACACAAGCGACAAACGAGTAAACAGTGACAAGTAGACTAGTTAGTGTACGAACTAAGTAAGCTACCACCTAGGCGTACTTTATCCACTTATATATATTCATAGGGACTACATGTAAATGCCCCCGCTTTGTTCATTTATGTTTTTTTTTAGTTTAGTGAATTGTTCTTAGCCACCATTGTACATACCTAAAAGGATGGAGTCGGAGTCAGAGTCAGAGGAGCAAAAAGTGGCCACCTCGTATCTCAACCCACCCGCGTGTTCTTCATAGAACGAATGTCCTCATTTTCTAGCGTTATATTTCTAGTTTACTTTTAAATTGTAATTGTAAATTGAGTAGAGATCCTCCGAGTGGACAAGACTTCATTATTTTGGAAAGCCCGTTTTATGTTTAAAGTTTTTATTTTGTTTTCTGTTTAGTTGCCCCCATTATTGTATTTTATTGTACACTTAGAAACTGGCCAAAACTTGTACTACTAAAATAGCAGAAGAGGAAGAACAACGCACACAACTGAGCAGTTAATGTTAGGAAATAGTTGTAGTTGAAAGTTGAAGAACACAAGACTTGAAGCATTTACCGCTACAAAAAAAAAAAAAAAAACAACAACAAAATACAAAATACAAAATAAAATTTGTAAGCAAATTTTGTACTCAACTCGAACGAACGAACAGCAATGCAAACAGTTTTAAGCCCAAGTTAGACCCAAGACGATTGATTATCCATTAATTTAGTGCAAATTAAATGCAACTTTCGCCAATAAATCAGCGTTTCTAGTTCGTTTTGCAACAATTACATACTTAAGTAGAAGGCGAGAGGAGAGAGCTTAATGCAATGTACATAGTATATAATATAAAGTAATAAGTTTCGCTCCTTAAACTTACATTTAAACGAAATTCATTTAGAACTTGGCCAAGGCTAAGCCAAAGAGTTGTAATAACAAGATGAGTGACGCCGAACGAGAAAGAGAATTGCTTGCATATGGAAATTGGGCGTTGTTTATCTCGTCATTGTAAGATCTTTGGCTAAACTCAAGTAAACTATGCTTAATAAAGTTATTGAGAGGAGAAATCAGCAATCAACACGTCAAAAATAAAACAAAACACAAAATGTTACATATTTCATTTTCATTTTTTATGATTTCCCAGAGGACGAACCAGAAGACAATTTATTTGGCTTTTGCTTCGGTTTACGGTGTACATATCTGAATGGCAACAGCCCCAACCCTCGATATACATACATATATGTTATGTCTAAGCAAAATTCGCCTTAAACAATAACCGTAGAATATGATTTTCAATGCCAATGAATTTATACGTGTCTAAAGTAATACAAAGAGTACTCAACACTGCCAAAACAATGTAATGGAACAACAACACGAATCCAGTTGTAAAGAACGACTGATTATTTTAGTATGCGAACGCTGCTGCCTATCGCCGATTCCATTCCCAACTTGAGTATTTCCCTATGTTGCAACCATAACCACTCGGCCAGAGATGAATGTATACCTATGTCTAATATGTGTATCTGGATGTTGTCTAGCGTATAAGCGTCTCCCTGTCCCGTAATTAATTGTAGGTGATAAGGAAGTATATAATCTAAAGTGAAGATTCGGGGAATCCCAATCGCAGCCCTCTTGCATATATAAATGATTTAAAGCAATACTTTTACGATAATCGCCGATCAAGCTTTGTGGTGGACTCTTCTTCCATTCGGTCTTTCGACTTTCGATGCCTTTCGCCCATATTATATTGTTTAACGCTTTGTACTGCAACAAAAATGGAGAACAAAATCTAAAGTAAAACGAAATAAGGATCAAACCAAGTAAGGGGATTAAGTAGAGGCAAATAAATTCAAATAAAATAAAACTACCTCAAATTTTGCAAGCATAGAACAACACACTAAAGAATTTTTCGAGAAACGTTTTCTAAAGCGAACAGAGTATATACATACATACATACATATGTAGTGCAGCGTTATATTTTATCAGAAGGGTAAATCAGAGGCGGCAGAAAATTGTAGCTATCCGGAGCAGAGTTGAAAAAAAACAAGGGACAGTACGATTATACACGAAAAGTACACACAAAACAACCAAACAAGGGGAAACCAGCTAGGCTAATTCCATATTTTGCTAATATTGCATACAATATTATACACATAAGAACTACTACATATATGTTCACCTTCCCACATTTCCCCATTCATTTTCCAAAAGAGAGAGACTCCTCACAAACGGATCACCCAAAAGTATTCATTTGCCTTTAGCCCCGAGAGCTCAGTTTTGAGCCTGTAAATAGAGAGGAGAAGAGTTTATCTAGTATGAGATATATATATTCGACATCATAACCATAATGTTAATATTACAACCGCTTTAATGAATTGCAGAGAGAAATCAATTAGGCTCCATAATCATGGCAAATTTATGGCAATTAACAGGCGTACATATGCATACACATACACTTGTATACACGGAGAGCTATTTCCAGTTTTGATTTCCGATTCAGTTCTGGCCAAATCCAAAGCGACTTGGATGGAAACACAGCCCCAAACACCAGCGATGTTGCTGTTTCGATTGTAACTAATATAATCAAAAGAAATATATACACATATAGATACATATATATTATTGAAACTCTATATACACAACTTAGTATGTACAAGTGGACTCAAACCCGAATACTAAACCCGAAAAGCATGTAACGCGCTGAGAAATGACAAGAAAATATATATGGAAAACAAGTACTAAGTCAGCCTCGCCGTTTTATTTTAGTCCTAGTTCAGGTGTCAATCATCATTTTCTCATTAGTTGCTTTAAGGTAGCATATTAGAGATCCGAGCATATGATTTTATCCATTGACCATGTGTTTCAGTCGGAACAAAACAAATGTTATCATTGCTCTGGCCATGGTAAGTATTCCCATTTGAGTTCGTCGATTTAAGAGTTGAAAAATTAAATGTCTTTGGAAACTTCTCCGACAGAGCAGCCCTTTCCATTATTATCCCTAATCCCATCCTTCATTTCCGAAGCCATCTGCACGTTGCATTTTGTTGAATTATTTTTTAAATCGGGAAGTAATGTGATTACTCTGAAAATTCTTTACCTTTGTCAGGTATTATAATTTTTGTCTGAATTTTGCAACACAGTTAAGGTGAGTTATGTATTTTCACATTTTTACAGCAACAGTCGAGTCGATCTAGATATATGTGTCTGGCCATTTCTACGCCGATTAGTCTTTCAGTTTTGGAGCTATCTGAAAAGAACTTTGATGATAATCTCCTTTCTTGTCTCATTACTATATAAGATGGACCACTTCATCATAAAAAAAAGTCGAATGAAAATTCGACGACTGAATTATATAGTTTCCATAGGAACAATCAAACAATTAAGAACAAAATTCGAATTTCAACGTTTTGGAAAATATTTTTTATTATCTTACATATCATCCTTCATAATTTCAAAATTTCGGGTCTCCTTATTAAAGATACATCATCCCAAATATACCAGAAAACTAAAATGTTTAACTTTTAAGTTGAAATAGTACGAAACCAGTCGTATATACATTTTTTAAAAACTATCGGAAAACTAAATTCCGATTCTTGGTTTTACGATTTTTTTTTGGCTAGATGCTCATCATTGTTTCAAATTTGAAATACTAAATATTGGAACTACGTTTAATTTTAGCATGCTCCCAAGTAATCTAACGATCTGATCTTAGACTGACGTCATTGAAAGAGGAGCAAAAGAAACTGTTAGACTAAAAGTCTGCTTCAAAGATAATCCTGGCTTCTGTGCGCCTGGTGTAAAACCAAGCAATTCATAAATTTGTACTCCAAATGTCAATATTATTTTAGTTTTATACAACAAGAAACAAAACAAATATTCTTTAAAATCGTAATATTATAACTTTTATATACACTTTAAGGCCGCGTTCAATATTGCTGGTACTCATTCACCTTATGTGTATGAAATCCCTCCCCAGAAATCCCAGAAATTTCGATAGTTTTCCATAGAATGGACTTGTAGATCATGTGACCTTGCTGATATGCTATAGTTTGTTGCATGGTACAATTTTTCATGACATCCGAGTAATTTTGGCCCTGGATGAAGACTTTATTTACGATGTGGCTCCTGAAGGTAAGCTTTGAGTAGAGGGGTATACCAAGGTACCTTCCATGTTCCCCTGTTACATAAGGAAAACTGTAGTTGGTGAAATCCTTCAATCTTGACATTTGCAGTGGAAATTCAAGTACCAGGCGAGCAGTAGCCTTCAATGCGAGGATTAACTTTGGTGCGGATTTTATTATAACCGTTTATAACTGTATTTCTCGAACTGCGGGCTTTATTATACCCTTGCAGGGTATTAAAATTTCAGTCAGAAGTTTGCAACGCAGTGAAGAAGGCACCTCCGACCATATAAAGTATATATATTCTTGATCAGGATCAATAGCCGAGTCGATCTAGCCATGTCCGTCTGTCCTTCTGTCCGTCTGTCCGTTTCTACGCAAACTAGTCTTTAAGTTTTAAAGCTATCTGAATGAAACTTTGTAGTTAGCCTTAGTTAGCCATAGGAACGATCGAGAAATTAATACAATTAAAAACTTTAACATTTTCAGTTTTCAACAGATTTTCATCAAATTTGAGGTATAGCCATTTTATATCAGTCTTAAAATTTGTGTCAAATTTTATGAAAATCGGACGACTATATCATATAGGTGCCATACAAACGATCTTTAGCTGTAAAGCAAAAATGCAAATCTGTGACTATAAAACTGCAAATATAATATGTATAGGTGAATGAAATGAAAGCAGGTATTACTTCATTGTTTTTTAACACAAATATATATAATTTATATTGTATGGATTCCTAGTCATAGAAGTTCTATCTGCAAGGGTATATAAACTTCGGTGAGCCGAAGTTAGCTTCCTTTCTTGTTGATAATGTCTTCGGTTGCTGAATTCGCAAACTTTTGATTGTCCTTACGTGGTCAGGATTTTCAATGACTTGAAGTCTTCTCAGTATCTCCCTGCAGGACGACACTTATGTATGCTAAAGCTCTCTCATGCAGTTCCCATTGTCGCTTCTGATTATTCCGAATTCTGTGACCAATATGAACGGTGAAAGGGTGGAGCAGTGGAATCACATTTTTAATTAAATTGCCCGCTGGTACCTAAAAATTCAATTTAATTAATTATTAAAAGTAAATAAAAATAGTTCTTTAAATGTTTTTTTTTTATTATGTCAAGTAGGGTTCCGACCATAAATACAAATATTTTACCTAAAATAAGTAGACAATAATTTATTTACATTCTGTTAATCTTGTTAGTGTATATTGTTTGTACATGTATCCAAATGCTAGATAAACCTCAAAAAGCTTTACGCATCACGTACCAAAAAGCTCCTGCTAAAGAAACCGAATAAATTAATAAAGTATAAGAGTATTGTATTTTAATGATTACCAAGATTGTATGAACCAGGCAGAAATACGCTTTTCCGATCCCATAAAGTATGTACATACAAACATATGTGCTTATATTCTTGTCTATGTTCTAGAAAATTATTTTAACATCCATCATAATCACTTAGTCCTTAGGGCCATTTGGGCTAGGCGATTCTCTAAAATTACTTTTGATTTTTCGTTGGAGTTTTCCATAGTCGATCAAACTCAATTGTAGCTTTCTACTTCTTTTAAGGGTATTCTTTCTATACTTCCGAATACACCTTACACTGTATGATACTCTGCATTGGTCATGGTATGCTTTGCTCCTTGAGCGGTCAACGACATCTTTGTCGAATCTTTTATTGAAGGATTATTTCTTAATCCAACGATTTTGATTGTACAATCTTTCCGAATTTGACCCAGTTTGTGTTGCAAAATTTGTGCATATCGGTGTCGAAAGAACCTTGGCAGTCTTCGTTGTCGGAAAGACTCCGGTCACAAAGACTAATAACGTCATGAATTACCATCAACTAGGGGCAAATCCCCCTTTCTTTGTTGTCCTTACTTTTCCATAATGTGAGGCACACAACGGAATGCTAATTCTGTGTCACGCATGTTTAATCTTAGTGACGCGCTCCAAAGAGTCCCTCGTCATCGTTGACCGATCAACCAGTGTCCTCTGGTCATGTTCACAGTCAAAAGAGCAGTTGGTCTATTGCCATATACGACAGGTATTAAATCCATTTTGAAATGCGTTTCCAAGCACATTGTACCTTCATCGTTTTTTAATAACTAATTACCCCCCAAAGTCAAAATCAACATTTTTTTTGGAAATTAGAAATTACAATTTATTTCATACAATGTCTGTTGTTGGTTGTTTTTGCTTGCTTTAGGTGTTGTTTCGAATACACAGTTACAGTTTTCTAAAACCTTTTCATCGATTGCACAAATGTATAGGAAAATTTGTTATGGGGTGCATGCATCTTAAACAAATAACAATAAGAATTCGTTACACAATTGGGTTCTATTTCGTTTCACAAAAGGAATGGATTTACCAAAAAGATTGCTCATAAAACTGGGTTTTCTTGAATCAATACCAATGTAGTCCGTGCCGAATCTGAAGCCTCTTTCCACCGCCATCGACTCCCCTAGCCAAGTCACAAGATGAACGCAACACGGGCGCTGCAGTCTTGCATTGACGAAGGAGAGTGACTGCAGATGAATGGATGGATCAGTTGGCAACGACGACACTTTTTATATACAAATGTCTTATATTGTGTAGATCGGGTGTACAAGTCGTCTTTCTGTTGTGCATTTCTCGGTTGTGTTCTCTCAATTTGTGTTTAGGGCGTAGGGCCGAATGCCATCGTCGTTTCCCACAAAGCCGGCGCCCACGCAGGGTTGAGCTCCTCCGCATTCTCAGCATCACGAATGCATCGGCGTTCAACGGGCGGGGGAGGATGCCGGCTTCTAGGGGACGAGGCGATGGGATCGGAACGGATCCCTTACAAATTAATGTTGTTATTTGCCTTGAGCCACTCTATACATATCGATCTGGTTTTTATGTTTGCTGCTTGCTTATAACTTCTAATTTGTTGGGATTTTACAATTTTTTGACATTTTCTTTTCCGGTAGATTTCGTGCTGCGAATGCAATTTTGTTTTTGTTGTTGTTGGTATGAGTTTTTCATTTGCAACATTCCATCTACACTTTTTGTTGGGGTTCTGCTTGCACGACTTTGTTGTTGTTTGTTTGTTTATAATTTTGCTACTACAATTTCTTGTTAATATTTTATACATAATATATATTTTATATATATATAATATTTTCTTTACTATACAATAACAGCGGAAAAATTGTGTATGTGTTGTGTTTGGTTGTTGTTTGCAGTATTTTTCTCAGCTTTCACTTGATTTGTATTGTTTCTTCGTACGTTTTATAACAACTTTCTCATGTTAATATGTATAATTGTTGTATGATTTCTTGTTCTCGTTTAAATATATATATATTCTTGTATATATTATGTATATCAATACCGTAATTGTTTTGTATTACCATCTTGTTCTTATCACAAAAATCATAATTATATATATATATAATTTATTATTATTAATTTTTAATATATTATTCTTAGAATTGAACAATAATTAAAATAAACATAGGACTTAGTTACATTTTGTATGTGTGTGTGTGTGTGTGTGTGAATGATTGCATGTAGTTGGTTTTCGCAGATGACGTTGAAGTATTGCCAAGCATTCCGCCACCACCCGCCCCCACCGCGCACAAAAACCGCCCACCTACCGCTGCTGTGGTGAGCTTCCACTCCGGCCCCTCCGAAAAACGTAAGGGACGAGGCGCGCCCAAACAGCCAGACGGGAGCAGGCGGTGTCTATGCCAGTTGGTAAGGGGCGAAGCAGTGGCTACTAGTTGGTGGTTGCTGCTTGTTTGTTTGTTTGTTATTTTGGCCCTTTTCGCTAAACTTGTTGATCTGATTTGTTGCAGCCGCGCGTCAGGCTCAATGCAAATGTACAAAGTTTTTCTGACAATTGGTTGATTTCTTTACAGTTTTTTCTTTTTTTTGTTTAACGAACTTTACATATACACTAAACATTATTTAATAATAATAATGGAAAAAACAAATAACAAAGAGCACACAAAATTGTGGAGCGAAAAATAATAAGTAAAGGGAGAAGGTTTTCTTGATATATAGCGAAAATCATAATTATTATAACTTTATGAACTTAACTGCAAATTGTTGTTTCCTCGTGTTTAAAAGACTGATTTTGAACGGAAAATAACTAAGCTAAACCACGCGCACCAGCACATCGAGTACAAGAGTGAGAACAATTGTTGAAATTGAGACACCGCCATCAGCCAGCGCGTGCGAGAAATCCTGCAGCACCCGGCAGGACCAACAACTCGTTCTTGTCGTTCTTGCTATGTACAACGGCCGCCGCCAGGGCTGCCACCGCACACGCGCTGCTGGATCTTGAATGTTGCTCGTGGTTGGACACAATTTTACCTGCTCCTCTCTTGCAGCTCCTGATGTTAATGTCGATGTTGTTGTTGTTGTGGCTGTTGATTGATTGATTGCTGGGCGCGCCGTTTGTCTATTTGTTGTTGTGTGTTGTTTGCATTGATTGATTTATTTCGTGTACAGGTAAATGGCCACAATCAGACCATAGAGACCCAACACCTCGGCGAAGATGAGAATCAGGATCATGCCGACAAACAATCTAGGCTGTTGTGCTGTGCCACGGACACCGGCATCTCCCACGATTCCGATCGCAAAACCGGCTGCCAGGCCGGAGAAGCCCACCGCCAGACCGGCTCCCAAGTGAATGAAGCCTCTGTAAACGGATAGAACATACAACAGTAAGTAATTTGAACTACGAATTTTAGCAGAGTGCATTTATGTAGCTGTACCTGTATAGTGTGTACTTTGAAGGCTCATCCAGCGCGCCGGCAATAAGCACAGCCACAACCAGGCCGTAAATGGCAATGATACCCGCCATGACCACAGGAATGATGGATTTCATGATCAGTTCAGGACGCATCACTGACATGGCAGCAATACCGGTACCAGACTTAGCAGTGCCATAAGCAGCGCCCAGAGCTGTAGGAGAGATTTAAGAAATACGAAAAACATTACATTCACTGTAGATGCGTAATTAATTAGGTAAATTATTATGTACATCGTAATTCTACAAAGGACAACTGCTTAATTGTACTATATTAACATTTATACTCAAATCCAGAGACCCTAGTCCACTTGTCAAAACATCAAATTTAAAAAATGTTATACAAATATACAATTTTCATAAAAAAACTCCCGTCCATATGCTGAGTTCGGTGCCAGCTATCTGGTCAGTTAAATGATGATGATAAGAATCAATATACATATAAGGTTAGAATTTTCTTTGTGCATTTATGGAACCAAAAGAACTCTAACCCCCAAAAATGTTGACTCTTTTCAACCGAAGTATTTGTATTTTGTTCATAAATGTTAATAAATTCCTACCAAAAGTTCCCTTGTTTTTAAGCTATTTAATTGCCATATTTCAATCGTCAACGGACACTATATATTTTAGCTCAATTTGCTGCTCAAGAAAATAACATAAATCAAAAACAAGCAAATGTTTTAGCAGCCATAAAATTGATTCAAGTTCTTAAACTCTGATGGCGAGCGTAACAGTTAAAAGTCACATGATCGCCCATAAGCGATATAAAAACCCCCTGCCATCCCCTTTAGCCACTTGTGCAGCCGCAAAAGTGCCACTCACTGCTCAGAGTTGAGTTTCGCTGGAGAGCTGATGAGAGCGAGCTCGAATTCCGGCATTCTCTCCGTAAAATCAGCGAGTGCGAGTGAGTAATGCTTGCTCTCTCGCCAAGTTGAAATCGAAAAGTCAGGCGAATTTTGATAAGGCCAAAGCTAAACTTTACACAACACAGCTAAGCAGATGGGACTAGAGAGAGTGAGAGAAAGAGAGGGGGCATCTGATCTGTGTCAATTGAACAGGTAAACCAACCTTATATATATATATGTATATACATATGTATATGTGTTTGCATTGCCAGGCATTAATTGAAGTACAAAACCAGTTTCAGATGGCAGAGCGCGTTGCCCGTCACTGTGCTTTTGTGGGAGAGGGAGAACTGATAAATCGAATTAAAACACACACACTCATACTCGTTCATATGGGTGTATTCAAAGTTAACGGACGAAGAGAGCGAAACCCCCATGTCATGTGACTTTATTTTAATTATCGTATTTCCGCCCTAAAATAACTCATTATAACCGCCTCAAATCTATGCAGAATATATTCAAAGGATGAGACGTTAGGAACTGACCTAAATCGCGGAGAAACAACCTGACGTCACTGAGCGGAGGAAAATAGTGGAAAATACATTTCGTATATCCACAAGAGATATCCACGCGTCTGGCGCACAAACACACACAGATATGTATCTATGAGGTCGAAGCTGTCGTCATATAAACACGCACAATATTAGAAGGCAATTCTGAAATACCCGCATGCGTATGTATGGGCGATTGTATCTCCAATTCAATTACAAATATTAACTGTAGAATTTATTCAAAGGAAATATTGAGGATTTATTGACCGAACAACGGCTGAGGCAGTGATTTGTGCTTGCAACGCAGCTTCATCAGCTGGTAGACAAGCAGGCATGCGTGCCAGTGTGTACACACCGCACAAAAACCACGTATGTATTCCATTTTTGACATTGGCGTTCATTCAGCTGTATTTGCGCTGCATTCAAATCCAAATTCAATATTAATGTGTTTAAAAAATACTCAAATGGCATTGCCTTTCTGAGTTTTTAACTGGCGCTGCTACTGCTGTGAATTTTTAAATACCTTCACGAATACTCTGGCGTTTTACAAGCGACAGACGGCATCGCAGACGTTTCTGTGGGCGTTGAAAACGAAAAAAAAAAAAAAAATGTGCGCACACAATGAAACGTGAATGAATGGAAGGAAGAGGCAAAAACAGAATAAGAATAAGAGTCAACAATTGCCAGCACATCCGAAGATAATTATAAAATTGGGGGAGATAGCAAGAGCTAAGCAAAACATAGCACCGAATCAAATAATAGAACAAAAACAATTTGCAGGCTTCACAGTTGAGTGAACAGAATGAAAAAAAAAAAAAAAAAACATGCAGCCAGAGAAGCGAAGAGAACAGGTAGGTGACGAGAGCCAAGAATCCATGATGGATGATTTAGAGCTGCAGGTGTTTTTGCTTTTATGATTTTTGGAACTGTTCATAAACGGATGCGAGATAAGATAAATCCAGAGGTAATTCCAACCTGTACTCTCAATACAGGGTGCTCAATACAGCAAAAGTATGCAGTCAAAGGTTCATTGATTAAAATGCAATACTACCAAAAACAGACATGCGCCCGCTCTCACAGCAGCATCCAAAATAAATTTTGTTTGCGCTGTATATTTGTAAATGTATGACTACAATAGTTTTTGTACAAGCAGAGCGAACTCAAGAGGTACTAACAATAATAAAATGGGTGTCTTTTGAAGGGTTTCATATCCAATTTGTACATTATTACTAACTGGGCATTTTCGATTTCTACTGTGCTTTGTATATCTACTGCTATTCCTGCTACTGCGATTGCGCGGGCAGGCGTAGGAGGTTGCGTTTGTGAGTATGCTGCTGGAGCTAAATGTCATTGTGTGAAGGATGTTGGTGGCACTCTTGGATATTTTTAGACCACCACGGGACGAGGATGTGGGCCAGGCAGGCCCCAAGTACCAAGTGGCAAGTGGGCAGTGGCAAATGCTGATAAGCCGCAGTGGAAAGCAACGCCCATTGTTCGTAGTGGGCTAGTGAGTCAGTGCTACCGACAACGGAAAATTAACTGCAGTTCCCAGCTGCCAGAGAGCGAAAACTGGGAGAGCAAATTAATCGAAACTCAAACTCTCTCAAACGCCCGCCCGCCCGCTCATGTGATCTTGGTACGGCGTTGCCAGATCAGGAGCCAGTTACTGTTGATAAAAGCTCAAAATTGATTTACGCTGTTGACTCTAATTGCATAAGCAGTCAGATAGCTATACAGTCGCCGAGCGGTGATAATAGGCCGGGTAAACACGACACGGAAACCTTCCTGATTATCAAATCAGAACGGTAGAAGGTGTTGGTAGCAGGTGGAAATCACAAGACGAGTTCCAAGGCATGACATAAGGCTTGCGTCAGAAATTGGTGGAAAGCGTTCACGAGCGAGTTGAGTCGGCTTGAGTTTCCCCCAACCGCAGCGCGTGCTCGCTACTCTTTTGTCTTGCGCCACTCGCTTCATCAGTTCAGCATTCGCTATCTTATCTCGGCCAAGTCAATTGGTAAATAAGCCACTTTATCAGTGGGGTAACTGCGAATGAGTGGCCGCGATAAGCCGTTTGAAAAGATCGTCAGCCGGCCATGTGATGTAGAATAGAATTCAATTGATCATGCAGTGTGCGATTTTGGCATGTGATTACCGAAGGGCTCCACAATTATTAGGAAAATTAGACCACACTCGTCAGCTGATTGGGCTTAGAAAAGGGGGGAAGCACGCGTCACAAGAATAAATAACCTCTTATCTCTATAAAACCCCGCTTTTCCGTTATGTTTCATCCATTATCTGCTCTACTCCTTAAATGCTATATTGCTCCAACTAATGAGCAGCTAAGAAAAAATTTGTTGTATATGGCAACACTGTCAGTGGGTCTTGTGACTGTTGTGGGAAAGGGAAAGCGCGTTTCATAAACTTCGCTAAAAACAGTAACTCTTCTCTCTTCACTCACACACTCACGCGAGCTCAATGCCACGGAGAGCGAGAGCGCGCAGCCCTCGAGAGAGCAATACTCTCGTTGGGTTCTTGTGTGTATGTCTGTGAACATGAGTAATGCCGTTTTAAGCATGCAAATTTTATTTCTAATTTGACTACAGAAAAAAAGTAATTAAAATACAAACTTCTACGTGATGTAAACATATTTGAATAGTTCAATTTCAGCATAAAGTTCCCAGTCCTAAGCATGCTGGATTTTCTGCTTGTCACGCGCACTAGTACTAGCCGCTGTTTCGCGCTACTACCACCTACAAAGGCCCGCACACCCACATGGTGCTCACTCTTCCTCTTCCACCCTTTACGCCACACAAAATGTTCGATTTTTCACGGCACGGCATGGGATTCTTAACTCTAGTCAAACTTACCCGAGAAGATGATGGCGGAGGCGGCGCCCATAACACCGAAGAAGGGGCCATAGATGGGGTTGTCGCTGCTCACTTCAGAAGACATTTTGCTTTGTTTGTTGTGTTTGTTTTAGGCTACAAATGATCGAAAAAGCAAGATTTTAATTCGATTCGCTGCTGCACTGTAGGTTTTTTCGGCGTTTTGCACGGCGAAATGTTATGCGCGTTTGTTATATGTATGCGGGTTGAAACAAAGTATTTTTATTATATGTACAATATATCTGATGTATATGTATGTAAGGTATTTTTACGCTGTTCTGCGACCACAATGCTGCTGCGACGACGATTTCTTTGCGAGTGAGCGTTGAAAAGAGATGGGCAGTGACTGAAACTGGGGGAGAGCTAGTACTCGCTCGATTGTTGTATTCGTTCACGTCATGTGCCTGTGTGCGTGAGAGAGTGAGCGCATGACAAAACGTTCGCATGAACGGAAAGTAAGTTCAATTGGCAATGACAACGGTCTGGAAAATTACACACGCACACACAATCACATGGGAGTTTGCTGAAAACTTCTTTTTCTTTTTTTTGCAAGGTACAAACGTTGCTTATTTAACCTTATCGACTTCCTTTTTCTCATTTTCTCCGCAAGCTGTTCGCACTTGCCCGCTCACGAAACGCACACCCACAAGCATTCTCATTGCCATCGGCTGCGAATTGGCTTTGTGTGTGTGTGTATGTCGTGGCAGAAAATGTTGTACAAGTTTTCCTTCTGATTTGGCTTTGTTAAATTAGAGTTGTCGCAGCAGCAAAGTTTTATCACAGGCAGGAAACTTTTCCGCTCACATGACCGACTACTGCCTATTTGTTGACTTTGCTTCTTCACTCACGTGATTAGAAATCTAATTTAAAGCAAGTTGCTGCTCTGCGGCTGGCTTCTTCGGTTGCTGCTGGCTGCTGCTTGAAAGCGCGGATCGGATACGGCACTGAACACCAGGGAGCTTTTCTGCTTTGCTTTTATAAACTTTAGTCACGGGGTTTTCGCCTCACATCACTTGCAACTTTACCTAGTGGCAAAATATCGGAGCACTATTGATGCTTGAATCGAGTTTCGAAAATATCGATATCTTGCTCCATCGATGTTTTGAATTTTTATTTTTTTTTATTTAATATTAATATTATTATTATTTTCTAGGCTTAAAACACGAATTTTTCATTCACTTATATACTCTCACTCACTTTTATACTTCTTAATTTTAAGACAATGAAATATGATTATTTTGTTTTTAACGCTGATGGTAACAATAAAAAATTATTATTAACGTTTCAATTAATATGTGAATGAAAACTAAATGATATGTGAATTTTTTTCAATTTTTCATATCATTACTCTTTAATATTTATTAATTAGTAAACTCAAAAGCTAAATTATTATTTAAACATTAATTATAATAATAAAAGTGCATTTTCAATGTTTCAAATTTTCAAATTGCTTACAAAAATCGATAGTATCGATGTTTGCTTCGTAAAAACATCGATAAAATCTATAGTGGAAAACATAGATTTTTTGCCTACTCTAGCTAGAGCTGGGGAATGTTAGAAGTGCATAAAATATCAATGTATCGATATTTTTGTTGAAGAATAAATATTTTTATCGTGTTAGTCTGAACATATTTATGTGTTATACAAATTGTGATTTCTCTAGTAGTGCGAGAATTTCAATTCATACTATAAAATAATTCAAACGTATTCGCCGCTTTTCAATATGATTGGATTTTGGTTAAAATGCGTAATTTTCTTAGGTAAAAGGTTTAGGAACTTAGTATAGACAAGATGATATTCACATTAAAATGCATGTTCCGAAAGTGCTGTAATCCAGCAGCTTGGCGTAATAAAATACATAACAAAAAAATTAATCCTTAATTTGTACGCTTCAGTTCCAATTTATTTTTCGTATAATTCTGCGATTTATCTGACAAATTAAAAATTTCTATTTGTTGTGGTTTTTTATGCCTATCGATATCTGAAAGTTCCCACTACCCCCGGTGAACTCTAAAATAACGGTCTCATTTGAAATTGCAAATCCAAAAGTTTCGGTCATTAATTCGTAGTATATTATACAAAAATATATATAATTTTTACACAAATAAAAAATGTACGTCCCCCACTACTCTGACAGATTGGTTCATCAAAAAATAACATCGTTTTAAATTTCTAAGGACATCGAAAAATCTATATACTCAAATTTTCTACATAAGCTTTAAATAATATGAAAAATATCATGGTAAAAGAAGGAAATTTTGATTTTATTTTACCTCACCATGCGATGATCCCGTTAAAATGGGGGTTCCAAAACAAAAAAAATCTTTAAGGCTCTACTGAGAATTTTTGTTGCATTCTATTGACATGGAATATAACAAAAATCATTTTAAACACATATTGTACAGCAAACAAACATTTTTTTTTTGATTATTTAAAATGGCACACGTGCCAATTGAATCACAGTCATATTCTCTACGAGACGTGCGACAATGGCAGTATGCGATTGTTTGGTTATGGACTACCGCATTCGAATCGCAGTATTCGAATTAGAAACAACATATATAACAGCCTTCGCAAAAAAGGTTTGTTTTATGTTTAAAACTATTTCAACATGGTTATTAGGACTAATTATACAGATTACTATGACGTCCCATTCTAGTATTTTTCCAGGGCCCGTGACAAAAGAGTGTTCATATTAGTCAGTAGCATGCGAGGATCCTCCGCCAGACCAGCGCCGACCATAGCGTTGGCGAAGAGCTGCTTTGTGATCAATTGTGCCAGCTCCTTGTCACTATCGCGCAACTTATTTAGCTTCTTGATTATGGGGTGCCTGGATAGAAGTAGTAGTTAAGCACTGGACTTGCAACCTGGATCGACAATACTCACTTCGGGTTAATCTCCAGTTCCGGCTGCAGCAGAGCAAAGCGATTTTGCTCTGGGACCTGATGGCTCTGGGTACGAATGAAGTGGCGTGCCGCTGCCATTTCCTCAACAGTGATAACGCACGGGTGCGTGTCCAAGCGAGATGTGGGCTTCACCTTGATTACCTGCCCTTTCAGTTCGTCTTCCAGCCAAGGAATGAGCTGATCCAGCTCTGATCGCAGCAGGCTGCCCTCGCCATAGTCAGTGGTCGCAGCCGTTTCCTTTGACTCCTGGCGCATTTCCTTTTCCACAGAGACGAGATTTTTGCTCTTAAACTTGCCCAGCTGCATGAGCACAAGCTCATCATAAGGTTCATAGCAGAACAGCACAAGCTCATTGCGCTTCTTCAGACTCTCGTAATAGGGCGAGGATTCTGCTAGGACGCGGTTAGGGGCTGCCAAATAGTATATGTTTTGCTGGTCAGCGGGAACAGCGTTATAGTATTCCTCTAGTGACATGCGACCGCTTGACGACTCGGATTTTGAAGATTCAAATCGCAGTAGTTTGGCAATCTCTTCCTTCTCGGATGGATCGCTGGATGTCACAATGCCCTCCTTTAGGAAGAGCCCGTAATCGCGATAGAAGGTTTCATAGTCCTCCGGTTGCTTTTTAGCGCGCTCCTGCAGGAATCGGATCACACGGGTGGATATTACGCTCGATAATTTCCGGATCAGACTGCTGTTCTGCAGAAGCTCGCGGCTCAGGTTAAGCGGAATGTCCTCAGAGTCGACCACGCCCTTAACAAAGCGCAGCCACTTGGGCAGGAGGTTCTCTGTCTTCGACTGGATGAGAACCTTGCGCGTGTACAGGGCGACACCAGTGCTGCCGTCTCGGGACATTTCGAACAAGCCCGGCTTTCCCTCGGGGAAGTAAAGCAGCGCGTGAATGCTCAAGGGCACGTCGGCCTTGTAGTGGAGCGTGAATCGCGGCACATCAAAGCTGTTGCTAATGAAGCGATAGAAGTCGTGATGCTGCTCCTGGCTGATGCTCTGCGGGTCCAGCAGCCACAGCGGCTTTATCTCGTTGGCCTGTTTTCCGTTTAGCAAAATGGGGGAGCCCACGAAGTTGCTGTACTTCTTAATCACAGCCTTGATCCGGTCCTCATCCGCATACTCACGGCAATCGGTCTTCAGATGCAGTACGATCTTTGTACCTAGCTCCACGTCCGACACCTCCTCGATCTCGTACGTGCCGCTGCCATCAGTGGACCAACGCAATCCGACTGCATCAGGCGTAGCTGCCCGCGTATACACCTCTACCTTGTTGGCCACGATGAAGGCCGAATAGAAGCCGACACCGAACTGGCCAATAATGTTGGAGGAGGCTTCTGAGGTGGCATTCTGCTGGTTGACCTTCATCTGCTCCAAGAACTGTTTCGAGCCGCTGCGCGCGATTGTGCCCAAGTTGCTAACTAGCTCCTCTTTGGTCATGCCAATGCCGGTGTCCTGTATGATCAGCTGCATCAGCGGCTTGTCTGTAGTGATGCGAATCTCCAAAGGTCGGTCCTTGCCAGCTAGATTCGTTCCGCTATCGCTCAGCGAGGTGTAGCGAAACTTCTCCAGCGCGTCGCTGGCATTAGAGATAAGTTCCCGCACAAAGACCTCGTGGTCAGAGTAAAGCGAGCGGGCCACAATGTCCAACAGCTGCCGCGTCTCCGCTTGGAACTCGTGTTTGTCTACCGTTCCCTGCGCCGCCTCCTTGGATTCAGTGGCGAAGCGGCGAAAGGATAGGCCTGCAAATGGAGCATAAATGATGCAATTTTTCGGAGCATTCATGTAAACGGAGCCGAGACCTACCGGTATGCGATTGATGTAACCGCGGAGCAAAGGTTTGGACCGCTGCGGCTGCAGGTATGCGGTTTTGCCTAAAAACGCCTCCAAGACGGGCCAGGTTTCGGGCCTGGCAAAGCACTCCCATCGCGCGGACCGACATGGTTTAAATATCTATTTATGTTTATCTTTGTTTTCGGATATGTTATTTAACGACCAGAAGTTTACTTCAGCACACATGTGTGGGCAGTGTTACCGAAGTACAATCGTTGAAATATACCATTCGGCTGACGATATTTGTTTTGAATGTGAATTTTTAATTTTACTTAATTTAAGAAATGTTGTTACATCCGTCCTTGCATCCGTGCGGAGTAGATATATAAATGAAAACATTATTTTTTTTACGGATGAAGGCATTTATTTATTAGTAGGCAAGTATTTGGTCGTCGTAAATTTATAAATAAATTCATCTTAAATTTTTTAACAAAAAAAAAAAAAAATAAATAAATAATATTAAAAATCATAAAAAATGTAGTATAAAAAATAAGTAAAAGATAATCCTTTATAATAAATTATTATGATTATCGTGAGAACTAACTGGTATATGTCCAGTCACGACACAAAATTCGCTTTTAAATTTGACCGTCCACACAGCAACGTTCAATGCAAGAAACTACGTCTTTGTTTAATTATTTTCTTTTATTAGAAAAAATTTTAAATTCTAAACTTAAAAAAAATTGGTCACTGTTTTGTTCCAAATACAATACAAGTGGAAACGCCCCATTACCATTCTGAGTACATTGGTAACATCGCGATATGTTGACAACCCTACTTGCAATAGCAACTCTGCAGTAGCGCGTCCGCGTCGCGTTGTAATTTTTTGTTAAATTTTTTAAGCTTGTTAAATAGAGTGGCATGTCCTAAGTTAAGTCTTCCCTCCGCATATGAAACTGATCTGACCATGAGCACCTCAACCATCGACAACGTGCGGGTGTTGCTGCAGTCCCTGCCCGCCGCCGCAAATAACATCAACAGTGCCGGCATTGCAGGCGAACAGCAGACGCCGGGCAAGGGCCTGGGTTTGCCCACAACTACACCCCTGCGCGCCAGAAACTTGAGCCAGCAGCTCCAGCTTAATGCGCCGTTTACTCCGGAGAAGGTTGAAGAGAAACCTACGTCGGCTCCCGAGGAGTTCTGGCGAGATCTGCAGCAGTTTCACGAACGACGCGGGTGAGTTTGAGGCCGCTCAGGGTTGAGATGTTTGGCTCATTTGTGTTCGATTCGCTTTATTCCACAGCACTCCGTTAACACAGGCGGCCAAGATCAGTGGCAAGCATGTGGACCTTTACAAGTTGTACAATGAGGTCACGGAGCGCGGTGGCTTCAACAAAGTGAACATGCGGGATGAGTGGGACGAGGTATACAGTGCTATGGAGACTCTGCGGGAGCGCTGCGTCAATGGGACGGCGGGAATCAAACACATATATAGACGCTATCTGGATAAGTACGAGCGCCTGAATTTCTTTGGGGAAGATCCGGACAAGATGGAGGCTTTGGAGGCGGCCATTGAGAACGCGGAAATGGGCGGTGGACGCTCCCGATCGCGGGCTTTGGGTGCCGGCGGAGGCGGCGTTGGCGGCGGTGGTCTGGGCAGCATCTTTGGTTCAATGCACTCCACGCTACCGGCGGTACCTATGGCCTACAACCAGCGCCAGCACTCTGTAAGCGTGGAGCGTCGACGACAGTACAAGATGTCCACTCAGCTTCACCGACATAGCAGCTACGAGAAGCTGTTGCTATCCCTGCTCTCACCTCTGCCCAACGAACAGGACTTTGCCATAAATGTGTGCACCCTTATGTCCAATGAAGTGCGCCACACGCTCCAGCTATCCGAGTGTCCCAAGTTGCTGGATGTGCTGCTGGCCCATCTGGGCGTCTATGCCGATTTTACTATGCGCCAACTGTTTCAGCATAGCTACGCCGAGGTGCGACACCACTCGCAGCTCAGCTTCTGGCGCGACCTGCTTCACGACAAACCCCAGATCCTCGAGCTATATACTGACGAGCAGGCCTGGGTGGACAACGGTCTGATTAGCAAAGAGGACAGGGAGAACACAGCTGCTCGTAGCGAGCTGCTGGCGGCGTGCGATGAGTTAGATTTCCTTAACCTACGGCGCAGCAACGGCACCGATGAGCGGATGGGCCAGCGCGTACTTCAGATTGTCCAGCTTGTGCGAACCCTTAGTTTCCATCAGGAAAATCACGCTCTTCTCGCCTCAAATCGCACATTGTGGCGTTATTTGGTCATGGGGGCCAACGTGCGATGGAGTAAGATTTGTCTAATAAAAGATCTAATAAAATAATACTGAGACATTGTTTCTCCTTTTGCCAGGTAACATCCATATCCAAGCTCTGGAGACAGCCGGCAACCTTGCCCACCAGTTTGAGCTACAGGATCCCACCACAGACGAGCTATCGCGGAATCTACTAGCTACCCTTTGCGAGGGCGTCGACTCCAACGACAGGGCGGTGATCATCAGCTGCCTTGAGATACTTTACAAGCTTTGCGGTCGCGAGGGAAACTCACAGCACATTAACCGTTGCCTTGGTTTGGACTTTTACCAGCGCGCCATGCTACTGCTCTCACTGACCGACGTGATGCTCCTCATTTTTACTCTGGAGGCCGTATACGCACTGAGCTCCCTGGGAGCGCGACCGTGTTCGATGCTGATGCAAGTGCGAGGTCTGCTGGATCAGCTGGTGGCCCTGATCACTGTGGAGGCACAGACCTACGGCGCAGACGGTTGTATACTAATGCGAGTTGTAGAGGTAGTGCCGGGAAATATGATAGCCTCGCTGGCCCAGACCAATATGCCGGCCATGCAAGCCAATCCCGCGGCGTCTGCTGCATCGCTCACTACGCTACCACCATCGCTTCAGGTGGCAATAAAGCCGCCAGTCGCCTTGCCCACACCAACGGCCGCCCAGACACAAGTTCTCCTGCCCCAGGGAGGGGAGCAGGCCGTAGTAACCCCGTCGTTGCCATCGGTTCCAACGCTTCCCAGTCTTCCGATGCCTAGTCTGCCCCAAGTTCAGCTGCCGGTTCCTAGCTTGCCGCAGGTCCAGTTGCCTCCAATTGCGGCCACCGTCTCTCTGCCCAGTCTACCATCAGCAGGGCCAAGCTTCACCCACGAGGACGAGCAGTACGCATTGGCCTGGCTAGGAGCCACCTACGAGCGGGGTGCTGGCATTGCCCACGAACTGCGCGTGGAGCAGGCGGAGCTGTACAGAATCTACCTATCGCACTGTCAAAAGGCGGGAAAGCTCTCTGTGGTGAATCACATGCAGTTTCCCCGTCTCGTGCGGCTAATCTTCAATCAGACGGTGGGACCGGTGATCGTGCGACAGCTGGATGGTACAGAGCTTCCGGGCACATACTACATTGGCATTCGAATGCGTGCTCAGCCGCTGATTATGCAGCAGAAGCCACCTATGCAGAAAAAGGAAACTCCCATCCTACCCAAGCCGCAGCCAAGCGATCATATTGCTGCTGAAGTGACGGCCGAAGAAGCACCAACACCAACAACTGGTCAACTGCCACCTTCGGCAGTTACGCCACCTCCCAGTTCTTCACTAATCAAGAGTCTCTTGGCCAACAAGGTCACCGAGCGTCAACAGAAGCAAAAGGCACAGGCTCAGTCGCCACAGCCACAGCCGCAGCCCCCAGCCCTGGTGGCCACCACAGCGCCTTCGTCAAATTCCAGTACCCAACCCATCAAGGTCACCTCGACGGCCATTAGTGCCTTTGTAAACAACCCACTCATGCAGCACACACCGGTGAAGGTGGGACAGACTACCATCAAGCCGCTGCATCCCCAAATGGCTATGGAACAGAAGAAGCCTATAACAGACTCGGCTCCGCCGCCCCTAGCTCCACTGAGTGGAGCAAACGTGGTAAGCAAAGATGCCAGTGGGCGCACTCTCATCATTGCAGCAGCTGCGGCGGCGGCAAAACGCAAGTTAACCATCGACGAGGAGCAGAACAAGCGTCTGGCCTTGGACGGCGGCAGCTCCAGTTCTTCCGCAAGCAAGGACGAACCTCAGGTTACACCTTCGAAGAATGCGGCCAATTTGTATGCGGACTTGGCGGCCTCCATACTGGAGGACGAGGACTTGGATGACGTTCCACCGCTGACCAAGCCCAATCAGGAGCAGACCCAGCAATCGTCGCAACAGCAACAGCTCCAGCTTATTCCTGCGAAAGTGCAGCAGACTCAGCGGCAGCTGGTATTCCCCACCAGCACTAGTGTTTCCTCTCCTGGCCCACCGCCGCAACTTAAACTGGCCACTACGGCCACTATCAAAACGGATCAGGGTCTGCAGACCGTTCCTGTGATATTGCAGCCCAAGAGCACGGTAGAACATGTCACACCAGCGCCGCAGACGCAGTATGTTCTGGCCACCAATCAGCAGGGTCAAACTTACTTGGTAGCCCAGCAAACTCAGCCGGCCATTCCGCCACCCACTCAGTCTGCTCCTCCCACGTTGCTGGTGACCCAAACCCCGCAGCAGCAGACCAAAACAATTATTATTCTTCAGCAGCCAGGAGGAGGAGTGTCGGCTGCCAATGTGGCGGGTACGCAGAAGATGATCATGACAACGGCGCAGGGGCAGCAGGTATTGGTTACCACCACCACTCCGCAGTCAGCTCCGCGTAACGCAACGCCCCAGCAGCAGCAGATCTTTATAGCACCTCAACGTCCCGTTCCCGCCTTGGGTGCACCTGGACAAATGTCGCCCTCATTGCTGTCGCAGCTTAATCAAATCCCAGCCACCATCAAACTGCACCAGCCGCAACCACAGCCGCAGCAGAGGTTGGTGGCCACTAAAGCGGCCGCTGCAGTGCCCATTCCCCAGCTGCAGCAACACCAGTCCATTATCCAGCAGCACATCATCTCCGGCCCCTCCACACCAGTATCCTCCTCCTCAGCTGGCGAGAAGAGGCAAATCATTCTGGGCGGTGGAATAAAGGAGACTACGCTCATCACCCAGACCCCGGCCACAGCGGCTCCCCTACAGCAGAGCCAGCTTAACTCACAAACGATTATCACCACACAGCCGCCGCCCATCACCACCACAGCAGGCACTGTTGGGGGCGTAACCCTTCAGCAGCAACAGCAGCAGCACATCCGAACTGTCTTGCTGGAGCAGCAACAACAGCACCAGCAGCACCATCCATCCATCATTCAGCAAAAGATCACAATGCCCACTGTAAGTTTTTTTTTTTTTTTTAATATGTTCTTTTTATACCCTTGCAGGGTATTATAATTTCAGTCAGAAGTTTGCAACGCAGTGAAGGAGGCACCTCCGACTATATAAAGTATATATATTCTTGATCAGGACCAACAGCCGAGTCGATCTAGCCATGTCCGTCTGTCCGTTTCTACGCAAACTAGTCTCTCAGTTTTGAAGCTATCTGAATGAAACTTTGTAGTTAGCCTTCTATATACTCTCACTCGTATATATGTCGGAACGGGCCGGATCGGACGACTATATCATATAGCTGCCATAGGAATGATCGGAACATTTTTACAAAAAAAAATTTAACATTTTCAGTTTTTAATAGAATTGGATCAAATGTAAAATATAGCCATTTTATCTAACTGCTCAATTTTGTGTAAAATTTTATGAAAATCGAACTACTATATCATAAAGCTCCCATAGGAACAATCGAGAAATTAATACAATTAAAAATTATAACTTTTTCAGTTTTCAACGGATTTTCATCAAATTTGAGCTATGGCCATTTTATATTATTCTTAAATTTTGTGTCAAATTTCATGTTAATCGGACGACTATATCATATAGGTGCCATACAAACGATTGTTTGATGTAGAAGAAAAATACAAATCTGTGAATATAAAGCTGCAAATATAATATGTATAGGTGAATGAAATGAAAGCAGGTATTACTTCATTGTTTTTAAACACATATATATATATAATTTATATGGTATGGATTCCAAGTCATAGAATTTTTATCTGCAAGGGTATTTAAACTTCGGCGTGCCGAAGTTAGCTTCTATTCTTGTTTAGATTGCAATTTGTTATTGGTCGATTTTTATACCCTTGCAGGGTATTATAATTTCAGTCAGAAGTTTGCAACGCAGTGAAGGAGGCACCTCCGATTATATAAAGTATATATATTCTTGATCAGGATCAACAGCCGAGTCGATCTAGCCATGTCCGTCTGTCCGTCTGTCCGTCTGTCCGTTTCTACGCAAACTAGTCTCTCAGTTTTGAAGCTATCTGAATGAAACTTTGTAGTTAGCCTTGTATATACTCTCACTCGTATATATGTCGGAACGGGCCGGATCGGACGACTATATCATATAGCTGCCATAGGAATGACCGGAAAATTTTTAAAAAAAAAAATTTTAACTTTTTCAGTTTTCAATAGAGTTGAATCAAATTTGAGATATAGCCATTTTACTATACTCTTCAATTTTGTACGAAATTTTATAAAAATCGGACTACTATAACATATAGCTCCCATAGGAACGATCGAGAAATTAATACAATTAAATTTATAACTTTTTTAGTTTTCAGCTGATTTTCATCAAATTTGAGGTATAGCCATTTTATATAAGTCTTAAATTTTGTGGCAAATTTCATGAAAATCGGACGACTATATCATATAGGTGCCATACAAACGATCGTTTGATGTGGAGGAAAAATGCAAATCAGTGAATGTAAAACTGCAAATATAATATGTATAGGTGAATGAAATGAAAGCAGGTATTACTTCATTGTTTTTTAACACAAATATATATAATTTATATTGTATGGATTCCTATTCATAGAAGTTCTATCTGCAAGGGTATATAAACTTCGGCGTGCCGAAGTTAGCTTCCTTTTTTGTTAACAATTGTTTTATTGCAGATCTCAGAGGCAGCGAAACCTAAGGCTGTTAACACTGCTACAGCTCCGGGTACATTGTCTGGCACCACTTCCGTCCTGGCCAAGAAGGCATTGCAAACGCCAATGAAGCCATCACCAGTCACCCAGACTGTTGTGGTAACGACGGCCACTACAAGTGCTGAATCGACGGTGGCAGGCACCAAATCAGTTGTGGCAACAACTACCAGCGAACCCAAGATAGCAGATCAGCCGCCAGTTACATCGAGTGCTTTGGTCACCACCGCTCCCACAAGCAGCACCGCTAGCAATAGCAGCAGCGGCGCTGTGGTAGTCAGTCAGAGCGTATACGCTGCACCACCTACTCCCAGTGGTACTGCCACTACGCCTGCCGCAGTGCCCGTAGACGTCAACTGGTTGTACATATGCGATTGGCGCAACTGTCCGCGTAGGAAGTTCAAGTCTCTGAACGAGCTCAAGTACCACGTGTGTAACGTGCACTGTCCGGACCATCTGGACTCTGACGCTGACATCTACTGTCAGTGGGGCAGTGGACCCACGTTCTGCGACAATAGAGCGCGCAAGCGGTACTCTTTGATGACTCATTTGATTGACCGACACTTGACACCGGAGAATTTGCGTGCCGGAGTGCAGCGACGCCTAACCACTGGCATTCATAATGTGGCGCCCTCTCAGCCGCCCGTGACCATAGTGCGAAACGAGGGTCATGCCCAGCGAGTACTGCCGGGAAGTGGCACTGTAGGTGCATCAACAGCAGCGCCCGTTGCCTCCACTGCACCTCCAGTTGTAGGCAGCGCCGCGATGCAAGCCATGAACCGACATACCACGGACTACACCAACTCCAAGGAGCTGATGGATGAAAACGAGGGGCCCGTCACCAAGAGCATACGCTTGACAGCGGCACTAATTCTTCGCAATTTGGTTACGTACTCGTCAACGGCCAAGCGTAGCCTTAAGCGCTACGAGCCCCACTTGGCCAATATAGCACTGAGCAATGTGGAGGCCAGCGGAGTGCTCTCTCACATTATGTACGAGCTGAGTCAGTAGGAGCAGTTGCTGCTTTCCTGTATTTTTGTACTACATATGCAGATTATCTTTAGAAGCGGCTTGTAATAACGACACTATTAAAATGTGAAAACCAACTTTGTAACCTTGGTATTTGTCATTATTTATCTAAGTTGTAAATTAAATGTCGGAGCTTCAGGAAGTATTTGAGAGGCTCTTAAGGACACTTTTATCTGTAAAGTATATGCATTTGAGTCTAGTCTATGGACACACTTGCTCTAATCTAGGGTTTTCATTTATTAATTTTAGCTTCTGTTCTTTATTAATTTAATATTGAACATTAATATTATTTATTTTTATTGTATGCCTTTAAACATTTCTTAGGGAATATATGGTATCTAACGGTTTTATCACTTATTTAGTTAATCCATGGAATTTTAGGATTCGGCTAACACATGTGCATTAAGTGAATTAAGTGGGGGCGACATTGGTCAAATCACACTATAGGTTTTCCATTCTTTAAGAAATTGTCATCGTCTATAATCGTATATTTGTTGCTTCTGTAGGTGTCCAAATCAAAGATGTACTTTTTGCCACAATCCTTCATTAGCTTGTGAATGACAGGTTTGATGTTCTCGATGCCAGCTAACCTGGCCAGTTCATTGTAGTAAACAAACTGAAAGAAAGGGTGTTAGGGTACAGAAATTTCTATCTCACATCTTGTAGCCACCTACCTGTCGTTCTCCCATTTGATGTGCCTTCTTGCGATTATGGACACCACAGCCCCACCTCTCTCCTATCTCCTGCTCCAGCTCAGCGATCATCTCTTCGCGAGAAGGAAACTCACGCTCGCCCGTAAAGAACTTGACTGTGAAGCGAACCTGCATGTCGAAGATATGTGTCGGGATGACGTTGAATGGCAGCCCAATGAAGGCCATAGTCGGGTGATTGATGTTGATGCAGTGCTTCCACAGCGGCTGTACAAAGTTGTCGATAACCTGGACGCCGACGTCAGTGCTGAGGCAGGGAAATGTGTACTTGTAGCCGGTGCAGAACAGTACGTGGCCAAAGGTCTCTTCGCTCCCATCCTTGAATACCGCTCCATTTGGCGTAAAGCGCTCCACATCCGGTTTCTGTGATACATTGCCCATGAAGGCTGTGTTAGGAGTCGTGGCCAGGTGATGGCTCAAAAACACCTCTTTGGCGGCCGTGCGAACGTGATTACAAATATCCATACCGCTGGGTCCTGCACCGATAATCAGTACACTTTCGTCTAAATTAAACAATTAAACAAAAAATTATAAAAAAAGAACATTTACTTCGAAAACCGAAGTTGGTAATCCGTTGCGATTAACATCTTGTACATATATATAGTGTTCCGATTTAATCCTAAATTCTGTGAAATGGAAGGTATCACAGAAAACAAGAAAGGAAGCTAACTTCGGCACGCCGAAGTTTATATACCCTTGCAGATAGAACTTCTATGACTAGGAATCCATACAATATAAATTATATATATTTGTGTTAAAAAACAATGAAGTAATACCTGCTTTCATTTCATTCACCTATACATATTATATTTGCAGTTTTACATTCACAGATTTGCAATTTTCCTCTTCTTAAAACGATCGTTTGTATGTCACCTTTATGGTATAGTCGTCCGATTTTCATGAAATTTAACACAAAATTTAAGGCTAATATAAAATGGCCTCAAATTTGATGAAAATCTATTGAAAACTGAAAAAGTTATCATTTTTAATTGTATTAATTTCTCGATCGTTCCTGTGGGAGCTATATGATATAGAAGTCCGATTTTCATTAAATTTTACACAAAATTTAAGACTAATATATAATATCTATATCTCAAATTTGATTAAATTGTATTGAAAACTGAAAATGTTATAATTTTTTTTGTAAAAGAGAGACTAGTTTGCATAGAAACGGACAGACGGATAGACGGACAGAAGGAGAGAAGGACAGACGGACATGGCTAGATCGACTCGGCTGTTGATCCTGATCAAGAATATATATACTTTATATGGTCGGAGGTACCTCCTTCAATGCGTTGCAAACTTCTGACTGAAATTATAATACTCTGCAAGGGTATAAATATAATCCATGATACTGTTATGGTGAATAAAATCAGAATGACTTAATAATGTTCGGGTAGGTAATTAAATATTGCAAATAATTTAAAAGCTTCCTTATTATTAATTCTTAATTTAATATCCAATTATTGTTAATTTTATTTGCGTAACTTAAACTATTATTTATCGTTAATGTTTTAGTTTTTTAAAAATGAAAAACGTTCCCTTAAAGCCAATGTGCGAACACTTGACCATATTTTAATATATATGTATATAAAAAATAAATATAACTGGTTTTTAGAAGTTTAAGGCTTACTTAAGCTTGAGATTCTTCAAATAGAGTGCTTAAGAAGTAGTCATCTCCTAAAAGGTGTTGTATTAAATTCCCTTTTATTTTTTGTGATTTACTGATACTGTTGGATATTTTTGATGTGCTTTTAAGGTATTTAATACAAAGTGAGTTGTGCAGCACCTTGATATTTTATTATCAAAAGACGTGGTATTTTGTATTTACTAAACATTTCGTTTTTATACCTTTGCAGGGTATTATAATTTCAATCAGAAGTTTGCAACGCACTGAAGGAGGCACCTCCGACTATATAAAGTATATATATTCTTGATCAGGATCAACAGCCGAGTCGATCTAGCCATGTCCGTCTGTCCGTTTCTATGGAAACTAGTCGCTCAGTTTTGAAGCTATCTGAATGAAACTTAGTAGTTAGTCTTCTATATACTTGTATATATGTCGGAACGGGCCGGATCGGACGACTATATCATATAGCTGCCATAGGAATGATCGGAAAATTTTTACAAAAAAAACTTGAGATACAGCCATTTCATACTATTCTACAGTTTTTTATAAAATTATATGGAAATCGGACTACTATATCATATAGCTCCCATAGGAACGCTCGAAAAATTAATTCAATTAAAAATTATAACTTTTTCAGTTTTCAGCAGATTTTCATCAAATTTGAGATATAGCCATTTTATATCAGTCTTAAATTTTGTGTCTAATTTTATGAAAATCGGACGACTATATCATATAGGTGTCATACAAACGATAGTTAGATATGGAGCAAAAATGCAAATCTGTGAATGTAAAACTGCAAATATAATATGTATAGGTGAATGAAATGAAAGCAGGTATTATTTCATTGTTTTTTAACATAAATATATATAATTTATATTGTATGGATTCCTAGTCATCGAAGTTCCATCTGCAAAGGTATATAAACTTCGGCATGCCGAAGTTAGCTTCCTTTCTTGTTAATTAATAAAAAAATCATAAGTTGGCATGATTACTAATTACAAATTAATTTAAAATGTTTGGTTTTTGCAATTATTGTTGATATAGTACTATTTATATTGACATTTAAAATAGACATTAGCCAACTTTACATTCCACTGATACTTTGTGTCGGGAATCGTGGCCAGCGATTTCCCAGGGGACCCAGAATCACTAAAAAACACGTGCATTCAGAATTAGCTCAGCCCCAGAACACTTATTATTATTATTATTATGCCACTCGGTCGGGCAGTCAACAGTGCTATCTGCTTTTGCTTCTGAGAGTGCTCCATTTATTTATGGGGGTATCAAGAGTGAGACTATGGCCAGACGGTTGACGGGGTTGATAATTCCGAAGCGCTGGCTAGGCGCGAGCGGAATGATATGGGATGCAGATCCTGGGTACTAGATGCTTATCTTACCTTTAAATGTATCTGCCTTGCGGTAAAGATGACTGTGCATCTTCCTGCCCTTGTACAGCTCCATTCCCTCGATCTGCGGCATGTCCGGTTCCGTGTAGTGACCGTTACACACGTAAACGAAGTCGTAGTAGACTGGGTCGCAGGTATCCGTGCTGTGGTCCCACACATAGACCTGAAAGTGGATTTAGGAAGACCCAGGGTCAGTCGTAATGCCAATCGTTATTTCATGTGCCAACAACATTGTGCAAGCCTTCAGATCGGTGAAAACACGGGTCGTACAAAGTAGCAAAGCAAAGGTTGAGACACAATAAAAACTGGTTCGGAAATACGAAATGTGACGTCGGTACCCACCTCCCAATCGTCCAATCGAGGACGCACTCTTATCACCTCGTGCTGGAGCTTGATGTGCGGCTCCAGCTTAAAGTGCTTGGCATAGGATCGCAGAAAGTCCAGCACTTGCTGAGATGTTATGAAGGACTCGTCGATGTCGTCGGGGTAGGAGTAGTCGGGATAGCCCATGACTTCCTTGGGCAGATTTGTGCTAAAAGCGATCAATGTCACTAATGCCTTTTTGTAGTACACCATCAAACATACCGCAGTCCCTCGTACATGCTGCTGTGCACTTCATCGTACTCGTCCTTAGGCATTTTCTCCGAGAAGATCCACGTTCCCCCAATCTCAGTTCCTCGCTCATACGCCACTGCATCCAGGCCAGCCTCCAGGGAGTTCTTTAGGGCACAGAGACCGGCGGTGCCGGCTGTAAATTGCACGTGAATATTATATTCATAGACTGTGGCGTTTTCAGGTCAGGTTACCTCCTATAACGCAAACCCTGCTCTTTTGGTCCTTTGAAGTCTTCATAACTTGTATACGTATATTTTCCAATTGAGGTCCAATTCTTTCCAAAACACGTCGCTCCGTCTGTGCGACTGACCAACGACTAACTGCCGGGGGCTCGTGCTCTCACTGATATAGACCGGGAAAGGCGTCGCGATGTGCCCTACACTCGAGCTGAAAAGCTGGTCGTCAAGCTCATTGAAACTGATAAGTTCATTCCCGGAGATGTGCATATAGCCGTAAATATTTTTTTAGGGGCAGGGGCTTCCGCAGGCGACTTTAGCTTCATCCAAGGCACTTATCACTTGCGGTTGCCAGTGACATAACAGAGTCGGCAGTTCTGCGATTGGATTCCCAATCGCAACGTATTGAAATTACAGACAAATATTATTAAAAACTCAATGTATTTAAATATTAATTAACATTAAAGCTGATCCACTGACACAATTAAAAGTATATTTAAGATTTTTATGATTCAGTAAACACCCTTTATGACAAATTTGTTTTCGCTTAAAGTCGTTTAAACCCAGAGAGAAAAGTTGTTTGTTTTCTGATAAGTTCCTATGATAGTTATGATCCCAGGCGATTTGCAAGTTAGTCAAGTTTCACTGTAGAGTTTGAACATCTGGCTGCCGATTGTTACGGATAGAAAGCTTTTATGGGCTGGGAGAAAACTAAACTACTGCCTGATAACACACAATTCGTTTAGATTTTCACAAGAATTATGCCCCGAAGTCACTGTGTCAATTCAGTTTAACAGCCTATTTGAGTTATATTATTTATTAATTATCAGCTGACCACACCAGTGCTACAGAGTATTCGGAAACGTAGATGTGCAAGGAGTGTCACAACAAGTCAATTGAATCATTCGAGATAGGGAAGTAATTATTACTCATTCAATTACAAAAACATTCACTGGACTACAATGTAAACAGACCCCAGGGAAGACCCTCGAAAGTTCAGGAACGGGTATGAGGAAGCCTAGTAAAGTATGTTGCCATGTATTGCTAAGATAATGATAATGATTGTGCCTATGCCTACTGTCAAGTGGAAAGCGAATCCCATATATTCCTGCTTTGACAGCTCCTTGATGTTAATTAAGATTATGCTAGTTGCGTGCTGGAGTGCTCACACTTGACGCCCCGAACCAAGGGCCCCGCCTTGATCATTTACAGATAATACTTTTAGTTTGTTATTTTCCACTACGTATGGAGCTTAGACATTTAATATTTATTATAAATGTATTCATTTGGAACTGTTATGAATATTTCTACATACTTAAGACGTTTCAAAATCCAAAGCTAACCGAATGCATTCTCTTTTTTAATTTTTATCATACTTTTATATCCATTTTTCATTAAAGTTTAAGTCCTGCCTTAGAAAGGAACTTGCAAGTTCTACGAATGTAAATTAACTAATTTTTTATAACTGAAGGAAAGAACATTAGACATTACCATTTTCCTAACAGTTGCTACGCAGACTGGTCTTTTTAATTTAAAACTCAAGTTATAAACTTTTTAAATCATTCTAGATTGCCTTATCTCTCATTATACATGTACAATCGAAAGGAATAATCTTAATCATTTGAGATTTAGATAAAAGTAATTTTGTTTAAAATGTTTATTTTTTATCTCAATGGGTAAAATCGTACTAAATAATTATATGTCAGGTTATACATATGTATGTTGAAATAGTTTAAATCTTCATTACATTTATATATTTTTTTAGCCGTTATTGTATTTTAATCTTAGTCAGATATTTGCAGCACAGTGAACAAATTGTTTCCAACCCGAAATAGTATAAATATTGTTAATCAGTGTCATGAGCCTAGTCGATCCCGCCATGTTCGTCTATCCGTCGATATGTCTGTAGTCATAAGCGAAGTCGAACAGCAAGCTATTTTATTGTCTTTGCCGGCATTTTCGTGTTCAGCTTCGTGTAGGTCTCGGCGAGCACTCCTAATGCAAATTTAAAGATTTGGTAGATTGCTTTTTTAGCGGTCACACATTTAAAGCTTTTAGAAATCTGCTTTTAGCTAGTGGTGGTAGTCAGTAAGGATCACACATCGATAGGTCTTAAGTTATAAAATATAAGACAAATTTTTCTGGCGAAATAAAAATTAAGTCACATTAAAGCTTAATGATATCTTTTTACCACTATTTATTTTGGAAACACTAGTATAAACTGGCCATAGTGATTATGTCTTGTTGTGCCCACCTTTAACTTAAGTTGTTAAATTCGATATTATATCGATAGTTCTTTCAAAGTGCAGTGCTAATGTACTATGTACTATTCTAAAAAGATAGTGACAGGAATGCCAAAATAGATTTTTTTAACCAATAAGCTCTGAAAAATGTAAAAAATTTTTAGAACGATCACTGGTTCACTGGTTCGGCTACTAGTTCCAACCGGTGAACCGATCGAAAGTTCAGAACGAATAGAGAGCAGCAGCAACAAGTTTTAGTGGTTTTCCTTTGTGCGTCTCGTTCGTGTTTGCTGCTCTGTGCTCTGCGCGCTTTGCTCCCCCGTTCGGGACCGACTCGAGTTTTATTTTGTTTTGCCCATTTTATCAGAACACAATCCCGACCGCCTCCAAAAAAAGCGCAAAACAAACTGAGTGGAGGTGATCCGATCCCAGTGCATAGTGCATGCAAGGCTGCGCTTTCGAAATTACACAACACACACATGAGCGCGGAGACGGAGGGCAGCGCCTACAACAAAAGCAGAAGCACCAACACAAGCGGGGCAGCCAAGCATTTCTGCCCCTGATGCCCTCGACGACCATGGCCCCCACAACCAGCCCGCCCGGTCCGGCACCCAAACTATCAGCCAAGTTCAAGTCCTCCTCGCTGGACCATGAGATCTACACCGCGAACCGGCGTGGCACAATCGCTACGGCTTCCAGCGACTGGAAGGCGCTCCGCGGCGGGGCCACCAACGGCCGCTCCCTTCCCGCCGTTGGCACCGCCATGGGCTTGTCAGCTATGACAAGGGCTGCCTCCACATCATCCCTCGCCAGCAGTACACGCACCATGACCAACTACCAGGAGTACAAAATGGAGATTATCAATCAGGTAAAAGCACCTTTAAATCGCTTCACATTTGCCCCTACTGCGCTATTTATAAAATGCTAACATTTTAACTAGACAAGTTTTAAGAAGCGACTTCGGTTAGAGGCGTCCAGAAGTTACAAAGATCCCCTCTTGCAAAATAAGAATTAGCTGAATTAAAATTACTTTAAATTTTAAAATTAAAAGCTATTAAGTTTGTATTACCTAACATTCTGATAAAGAATATACATATGTATATGCTACATTTGTACATATACGGGGTCATTGCAGCTAAAAATGTAAAAAAAAAACATTATGTGCGTACAAAAGAAAATAGTTGTTTGACAAAATCTGTTGTTAAATAAGGACCTGATTAGATCGTTCGGCTGCTTATGCTAACCAAGAATATTGTATCGTATTCCTTCTTGCCTGTTTACCTTCACAAAAATAAATCAATTCATCAATCTCCAGACAGTCAAAAATTATTCCGAATTCGAAGAAGATGAAGATAATAAAAGACTGCTTATTAGCTACTACAAATATTCAGATTAAACAAGTCATAACGAAAGGTAATGAAACAGCTGTTTGACAACAAGTAACATTTTTTGTTGTTTCAGAATATTCATTTTTATCAAGACGTAATTTCCAACAAAATTTAATAAGTGTATTATCTTGCATCCATATGCAATTTTGTGTTATATTTTTTGAACTCCGGTAATTGTAAGAAATCAAATAAATATATAAAAACTTGAGTCAAATTAAATATCTTGAGTACAGATGCAAAAAAAATTAAAAACAATTTAACCAGAAAAGCTGTTCAAATAAATGTCTATATTTTGTGAAGATATTGTGTAAACTACCGCGAACACAGCGAAATAGATAGCAGATCCGCAAACAGAGGAAACCTCGATTCCTATGTTCGAATTTCAAAAATGTTTGCTAAACTTAAATTTTTGAGTTGTCCTTGTTAACAGATGATTGGTACATATATCTGTAATATATGTATGTGCATCATTAAGGCGCCGTGACTATCTCAATTTAATTGGTAAGGCAAATATTTTTTGTTTCGGTCATTCGTTTATCTCAGGCCCGATAAAAAGCACGAATGCTCGCGCGGATTTCTTCATTTTGATATGTAAAATATTTACTTAACTTTCCGCTGTAGGTGAGCGAAATGTAAAGTGTTTATTTAATATATATATATATATATTGTTTTGTAGTTGCTTACATTCGTCTGATAATTTGTTGAAGAATTTTAGAAACCGCAATGCGTATGTCTGTTATTTTATTGGCCAAAGAACCACAATTTTAATAAATTCAGTTTCCACCAAAAACAGAAAGTGTATAGATTAAAAGCATTAAACACGTATTCCCAAAATAAACTGCCCCTCCCCCATACACAAGATGATTCCCAACAGGCCGAAAATGATGAATTCATCGAACTCAATGTGGTGATTTTTATGTTGTTCTGGCCAATGTTAACAGTTGGAGCGCTATAGCTACATGTGTGTATATATTACAATCACATGAACCAAACCCCGGTTATATATTTGATGGGAGGCTTAACGGGTTCGAAGTACCTTCCAATAGAATTGTCAAACCACGAGCCGCAAGGTCAGCTATTTGCCATGGGTACGAGATCTCTACGGTTAGCTGTATGTTATATGTCATGTTCGCGCCAAAGAAGTTAATTGTCGAAACCTTAAACTGCTCGACAAAAGTCGATAGTAATTATCGTCATTGGCCAAGCACCATGGAAAAGCGGAGGTTTCTTTCATTTACTCTTAGCTCTTCAGTCTATCTGTGTAGCATGTGCTGATCGTTTATACTTATTTGTTTAGAACGCATGTCATTGTTTATGATCGCGCAACGTACTCTGTACAAAGACTGCAGTTGAGAGACTCTGTAAGAGGTGCGAATGATACTGAGCAGGTGTCCACGAAATTCTCCTGTAAAACGTTTCAGCAATATGTAAATAAGTTCACCAGGGCCGCCGGCACTCACTGGATATTTTGAGGCAATCAATGTAGAATGTGGTGGCGCGCTGATAGACCAATCAGCGCAACAAGGCAGTAATTTAATTTTGATTGAACTTTTCGATTTGTTTGGTCACCTTGCAGGGCAAATGCCTGTGTGGACAGTACATCAGAGCCCGCTTGCGGCGGGCTGGAGTCCTTAACCGTAAGGTGACGCAGCGGCTGCGGAACATCCTGGATACTGGCTCTTCACACGTGGTATATGAGGTCTTCCCTGCCCTGAACAGCGTATGTAGTTTCCATCCCCTCTCTTATTCAGTTTTTAAACATGCATTTATCTTCACAGATGGGCGAAGAACTGGAGCGCATGCATCCTCGGGTGTACACAAACATATCCCGGCAGCTTTCGAGGGCACCGTTCGGCGAGTTGGAGGACAGCGATATGGCGCCAATGCTGCTCAACCTAGTGGCCAAGGACCTATTCCGCTCGAGCATCACTTGGGGCAAGATAATCTCAATCTTCGCCGTCTGCGGTGGCTTTGCCATCGACTGTGTACGCCAGGGCCACTTTGACTACCTACAGTGCCTGATTAACGGCCTGGCTGAGATAATTGAGGACGATCTTGTATACTGGCTGATCGACAACGGCGGTTGGCTGGGGCTATCGCAGCATATCCGGCCTCGGGTGGGCGAGTTCACGTTCCTGGGCTGGCTGACGCTATTTGTGACCATTTCGGCGGGCGCCTACATGGTGTCAAATGTATGCAAGCGTATCGGCTGTCAACTATATTCCATGATATTCCGTTAGCCCTGAAGCGCTTCGCAATTACTGTATACGTTACGTGTACGATTTAGTCAGTGAAAACTTCGAATCATTCCTGCTTCTGTGGCACCCGAGCCGTATAAGTAGTTCGTAGTTAATATTGTTTTACGCATATAATATTGTTATTTGTTTCTTCTTTTTGTACATACACATACAATACCTAATATAGTACCAAGCGCAATAAACTGTGCCTTTTAAAACGTCATACTTTAGCTTGCCGCCAGAGAAGGTTACCAGATCCTTTAAATAATTCCATTTAAAAAAATCATATAAATCATATTTTCAAAATAGTTGCAACCAATATAATCAAAATCATTACTGTTGCGGTCAACCCTTATTGAAACGCGATAACTCCAGTTAGCGCAATTTAAATATTTATGTTGCGTTAACCTACGGTGGTTTAAATGAGATGTTAAAATTACCTTACACATGTATAATTTGATTTCGATACTTTCTTATTTGAGTTTATCGATGAGTTGGTACCTTTACAGTGCTGGACAGCGTACAAAGCAGTGGCAAGACATGTGTTGTAAATGTCTCGAGCGTAAATAATAACAAGAACCATCGCTCATTTCATTTAACAAATATGTTCAGAATTGGAGGTTTTTCTAGTCTGTGGTAGATACCGTAATGCCATGTCAAGTAAGTCTTCAGTTACCATCATAGAGCACCAGGGTAAATACACAACAACTTTGGTTTTATAGCGCATAACGAGACCGAGGAGATTCAGTCCCACATTCCACATGTGGGGGACGGACTTTCGTCGAATTGCGGAACAACCCAACCACTCCTCTTATACTGTGAGAGCTGTGGCAACATTTACGATGACAATGAGGCTTACGCCAAAGACCACAGTCACCATTCTGGCTGCTGCGACGGTGGAAGCAAGGAAGAGTTCCAGTTTATAGAGGAAATACTTTCGGACGAGCCGACAGAGGTTGCTCCAAGTTTGCCCGAGGAGGAAGAGGAGATTCTCGAGGCTGACGTTCCGCTGTGGGAGGTGGTAGATGACACGTCTTCCACCATTAAGTTAGAACAAAACGAGACTGAACCCACCCATTCAGATCGTTACTTTTGCTATGACTGCCACAGCATTTTTGAAAACAGGAGCAGTGCGGAAGATCATGTTTGTCCACAGGCAGAGTCCGGCGGGGGCTCCATCCAGCAAGCAGTCGAAAGCCCTGCCCCCACAGTTAAACCACCGCGTCGCAAGTTGCCCATTGTGGCAGCAAGGACAGACTCAAAAAGTGGTTCACAACCATCTGTCATTAGGTGTGAAATATGTAACACCGTTTTTAGCTCTGCCAAGTTTCTCAAGTTCCATATGCGCATTCACGAGAAGGTTGTTCCCAAGAGCATTCAGGACGCCCTTCCCATTGGCGCCCACCAACAGTACAGTAAGCTTGACCAGTTTTACTGCGAGATCTGCAACAAGAGGTATTTAAAATTGTTTATAATTAAATGCCTACTTATCGCATCCATTTGTTTGTTCAGCTTCGACGAAAACCTCCTGACGGTGCACAAAAAAATGCACCAGGAGACCGCCAAAGAGTTCATGTGTAGCGTTTGTAACCGGCAATTCTACAACGCTATAGACTACGAAATGCACCTCAAGATTCACCAGAAGCCACGTGACTCGGATGCCACCAAAACGCCCGAACATCGTAGTAGTGGTGGCGATAAGGAGAAGCCGGGCTTCCCTTGCCAATACTGCGAACGTGTTTTCTCGCGCCCCTATGAGAAGGTCAAGCACGAACGGGTCCACACGGGCGAAAAGCCCTACTCCTGCGAGGTGTGCGGCAAGACCTTTCGCGTCTCGTACTCGCTAACTCTCCATTTACGCACGCATACGAACATTCGGCCATATGTCTGCACCGTGTGCAATAAGCGGTGGGGTTTAAAATATCAAATAAGGCAAATCCATTAACTAAAGTGTTATTACTTTACATTACAGCTTTAAGTCGCATCAGGTATACTCTCATCACCTGCGTATCCACAGCACAGAGCGACAGTTCGCCTGCGACGTATGCTCAAAGTCCTTCCGCACCTCGGTCCAGCTATACGCCCATAAGAACACCCACACCAAGCCGTACCAGTGTGTCGTATGCAACCGTCCCTTCTCATCGATGTACGCTGTGAGGATTCACATGCAAACGCATGAGGAGGAGAAGAGTAAAGGAAATGGAAAAGACGTACAAGCTACCACCAAGAGCCAATCATCAAGTGGAAAATTCTGGTGCAGTTCCTGTGGAGCGGAGTATGCAAGGATGTTTGCCCTGCGGCTGCATATGAAGACAGCGCATGGTCTGACCGAGGAAGTCATACAGCAGACGGAGAATTCGCAACCAGCCTTAGAAGATGTCCTTGCCACCGAAGTAGACTCTGAGACTGCGGTGCTAATAGCAGCCGCCGAGGCTGACGCTGCGTACATCAATGCTGTGGTAAACGCTGTTGACGTCGTGGGATCCGTGCCTACATACGAAGAGGTAGCCGTTGAAGTGAGTTGATATACACTGCGTCATAACTTATTTCCGGTCCCAATTTGAATTTGTTTCCTGTATTCCATTTCAGTTCGATGTGGAGAACTTTCACAGCGAGGAGATCATCACGGACTGGCTTAAATAGCAGTTAAAAATCATCTCTCGTAGTAGCCAATAAACAAATTACAAAAAGATTAGCTTACTGCATCAACTTTATTGGGAACATAACATAGCTGGCGTTTGGTAACAAGTAAATATATTGCTGGAGTACATTGAGACCAGTCCGTTTTAGTGTTAGCTGGCGTAAATGGGATAAATTATTAAGGAGAAAAATATTTAACTAAAACTAATTGTAAAATCTTAAGCTAACAAAACGTATGCAGTGCGGTGTGCAGCCTTGGCTTCGTTTACTCCTGGTCGCCACCTGCAGCCTCGTCGTTCTCTTCCACCTCACTGTTGTCCTCGTCGCAGATTTCCTTGAGCACCTCCACCAGGTTCTTGGCCTCATCCAGTTCCTGGCGCATCGTGTCCATCTCCTCCTCCAGTCCCTCGATGCGTTCGTGCAGATGTCGGTTCTCGGTTAGAGAATCTTCCAATGCCAGTCGCCGCTGCTCCGCTAATAGTTTGTAATAGTTTTCACCTGGCTCGCTCTCGCTGGTTAGATCCTCCGCTGTGATAGGCTTATCGACATCTCGACGCGTCGTCGACTCTGGCTCCGTTTGTGTGTCTGCGTCCTTTGTTGTCGATGGCGATGCCGCAGTGGACGAGTCTACGCATTTGCGCTTCCCATACTTTGGCGTGATCTGAACGCCGGCCTTAAGACGGCTCAGCTGATCCACGATGGAGGTTCGGTTCTCCTTGTCGTTAACGTTGCCCTGCAGAGGCTTCAAAGTCTTTCGTTGTTGCTTTAGGTGCTCCTGCTGCTCGGCCTCGCTCTCGACTTGGATGTAGACTCTGGCAGCGCTCGCGGACATTTTCGGTGCTGTTCCTTGTGCTCTTTATAGGTGTTTAGGCGACAGCGCGTGTGTTATTTGTCGGTGTCGTTTGTTTACGCATTAATTTGTGCACTAAACTCTGCCGCCGTTTTCTCTCGTTGTAATGGCCGCCAAAAAATGCGAAGCCGCGTGCTACTGTCCAACACTGTTCGCCGCGAGGGGTGGCAGTTCTGTTTGACACGATAGTCGGTACTACTTACTATTTTTGAACAATTTCTTTGAACCTATTTCCTTAGAGCTACTTATTACCCTTATAATTATTGCAATGTTTTTTATCATAAGCGGTCGGTATAAAAATTGGATCTGCGCCGAAGTTTTCTATTCTTTCCTTCTGTAATCTATTAATTAACAGAACTCCTACGCTGTAACTAGTTACCCAGTAGCTATAGAGGTAAGAAAAGACAAGAAAAGAATAAATAACGATATTAACAAGAAGCTAGTGCATTATTTAAAATGTTTTTATTTAATCTTGTAACTTCTAGAACTTAAATTGTTTAATTATATAATACAAAATTAAATTGCTAGAAATTATAATCACAGAAAATGTCCAAAGGAAAATAAATTGAAAATATATTTTTTACAAGTGATCAGAATTTTATCTTTTAACTACATACCAAACACTAAAAAAATATTATAATATATAAATAATATACACAAATTATGTGTATAGTTAAAATCGCATTTTACAGCATCCAACGTATCACAGTATAAAAAATACATAATCATTTTAAAATTTTTGTAGGGTGGCAAGTCTGGTCACGGCACGAGGACACGAAGGATAAATATGGCGATAAGAGAATAGCCGATAAGAGCTCCACCCACAAAAAAAAGACATGTAATTCAGTCGAAAGCGGATATAGTCCTTAATATTTTTTTTATTTTTCACTTGTGCACATCCTCGTTCACCCAACCCGATCTGCAGTTGTCACACAGGATGGACCTCAACGAGATTTCCATGTCCATGGACGTGAAGCTGGATACACACGACAAGCGCCCAGTGGCGCTGAGATACAAGACGTGGACCCGATGTCAGGTTAAAATTGAGGCCATTAAATGTGTGCCCTGCTTCCTGCGTCTCACATTCCAGACATCAGGGGATGCGTCGGTCACTCCTGGCTCGCATCCATCCGCCAAGCATCCGCCACTCAGCATTTCGGTGAACGTTCCGGGGGTTAGCCTGAGCCTGGCTACCTCGCGCACAATGCAGCACTCATACGGGCTGTTCTGGACCCAGAACCGTCGTGACTGCTTCATTTACTTTGCCTTGGAGACAGAGACTTCTTGCCGACGACACATGAAGTGGATGAGAAAGTCTATCAAGAATCTGGAGCTGTACCGACAGATATTCCTCGAACAGCGCCGTCTCAGCAGGGGCCCGAGAGGCCTGGGTCCTCTGCCCAATCTGCCAGAAACTACCCTGGACGGCAGCAATTTCTCTACACGTGTTTCGCAAATCTATGAGGAGATCTTTGATGGCAGCCGGATCTCACGCGTCTCGATCGCTTCTGGCATTTACGAGGAAATGAAGCCATCAGTCATGGAGACACCGTCGCCACCGCCGCTACCCGCCCAACCGCATCGCAAGCGCATCAACACATTTGAGTGTTCTCAGCTGGGAGAGATTCCACGGTGCAGTACAAATCCGGAGTCGGAGCTGGCCAAGAAAAAGAAGTACAAAATAATGCTGGATAACCTTTTCGGAAGTGCGCGTCAAAAGCGGTCCGATAGTGCCAGTGAGCACGCCCAGCCGCAAGATCTGACGGCCCTACCCTGCAACGACAACGCTCCTCCAACATTGGAGACAGCGCTCTCCCTCAAGCGCAGCTCTCAGCTTAGTAAGTCCCAGCGCAACAGCTTCTCCAGCCCCGATCTTTCCAAATTAAACTTCTTGGACACCTTTGGGGATGAGCTCGGCGGCCAAAATCACGAATCAAGCCTTGAGCTCAACATAAGTCTGGATGACTCGGTGATTGAACCGATCTCTCGGAACCAGCTTGTGGCCCAGATCTCAAAGCAGCTGCTGCAACAAGGCGGGGATACAGGCTCCCTGGAGAGCTTAAATGTTTCTGAGCAACTGCCATACAACTTCAACTTCTCAGCTTGCAACACGTCCACCATCAATCTCATTGGATCCCATGGAGCTGTGCCAGAAAATGGCAATCTGCTAAAAAAGAACAAGATTGTGGTAGACGATCTTACCGGCTACTGTGTGATGGCGCCCATCATTTTCAAGCCGACGGAGAAGGAGATACCCCGACAACCAGGCGGTAGCACGGCTTCGACTTCGTCCGGCTACTCCACAGGCTCCTATTGCTCCTCAACTAGCAGCTGTAACACAGAGGACCCATCCGCCGCAAAAACCCTGGTGGCGCAGGCAGCCAACGAGAGCGACATTTATGAAGCCATGCACGGCAGTTCCTTAAATAGCACTGTCGGAACGACGGCTGCTGCTGGATTTGCGGAGCATCTATATGAGAACCTTTTAGCAGTCAAAGCGGCGCAGGAGCTAGAAGTCCAACCGCTCTGCTTTGGCTTGAGTACTAGTACACCCACCGAATCTCCCTTGGCTCCAGCATTGCCACAGAAAGCCAGCAACAGGGAAAAGGCTAGCTCCAGTCAGCGTCAGCAGGAATCTCAGGAGGAGGAGGACTATTACCAGACTCCTAGAAAGTCCATAATAAGCGTGGACGACAAGATACCCTCCTACTATCCAAATAGCTGCGATACCTTAAAGTCGAAAAGACGCAGTCCTCCGAATGTGAGGCACTTGGTTAGCAGCGCCTCGAAGTTAAGGCGCGAGAGAAAGGAGAACCTGTACATTTCTTCGCCCCACCAGATCATCGAACAGCGTCAGAGGTTTACCACCAACTCATCTTCATCATCAGCAGGGTCATTATCCAAGTCGAGAATTTCATCCAAAAAGACTGCTGCGGCACACAAAATCTCCGAGGGCGTGTATGCCGTTACCCATTCTGTTCAGCGCCAGAGCAACCATACCCACCAAATCAATAACAATGAAGGAGGAGTAGAGGAGGAGCTTTTGCACCTCACCATACTAAAGAACATTGATTTTAAGTTTGACGACGGCCAAGAGATGCTCGAGGCGGATGATGCAGGACAGGCCAAGGCACGGCGTCCAGCAGCGAGCGAGGCGCCGGCGAAGATGGAGAATCGCTACCATGCAGCCGAACAGGCTGCCACCAAACTCTTGCAGAAGTACGCCACACTGCTGTCCCCTAGTAAGGGCAAGGCACTGGCAGTCGATCCCGATCCACAGCCGATGACGCAGTCGGTGGCAACGTCCAACGAACTGCAGCCGCCGGCGGGAGCCAGCTCGAAGAAGTTTGCTTCGCTACCAAGATTTAAGAAAATTGACTTTTCGCCACTGAAAATTAGACTGAACAATGTCCTGCAGAGGAATCCTCCGTCGCCGCAGCAGTAATATCACCTTAAAACTATCGCTTAATATTTTGTTTTTCTTTGGCCTCTTCTGACTGTGTGATCGATGTGTACCCACCACCTTAATGTTTGTTTTGACTTCAGTTGATGTGTCATCAGCTTAATTTTAATATGTTATTCATGTATTTAATACGCTTTTACCCAAGATAATGCACTTAGTCGTAAGCCTGTGTAGGTTGATTTTGCTCATTGGAAATAGTAACGAATCATATCTGGGGCTTCTTCGAGGAAGCCTCTAGTATTACTGTTGTGAATGCATGTACGATTTACACTTAAGACCGCGCTCAATTATCGAAATTTTACAGAAACGCTTTTATATGAATTATACAAAACTACTATATATTGTTGAGTTATTTAGGCGCCTCGTTGTTAAAATTATCTAAATTTAGTTGTAATTTTACAGAGGAATATACAAATTAATCACCAAACTGAAACTACGCTTTCAAGCTTTGCATATAACATATCAAAGAACTAGTTAATCCTATCATAAAACTGCTTCAATCTAGCGTAACCCAAGCTCAATTGTACCGTGACTTAGATGTAAGCTTAATAAAGAAATGCCGCAAACCGAATATTTATCAGGCTATTATTTTCGTTATTTATTTTATTTCTTCTTCGCCGTCGTCATCTCAACTGTAGACCATAGGTCGTCGCTGTTGATGGATAAATTCCTGTTCCACCCGCGAGTCCTTGGGCACCACATAGAAAAGCAGGGCACCACCGGAAACGAAGAATCCCTTCTCGGCAACAATCTCGCTCAGTTGTTTCTCCATGACGACCTTGTGAACGCAGCCCACCTTTCGGTTCTCATAATACACATGCACATTGTTCGGTCGATAGCTGTTTGTTGTGTCGCAGGGAAGCGGTTCGGCGAATAACGTCGCCAGGCAATCCTGCATGGTTGCGGTCTCTGGCAGCTGCTGCTGGAAGTCGCTGAACAAGAACTCGGGGTACGAGAAAGCAGCTGGCCACACCAGAGTTGTACCATCCTCGTCCAAGTGCACTGGGTGATCTTCAAGTGGCAGGAATTTGGGCCGCAGCAGCTCCTCGCTAATAGTGGCATTTTTCCCACCGGCCTTTTGATCGTCAAACTTAACCGAACGCTGTTCGATGGCGTCGCGCAGCCTGTGATAGCGACTTAGGCGACGCTTGGCTTCGGCAGCTTCCTTGCGCTGATTGCGCTCTGTCTCTAACTGAAGGTACATTTCAATAGTCTTAATTTCAGCAAGAGTTTGCTTTCAAAACCCTCACCTTTTTCATTTTGTTTTTGTGCAGCAGCGCCTTAGCCTCTTTGTGGTCAACATCCACTTCGAGCAGTTCCTCGCACATCTGACTGCACAAGTCAAACTTGTCCAGCTCGTGAGCACACTGAGCCGCTCGCCAGCGCGCTTTGGTGTAGTCCGGTTTGAAAAAGAGGGCACGCTGTGCATCGCTCAACGCAGATCTGTAGTTCTTAATGAAGTAGTGAGCTGCTGAGCGATTGTTGTACAGTACGGCCAGCACATCCGGATTCTCCGTCTTTGACTTGATGCCCTCGGTAAAGCTGCAGACCGCCATGCGGAATTTCTTGTGCTTCATGTAAAAGTTTCCGTCCTCCTTGTAGTTTAGAGCCAACTCGTCCCGCGTGTTCTCCTCCGGATCGTACTTGAGCTTCTGCAGGCCCTCAAACATGGGGTGCACATCATCACCTGGCTGGGGCGCCCGCTTCATGAAGAACGGGTGCTTATCCATCTCCTCCTGCCACCTGTCTTCTGGCCATCCCTCCTCGTAGCGTTTCTTCTCCAGGCCGTCGATGAATGCGTCCAACTCGGCATCCAGCTTTGCTGCCAGCTCCAAGCGCTCTTCATCAGTCCAGTTTCTTTGCGCAGCCAATTCGTCCATGATTTATACAATAACAATAACAAAGGTATCGCACATGGGACCAATAGAGGTGATGTATCAATTCTGGTCGAACTTTCTAATCATCGATGTTTTTCGACCAATCGATGTTTCCGCGCCATAACTATCGGTATCAGTGGGGCAGTAGCTATTTATAGCCATTAGGCTAGTCACACTGGTCACACAAAATTAAGAGAGTTAACGAATTAAAAAAAAAAAAGAGTGGTTAACAAGAGTGTGGGTGAAATGAAAAACAGACTTAAGAAAAGGTGCATGTGAATTAAGAGAGCACTGAAGGTTACTATGAGCATACAATATAAATTAAAAATATGATTTAAATGACTGTTTTAAATTTTAAGTATAGGACTGTAATTAGTTAAGTTTTTTTTTAACAAAATAAATTTATGTTGTACAAACTTTGCAAGGGTAACATAAGTTTTATTTATTTCACCGGTCAATTATCCAAGTAAGTTACTCGTTGTACAATGTCCAAAATATGTTACTTTAGTTTGAGAACAAGGGGGCGTCTTGGTGAGAATAAGATAAGATAAGATTCAGACGGACATGGCTAGATCGGATCGGCTGTTGATCCTGATCAAGAATATATATACTTTATATAGTCGGAGGTGTCTCCTTCACTGCGTTGCAAACTTCTGACTGAAATTATAATACCCTGCAAGGGTATAAAATAGTTAGGCACATCTCAGTAAATCACGAACAACAAACTTAAAACCATAACACAAATGAAAATCTATGCATTAACTAGAATATTAAATATTTCCTTGTCCAAACAATTGACCGTTACAATATGCCCCTAGGTATCAGTATTACAAGCTTAACTTATGTATAATAACTTGTACATTACATTGATATTACATTTCCTGTATAGACAAATATATTTCTCAGTATAGGATATAGTTACATTATGTTCGTAAGCACAGTGTTTTTAAATTCTATTAACATGTAGCATAAATTTGTATGCTTTCTTAAAAACGCTATTTCCCCCGCACTATTCTGTTAAGCTCTCGTTTTTTCAACTCACCACCACTTTTCTGTTAACGCGAGTCATGGCTACAGTGCTGCCAAGTCTTTTGGCCTAAATGGGCGGATCTGGCAACGCTGCAACATGGCGCTGCCAGACTTTTGAGTCTCGAGCTACCAACCTTGCCGGACTTTGCGGTCAAGAGGCCTAACATCATAAATTAGCTAGATCTAGCAACTTACCGCGTATATAACATCTAATTAAAAAATAATCGATTGTGTCAGCTATTTTCAACTATTGCTTAAAAATAGATAAATGCAAAAGAGGCCAATCCAGTAATGCATGTTTTAGAGAACATTTGCAGCTGTTGGCAGATGTCCATATATTAAGTATATTTACTTTATTAGTAGTTTTTAAATCTAATACCAGATGCGATATCGATAGTATGAATTGTAATCGATTATCAAACTACAACTGCCACAAGTGTTGGTTAATTCTTTCATTTTATACTTTGATTGTGCTTTATTTTCTTTCTGCCGTATAAGAACACTGCTAAAATTAGCAAGCTGCAAACTATCAACTTTCGCCGTGTTTTTACGGCTGTTTGTATATTAAACTGGTCGCTTTGTGTGCTTGTCATTTTTTTTGCACGCGTTGGCAGCCCTTACAGTGTTGCCTAATTCGCCAGATCCGTCGCATCATTGGCAGAGACGCGACTGAGCTGGGACGTACCGTTGGCAGAGACGCGACAGAGAAATAAAATTAAAACGTCGACGTTCCTTCCTCGCAGAAGAATCCAATCAAAATAAAAACAAACACATAGTGCGTTCGCGCCAAATATTTAACAACAATTAGCAAACGAAAGAAACAAAGTGAGTGTCGGCTAACGGAGCTGTCGGCCCAGCTTGGATTTGTCCCGTTTCGGTAACGTAAATCCTGTTTCTCGTTTTGTCTGTCTGCAGTGCATACCCTTACGGCAGCCATCGAGATGGACAAGCTGGATGCCAATCTTGAGCAGCAGTTTGATCTAAATCTCATCGAGGCTGTCAAACTGAACCCAGTGATATACGATAGGTCTCACTACAACTACAAGCACTTTGTGCGCAAGGCCCAGACCTGGAAACAAATCGCCGAAACTCTCGGTGTGCCTGGTAAGTGAAATTCGGCTGGTTTTGGCTACGGGTTGTCCGTGCCCCAACAACAGCCAATTGATTAATTCTGTAAAGGGGGCCAGAGAGTCGACGACGGCAGTGGCCGAGACTGAGGCCGTGGCGGAGGCGGTGACAGAGGCAGAGGCAGCAAGTGTACAGAAAACGACGCAAAAGTGAACGACGACGCGGCGCAGTAGCTGGCTGATGGTTGAGTAATTGCAGGGGCGGACTTAGTTTCCCGCGGCTGGGCCGCAGTATCACAAGGTGGTCTTTTGAAATGTATTTTATAGATGCAAACTTTAGTTGAATACAAACCCAATTAAACTATAAATTAAATACAATTGGACAATTGTAGTTTCAAAATTAAAATACATAAGTAAAGTTTTAAAAATTTGAATAATAAATAACTATAATAAATGTCATTCAATATATTTGACTTGTACCGCGTTGAGAAAATTAACAAATTTATAACGTAGCAAAGTTCCTAATTTTTAACTACGACAATGTGATTTAAAAAAACACAAATTTCAATAACAAATTTTGCGCCCCCTTTCGGGCGGTTAAAGACCGCTCCTGGCGGCTCTGTCGAGCCAAGTCCTCAGTGGCAGTGTGCTCAGTCGATATTTTTGAAGTTGCTGTACTTTGCTGTCGCGTCGCAGTAGTTGTCTCGCTCGCACTCACGGTTCTGCTTGCGCTAACGTTTATTTTCGTACACTGCGCTGCTCCTACAACTCTGCTCCGGCCGACAGCTCACTCACTCACACACACAGCCAATCGTACACACACATCAGTACATACATACATAAGTATGTAGAGACCGACCAGGCAGCTTTCGTTTCTTTTTCATGAGGTATACAAACCGAATTCACCGCACATTCCCACCCCTCATCGGGCGTTGATCGAACCCTACATTTTCGTCTATACATATGTTGCACCTTATTCGGGGTTTGATTATGCAAGACGGTGGCTCGAAAACTAAAGTTGCTGCAAAGACGACCAAACGGACAATGCCACAGGTTTCCGTCTTCCTTAAGGCGGCGGGTGGAGGGCAGTCGAAGTCGGCAGTAACCAGTCGTCGGCGTCACCATCACGTCAACGTCTCTGCTGACGCTAGGAAGCTGCTGCATGCGCCTTCTGCCACCGCCTCTGCTTCTGTCAACGGTGGCAAACAGCTGCTGGCACAAGTGGTTAGGTTTATTTTGCTTTGATTTGATTCTATTAGACAGGGTCTCCGGGATAGGTTAGATGAAATTTTTACAATAAGCCAAACGTAACCCTAGGTGCCTTGGATTTGCTCTCTTCAGCGTTGAAAACTTGTAATCAAATCTTTAGTGCTCTATTATCAAATTAAACCATTTCAGGGTATTATAGTTGTAGTCCGACAGTGACAACGTAGTGAAGAAGTAACTTCCGACCTTATAAATTATACATGTCCATACATATAATCAGCGGACAGCCGAGTCGATCAAGCCAAGTTCGTCTTGGGATTATTTTCAACACAGAAAAAACGTTTCTGATATTGATAGGAGAATTGGTAGACAACAAAATACTATTTTGGGAAATTATAAATTAAAATATTTTGAACACTTCACATACATATTAAAAGATAACAAAAACAAGAAAGGAAGCTAACTTCAGCACGCCGATGTTTATATACCCTTGCAGATAGAACTTCGATGACTAGGAATCAATACAATATAAATTATATATATTTGTGTTAAAAACCAAAGGTTTAATTTCATTCACCTAATGATATTATGTTTACAGTTTTACATTCACAGATTTGCATTATTCCCCTATATCTAACGATCGTTTGTATGGCTATATGATCTAGTCGTCCGATTTTCATAAAATTTTACACAAAATTGTTGAATATGAAATGGCTATTACTTAAATTTGATGAAAACTGAAAAAGTTATAATTTTTAATTGTATTAATTTCTCGATCGTTCCTACGGGAGCTATATGATATAGAAGTTCGATTTAAAAAAAAATTTACACAAAATTGTAGAATAAAATAAGATTCCTTTACCTTATGTTATAATTTTTTTGTAAGCATTTTCCGATCATTCCTATGGCACCTATGTATATGATATAGTTGTCCGACGCGGCCCGTTCCGACATATGTATATACGAGTGAGAGTATACAGAAGACTAACTGCAAACTCGATAGCTTCAAAACTGAGAGACTAGTTTGCGTAGAAACGGACAGAAGGACAGCTGGACAGACGGAAATGGCAATATCGACTAGTTTGTTGATGCTGATCAAGAATATATATACTGTATATTGTCGGAGGTACCTCTTTCACTGCATTGCAAACTTCTGACTGAAATTATAATACCCTGCAAGGGTATAAAAAAAGATCAAAAAACTACAAGGTATTTTTATACCCTTGCAGGGTATTAGAATTTCAGTCCGAAGTTTGCAACGCATTGAAGGAGTCATCTCCGACCATATAAAGTATACATATGTATATATTATTGACCAGCATCAACAGCCAAGTCGATATAGCCATTTCCGTCTGTCCAGCTGTCCTTCTGTCCGTTTCTACGCAAACTAGTCTCTCAGTTTTGAAGCTATCTGAAAGAAGCTTTGCAGTTAGCCTTCTGTAGACTCTCACTCGTACATATATACATATGTCGAAACGGGCCGGACGGACGACTATATCATATCAATTGAAAAAAAATTTCAACTTTTTCAAGTTTTTAAAGATTTTCATCAAATTTGAGATATAGCCTTTTTATATTACTATACAATTTTGTTTACAATTTTAAGAAAATCGGAGTACTGTATAGTATAGGATTTATAGGAACGTTCGATAAATTAATACATTTAAAAATTATAACTTTTTCAGTTTTCGATAGATTTTCAAAAAAATTTGAGGTATAGCCCTGTTATATTATCTAGAACTTCGCTTTTAATTTTACATATATCATATATGTAGATAGCTGCCATACAAACAATGGTTAGATATAGAGAAAAATGCAAAACTGTTTATTTAAATCTGTAAATATAATTATAATAAATAGGTGAATGAAATGAAAGCAGACATTACTTCATTGTTTTTTAAAATAGATAAATAAAATATATATTGTATTAATTCCTAGTTATCGAAGTTCTTTCTGCAAGGGTATATAACGTCGGGGTGCCGAAGTTAGTTTCCTTTCTTGTTTAAAATATGACACTTATAAAATAAGACCTCAAAATAATAACAGCTGTCAACATATTTAAATTAGAGTTAGAAAGGAACTCCCAGAATATGGGGTATCTTCCAAAACCGGCAAACAACTATTATTGAATTAATCACTCTAATTTGTTATTTAGTCCGAATTTATATAGACTTTAAAGTATTACAACGTTTTTTTCTGTAATTTTCAGAACAAAAATGTACAAAGCGTTGGAAAAGCCTGCGCGACAAGTTCGCCCGCGAGATGAAACTGTGCCAGGAATCGAGGTGGCGCTACTTTAAGCAGATGCAATTCCTGGTGGACTCCATTCGCCAGTACAGAGAGTCGTTGCTCGGCAAGTGCGCCAATGGGAGTCAGAATGCCAACCAGGTGGCAGATCCTTCGCAGCAGCAACAGGCGCAACAGCAGACCGTCGTAGACATTTTCGCTCAACCGTTCAACGGGAGCGCCACAACCTCGGCCCAAGCACTAACCCATCCTCACGGTTAGAAACCTCATATAAGAATGCTGAAATTTGTATTACATTTCATGTCCAATATCTTACAGAAATCACGGTCACTGGTGACGCTCAGCTGGCTACTGCTGTGGGAAAGGATCAAAAGCCATATTTCTACGAGCCGCCGCTAAAGCGCGAGCGCAGCGAGGAAGAACACAGTGACAACATGCTTAACACCATTAAGATTTTCCAGAATAATGTCTCCCAGGCGGTCAGCGCCGAGGACCAGTCGTTCGGCATGGTCGTCACGGACATGCTCAACACGCTGGGCGTGCGGCAGAAGGCCGAGGCCAAGGTGCACATCATCAAGTATCTGACGGACATGCAGCTGCTGGCGCAGCACAACAAATACTAACTGCCGGGCGGCTGTCACCGGCAGCTGCTGCAGCTGCTCCAACTGGAGAGCGTTCTATCTTGAAAGCATAGAAGGGGGCGTGCGGCCACCGACATCCACACAGGCTGCGGTCGTGTGTGTGGTCACTTTCTTTAGAAAATAGTCTTAAAGTCAAACTACAGATTAATATTAGACATTAAAAGCCCCATGGCGCATACCCATAAAGCGTAATTATACTTCATTAACCCCGAAACGTAGACGACATACATATATACATCTTTATATGCTTAGTTTGACCTCAAGATCGATGATCCACTTCGCGCCCCATTCTCAGCAGTGTACAAACAAAATGCGATGGAATAAACAGCGGTCCTAGAATTATGCGTAGTTTGTTAAACAACCGTGGAATCACTTAAAATGCAGCGTATTGTAAATTTTGGACTACGATTTAGTTGTAACTTGCCATTGGGTCTTAGCTCTGTAATTAAGAACACACGTAATCGTTATTTTAATTTTATAAGTTTGTTGTAATATGCTGAACACGCTTGGTAAACTACTTTGAAAGGCTTTATGTACGACGAAAAGAAATATAAAACCCTTTTTCACAGTGAGCGCATATTACACACTTTACACGGAAACAATCGAAATAGTTGCCGGCAACCGCAAGTTGCTAACATTTTCAATGATTGATTGTGCAATTATTTGGTATTAAAAGATATGTTTGAAAAGTAACAACACTCTTGTTTTAATAGGACACTTTGTTGCTACAATTTTACTATATGGTGCTATCAATATTTAAGAAAAATATGAAGGCTACGGAAGCTTTGCGATTTAAAATACTTTGGTGGTTGACGTGACAATGACATATTGAAATAGAAGACATACTGAATATCAAATTGAACTACAGATTGCCTAGGAGGCTACAGTCACCAAACGGGACGAAATTACTGAAGGTTTCTTTGTCTTTTTTAAATCACAGATTTACCAGTTGAATCTTGCGTTAATTAAGAACTTCAGTAAACTTCGGGACCATGTAGAGGATTTGGAAAAGCTGCAGTCAAGCCATCAAACCTAGAGAGGAATCTTTTCTTTTGACTTGTATTCATTTTGTTATTTTAGTTTTTTTTATTTTTCATTTACAAAAAATCAATTTTAGGTCCGCGGGTTGGTAAAAATTTGTAACGTATAGTATTTTTCAGTCGTTAAAATGTACTACTCTTCGATTTGTATGTAAACAATCCAGCAATGGACTGTGAGTAGTATGAATGGGTTGACTTAAAAAACAAGGACTAGTAAAAAGTTCCTCCAAAGTAAGCGGCATTTACACACACTACCCGAGATATACAAAATTAAAGGTGTGGCCAACTTATCAATATTTTGGACCGATAGTAAACATAAGCAGCTGTTTCTTTCGTATATTTTGATCGATTGCAAACAAAATCATATGTTTGTTTCATTGGCCGGGTGAGCAAAATATTTTTATATAATTGACCAACAATGGAAAGAAAACCCGAAAATAATGACATAAAATCGAATAGTACAAAGAACACACTGGATGATGCGTGGGCAGTAAGTATCAAATTATAGCAATGGACCGAAAATGTACAATTCATTTTCCAGATACGGCCCTGTCATCTGTACAAAGATGAATACGACGATTGCACGAGTTTTAAGGCCCGCTTCCATCAGTACTTCATATTCGGTCAGGACACCGACTGCTCCCAGTGGCTGACAGACTACCGGAACTGCGAGCGCTACCAGTTGTCCAATGGAAACGACGTAGAAGCCGGCGCTGCAGTGATAAAAAGCGAGGAGGAGCGCCGATTAAATCGCCTGCGTGCTCACTTTGCCAACGACACCTGGCAGAAACGAAAACAGCCTCCGGCGGACTGGGCCTCACCGCTGCCCGACTGGATGGAGAAGCGGAATGAGAACACATATCTGGAGATGAAGCAGAAAGAGCTTTCCGGCCTGGCAGCGCCACAGGAGGAGGAACGCTCTCTGTGTGTTATAATGTAGGAAATAAATTATAGTGGTGAAGAAAAACTTATGTGTTAAAAAGGTCAATCTAGGGGTTTGAAGGTCTAATAGAGAATACTATTTGAAACGGTTTAGTAATATAGCTTGCATGCCAAGACTAGTTTGCTTAAAGTCTCACAAACGGCCTTGGCTGGACTCTGGTTGATAGACTCTGATATTGATGCCAAGCACACATATATATGTATGTATGTACTTTTAGGTCGCTGCATACTTCTGCCCAAAATTGAGATATCTTCGAAAGGGTATACAAATGCCGATACATTTGAGAGTACGTTAGCGGTATTTCTTTGTGGTATTTTTACATTCAGTTTTAGTATATTTTATCGGACCCACCCCCTCACATTTTTGTGTTTTTCTTTTCGATTACTCCCTCGTTTAGCTTTAAATCTTGCCCAGCCTTGCCCAAAATGCTAAAGGGCGGCAGCACATTAAAAGCCCTGGACGTCAGACTCCGACTGGTGCGACCCTTTATTGAAACAAGGTCAGCAGGTAAATGTAAATTACATAATTTAAGGCCGTTGGCAAACCTGGGGCACCATTGCGACACCAAAATTTACCGTGTCACTCAGAAGGTGCTTCTACATCTATTGCAGAAGCTGTGGACGCCGGCAGCAGCAGCTGCAGCCGCAGCAGCAACCGCAGCAGCAGCGCAGCTTCTCCAACAGCATCCACAGGTCCTACATAACGTTCAATGATTTTCGCACCAAGAACCGCTCGTACACCAAGAAGGAGCTCGTTGGGTAAGAATATTTTGCACTAAATCTGCTATGCCTTTTATATGATGAAATCATCCAACTAGGTACTCCATGTTGGACATGTACAGTGTTGTCTCTGACGTCAGCAACTACCACAGATTCGTGCCGTACGTAAAGCGGTCTCACGTTCACAGTCAGGAGAGCGAAGGAAGAGGCTTCCGGGCGGACCTAATAGTGGGTTTTCCGCCGCTAAACGAGGCATACACGTCGAGAGTTACCCTGATCCCACCCAGTCTGGTCAGGTCCGAGTGCCATGACGGACGTCTGTTTAACTACCTGTTGAACGAGTGGCGCTTTAGGCCAGGCCTCAAGGATATACCCAACTCCTGCGTGCTAGACTTTAAGGTCTCGTTTGAGTTCAAATCGCTGCTGCATAGCAACGTTGCAAACATCTTCTTCGACCTGATCTGCGACCAAATGGAAAACGCCTTTATCGAGGAGGTGCGTCGAAGAAGCGGCCCGCCTTCGATCCGCTCGCATGTGCTAACCTCACATAGATCCTGACCCCATGTAGCAAATAAATAGACGCAAATTTGTAATACACAACGTGTACAAAGAACATAAATTAAGTACTTTAATATGTCGATTCTTTTAACACAATACTAAAAATTAATATTCGTGAACAGTCTCGTTTTGGGTTAGTAGTAGCAACAGAGATAACGGATCCGTAGATTACATTTAAACTCAAATGATATACTGTTATCTTAATTGACAGATGATAAACTAAAGTTTTGTTTGGAATGGCATCGTTTAAGTTGAGAGAAATACAGAAGTGTACCCTCCGCAGGTTGCCTACGCGCTAGACTAGACTACATTACATTACATTCTTACCGTAAAGAGAAATTGTTATTATCGTGCATCGTTATCCATATCTTTTTATGTGTTTTTGGGTTCTGGGGGCAGTTAGTTTGAGTGGAACGTTAAGACTATCTCTACTGGGGGGGGGGTGTATACATATGCATATAACAGACGCTACCTGGGCTCAAACTCCAACTATTTCTCTAAGCTCTCTACAGTACTTTATACAAGGTTGTGACAAAGACTTTTTAATAAAAATATGAGTAACGCCGTACGGCGCACGAATTATTCGTGCTGGCTCTGAAATATTGCACTCATATGGCAATTCAAGTGTAAGGGCGTTATGCATCTTGTTATTGCAAGGTCTTTGGTAGTTGAGTATAGCAAACACTACTTAGTTTTGCGTTGTAAAAAAGTCCTCCTACAACAACAATAAGTGTTTAGTGTTAAATGTAAGTTACTTCTCGTTAATTTCTCAATATTGTCCAGTGAGCTCGGGTGCAACTACATACATTTTTTCGCGGAAACAATTAGCCTATAAATTGAGGAGTAACAAATGCAAAAAGACAAGAGGCCAACAGGTGGATAATAGGCAATTGAAGATAAAGGTACAATAGCTTAACCCTAGACGCCTAGTCATGCGAGCTAGGACGGGGTCAAAAATAATAAAATAAAAGCACGGAATTAATTCCGGGCCGGAAAAGCAAGTGACACACCGATGTAACCATTTAGAATGGTCAAGCACACAATGTCTTACAAAAGCCTTACAAAATATCACTTTTTCGACGGCGGTAAGCCGCCAGTTTCCTTAGTTCTCAGTTGTGCTTGGCCCGCCTGCCAAACATATAGCCCTTCCAGCGTTCCGCTGTCTGCGCAATCAGCGGGTCGCTGTCAATAGTAGCCAGCAAGAGGAGCTGATTAACGTGCGTTGCATGGTAGTCCCAGCGTGCCAGGTTCGGCGCCACGCCCAAGCTTAGGTGTCGAAGGTCGTAGCTGGTCCCTGAGCCCGTGTCGTATAAAAGCAGCATCTTCTTTAGAGAGTACATACCCTGAGCAAATAGTTTGCCAGCTTCGCGAGCAATCTTAACTGGCGCTGTGCTGTTGAGATCGTACAGGCCGAGCAGTGAGTAAATAAATCCGTTAAGCACGTAAGAAGGTGGTGTGGTGGGGTATTCCTCATACCTGTTTTATAGGTTAATAGACAAAAATTTTCGGTTAAGCATATTGATATTTTTACGATACTTTCAATTTTATGAGTGAACTGATAATACACATTATCAACATTTCTAAGTATATATAAATATTTCTCTACGCACCAGAAAAATTTGTCCATGAAGTGTGCCAGAACGCCGCCGTCCCGTGAAAATACCCTGTAAGGCTGAAGACCTGCCGCTGCTGCACGTAGGTAGCGCTCATCTCCACCCGAATGCCAGTATGCTCGGGCGAGCACAGATATGGCGTGACCCTGTCCCATTGCTGAAATCCATCCCGGACGCAGCTCCGCAAATCCGTTGAGGCTGCGACGCACGGGATTGGTCCAGCCACCCGTCTTGGGATCCTGGTTGTGGACAAACCACTCTGCAGCATCATAGAAGTGCGCTAGATGGTCACTAGTGGAAAGTGTTATGTTGTCGTAAAAACCCAGGCCTAGGAAGCCAATAGAAAGGACCTCCAGGTCCGAGCGTCGAATTTTTAGTGGCGACCGCTTGTCTCCCAAAACGATGCCCTTTTGGACGTCGATGTGCAGGTCCCGTGTGATGTGGCGCCATTTGTTCAGCGCCGATCCGCCCAGGCCATAGTATATGTTTGAGTCCTGCACGCTGAGCAGCAGGTCGGCGGGTATGTAGTGGAGGTTGTAACAATGCCGCGTATCGCGGTTCTGGACGGTGACCATGAGACTGCTGCTATTGGTCACCAATAGCAGGTCCACACTTAGCAGCAAGTCCAGTGTTTGATTTAGAGCGATGCTGATAGCGCCCTCGTAGCCGGGCGCGGTCTCAAACTGGACCACGCTGGTGTTAAACTTGTGGTGCCAGATGCGGGACATGTTGCTGGTTTTAGGCGTGCTCCAGTCCATCTGGTTGCTATCGGCGTCCTCGAGGATGCGGACTCGCGGCGCTGGCTCCGTAAGATTCTTGCTGTAGTGCGACAATGCAAACTGGGCTATCTGTGTGGGGTAGAAGTAGCCGCGCTTCTCCCACTGGGTGCTAACGGGCACGCCCTCAGCAGCGCTGATACACTTCACTCGGTCACGCACCTCTACGTTGTAGTTCTCAAAGTACATGAAAACGCCGCGTGCGTCGTACTTGCCCCTAGGCAGGTTCACCTTGGCTGTGCTGTGCATCCAATTGAATTTGGCCACCTCGCTGCCGCTGGTGGAGACTGCTCCGCTCACCTCGAAGTAGTTGCGCAGAAAGGAGAAGGGCAAGTACACCTCGTTTGCGTTCTCGTCCCGCTTGCAGTGTACGCTGTACTCCTGGTTGATGGAGCACTCGATGTCCTGCAGCACAGTGGCGTCGCCAGGGGATTGCCTGGCTATCGGCCGGTCCAGTGTTCGCACAAAGTCCGGTGAGAAAGAGAAGGCGGCACATCGCATGTACACACCTAGGGTAATTACTACCACGGCCACAATGAGGATGAGCAGCACCGCTTTTAGGTTCAGACGCATGATGAAAAAACCAAAGGCTCGCGTTGCTAAGAGTATTGAAATCGGTTTAAGTAGATTAGCTGACTGAGAAGGCACCTGGGAGATATCTAATTCTTACCTTGATTCCGTGCTGCGGTTTTCGTGTCTCCCGGCAATTCCGGGCTACTGCTGGCAGTGCTGTCGGAAAGGCATCTCTCTGGGTGCCCGGATACTTGGACATCCGGTGGGCTCGGAATCGGTCACAGGTTTCCTTTTAATAATCTCGCACTGCTGATCTCCTAACTTAGTGAAGGTGAGTCATTCTCTAAATATAGGACCGTTTTGATTTGGCAGATGGCATGGCTGACAATAGTTGATAACAGTGTGATGCACCAGTGCACCACAGGAAAATTCCACCTACAGAGCCACCAGATGCTCGATACTAGATCTATGCAGTGACGCGAGGATGTTCCATTTGTTGCAGGCGCTTCCTTACCATATTACACTGGATTTTCTCCCAATTTTAGTTACAACTTCCTAAGAAAAAACACCAAACAGTAGGAACTGGCAATTGTTTTGGCTATGTATTAGAGCTGGACGAGACATCGATAGCCTTAGTCACATTTTCGATGTTTTACCGACAGTTGAATCACTAAAAAAAATCTGAGAAACTTAATACTAAAAATTTTATAAATAGAGCATTCATTTTAAACAATAAAGTGCATACATAAAATTTAATTTTTAACGCATCGTCTAACAAAAAACATAAAAATAAAGAAATAGGCATGATAAAGATTTTCCAGCAAGTGGGTAGCTCTCACTATCGATAAAAGTAATCGAAGTAGCGATGAATCAATAGTCGCAATGTTTACAAAATATAACAGGTAGATGCGAAGCCAGAGGACATAAAATGTAATTAATTATAACCATGTCTAGTCGTGAATTAAGTGCAATACTTCTGCTCATTGGAGCAATGTTGGTAACAGTGTCCCACGCCTCGAATGGCGACCGCACACAGTTTTTTCACAACTGCCGGCAGAACTGTGAGCGAACGAACTGCTCGGCAGGTAAGCATGTTACTGCCATCGCTTGGTATTCACCTGACGAGGATGCCTTATTGGCTATACAGATGGACTTGAGATACAAGAACAGGCAGTGAAGTTCTACAAGCAGTCCGTGTTCGACCGGCTCTTCCAATGGAGCTGCGCTGACGAGTGCCAATACGGCTGCATGTGGAGGACAGTGTTCGCCTTCTTTGAACGTGGATGGCCTATTCCGCAGTTCTATGGCAAGTGGCCCTTTCTGCGCCTGCTGGGAATGCAGGAGCCAGCCTCCGTGTTGTTCTCGGCACTAAATTTTGCCGTGCACCTGCGGATGCTGCGAAAATTTCGAAGGGAAGTGCGTCCCGACAGTCCCTGCTATATGCTAACCCACATATTTGGAGTGGTATGTCCTCGTTGCTTACATATCTAACATAATTATGAACGTATTATGATTCACAGACAAGTCTTAATGGTTGGGTGTGGTCAGCCATTTTCCACACAAGAGATTTTCCGCTGACTGAGCTGCTGGACTACGCCTTTGCCTACTCCATCATACTGTGCTCACTATACGCCATGGTGATGCGGATGCTGCACCGCTACTCCCTGTTCCTGCGCGGAGTGATCTCTTTGGCCTTTCTCTCCTACTACATTAACTACTTCGCTTACCTGAGCGTGGGCAAATTCAGCTACTCGTTTAATATGATGGTAAATATTGCCACGGGCGTAATCTCGGCCGCTGGCTGGTTTGTGTGGTGCCATTTCGTGCGCAAACGCAGACCATACTTTCGCAAGATCCTACGCTTCTATGTTCTCATGGCCCTGGCCATGGGTCTCGAGCTGCTGGACTTCCCCCCAATACTTTGGATTTTTGATGCCCACGCTTTGTGGCACTTGGCCACCGTTCCGCTGGCATCTCTCTACTACGAGTGGGTACCACCACAGGGTTCTATCTGAACGTTTTAATAATCCTTTGTTCCCGTTTCAGATTCATGATAGAGGATTGTCGAACTCTGCGACAGGAAAAAGCAGCGGCTGGCGGCTATGCGTATTACAACTAGGATAATTAGGGGCTAACTCTATTCAATTGTACTCGCTTCGTTCCAAAAAAGTCATCTTTGCATCTTTATTACAAAACTCCACGTTTCACTTTTTGTGTTACATTTGCCCGCATTGCGAAATCGTCACTGGCAGCTTGGGCTTGTTGTTGGGTCCCGTGGGAACGTTCTCGATCTTTCTCATGATCAGCAAGCCGTCAAGGACACGGCCGAAAACTACGTGCTTTCCGTCCAGAAAGTTGCACTTTGCACACGTGATGAAAAATTGGCAGCCATTAGTCTCCTTGCCACTGTTCGCCATAGACAGGAGTCCGGGCGAGTCGTGCTTTAATGTGAAATTCTCGTCGCCGAACGTGCTCCCATAAATACTAGTCACGCCGGTGCCATCTCCCTGCACAAAGTCGCCACCTTGTATCATAAAATCCTTAATTACCCGATGGAAGCTGGCGCCTTTGTAGCCAATCGGCACGCCGTCAGGCCGGTACTCGCCTGTGCAAAATTGCCGAAAGTTTTCTGCCGTGCGCGGCACTGTGTCCGCAAACAGTTCGAATATCATCCGGCCTATCTCCTGCAAGCGAAAGAGGTTAAACAGTTTATCTGAGTATCCAAGTCCGTTGCTGCTTACCGTTGTGCCCACTGCTATGTCGAAAAATACGACGGGGTTGTTGGAGCTTCGCAACTGTGACTGTATTTGATTCCAGTTCGGCATTTTAATTATAGTTTTAACTTTTAACAATAATAATAGCGGCGGCAAATTTTTGTTTACGTTTTAAGCGATGAATTGATAGATCTAGCAGGCATGGATATCGATAGGCCAGAAACCGGTATAATCGATAAAGCCATATGTGAAGCGTGTTTGTTTTGGTTAAATTATTACACTTTTGTTTGTGCCTTGATATTTGCTTGTTTAAAGGTAAGTCCGATTTTATTACCCTATTGACAAGTCCACAAAGTTCAAGATTTAACTGAGTGCGATAATTTCCATAAAAACACATTGGCCGTGTTTTCTTTTCTGTTTAATAATACACGTGAAAATGAATGCAATCAGTTTGTACTATACAGTGCCTTTTGTGATTTTAATTAACAACAAGAAAGGAAGGTAACTTCGGCACGCCGAAGTTTATATACCCTTGCAGATAGAACTTCTATGAATAGGAAACTATACAATATAAATTATATATATTTGTAATAAAAAACAACGAAGTACTACCTGCTTTCATTTCATTCACCTATACATATTATATTTGCAGTTTTACATTCACAGATTTGCATTTTCCCTCTACATCAAACGATCGTTTATATGGCACCTATATGATATAGTCTTCCGATTTTCATGAAATTTGACACAAAATTTAAGACTAATATAAAATGGCCATACCTTAAATTTGATGAAAAGCAGCTGAAAACTGAAAAAGTTATAAATTTAATTGTATTAATTTCTCGATCGTTCCTATGGGAGCTATATGATATAGTAGTCCGATTTTCATAAAATTTTATGCAAAATTGTAGAATATAGTAGAATGGCTATATCTCAAATTTGATCCAATTCTATTGAAAACTGAAAAAGTTAAACATTTTTTTGTAAAAATTTTCCGATCATTCCTATGGCAGCTATATGATATAGTCGTCCGATCCGGCCCGTTCCGACATATATACGAGTGAGAGTATATAGAGGCTAACTACAAAGTTTCATTCAGATAGCTTTAAAACTGAGAGACTAGTTTGCGTAGAAACGGACAGACGGACAGACGGACAGACGGACAGAAGGACAGACGGACAGACGGACAGACGGACATGGCTAGATCGACTCGGCTGTTGATCCTGATCAAGAATATATATACTTTATATAGTCGGAGGTGCCTCCTTCACTGCGTTGCAAACTTCTGACTGAAATTATAATACCCTGCAAGGGTATAAAAACGACACTTGAAAATACTATGTAGTTATTGCTTATTGCCATTGCACTGTGGGGTGCCTGCTCCATTTTCTGACATATGTATGTATGTACATCAATGTGGACGGAGTTCGACTTAGTGACGAAGAGCACCAAGAGTGTGCGTTAGCCAAGCTGTTGGGGCCTGTGCATCGAAATCCCAAATTTTATTTTTTTTAATCAATGTCGTACTCTAGACCAAGAAACCAAATTATCTTAAAAATACTCTCAGTTTAAAAGCTATTCTATAATGAAGAGTTGATCCGTCTTTTCAAAATGGCATATATTTTATTGCTTGTCTATTTGAATCAAGTGTCTTTTTCTTTTAAGATTCCTGAGCCTACTTTTATTATATTAAACACCTTAGTTCTAGTACTTTTTAGAGAAATACCCTGCGCATTTCTAATAGTACATAATTATACTCTTGAGGGTATTTTAATTTTAGGCAGAAGCTTTGTTACGCTTTGAAGAAATCATTTCTTATTTATGTATGTACATATATTCTTGTTCAACAGGCAAGTCGATCTAGCCATCTCAGGCAGAAAAGAATTTGTTCCAATTTGTTAAAATTAAATTGAAAATTTTTAAATAAATTTCGAATTTATTTATAGTTAATTCTGACAAAAGTCGTGAGAAATTTTTTGTAGTTGGAGGTTCAACAGTCATTTTTATTTTACCTTATTAAGAGTTGTTTTTGATTGAGCTATAAAATATACAAATATTTATCAAGACGTTAAGATGATTGCGTGCTAAAAGCAATGCGGCGTCGGAACTCCTGTCTTTTAAATTAAAGAAGGGTTTAAGTATAACGTACCATACAAACCTTTAATGTAATCGAGTCGAGAGGTTAAGTTAAAATAAATTATTGATTTGCTTTGGGGAATTTAAAATAAAAATACATCGGATATTGTTTTGTTGTTTTGTTTTACATAAAACTTGCATAACAAATGTCAAAAAATGTTTATAAATAAGTGCTTTTGTTCATGATAGTAGACCTATTCTACCTACAAAGTATTCGCAATGAATGAGCTTTTAATTAAATTAGATGAAGTTCAGCAAAACTTAGACCCTAAATTCATAATAGATGTACTTAAATTCAACTTGAGCAATGTTTGTTAGTCGGTAGACATAAGGTAAAGGCCTCATTTCAGCTCCAAATTAATACTAGCTAGAGGTAAATCCGCGACATCCGTTCCTTCCGACTTGGCGTTCAGTTACTCCCCTCGTCCGTGTCTACGTCGGAGATATTTTTTAATTTCGTGCTTCCGTTTTTGTTGGTACTATTGATGGCTCCGTTGCTTCCGTTGTTGGTGTTCCGATCGTTGTCATCCGCAGCCTTCTGAAAGTTCTCCTGAAGTGTCTTGGGATCCACCACCAAAATTGGTGTACATCCGTCCATTAGGTGCTCGCTTTGGCTCTGGTATTGCTCCCGCGAGATGCTGCGCGTAAAGGAGAATCGCAGGGATTTGGTCCTGGTCAGCTTCTTCTTAATGGGTGGCTTGCCAGATACAGGAGCCATTGGCTCCGAGCTTGTCCGCTCCGAGCCCTCGGGCGTTGTGGGAACGGAACTTGACTCCAGCTGGTGGTCCCGCAGTATCTCCTCCGCCAAGCATTTTATCTGGGTCCAGGCATCAAGAATGTCCTTCTCCGTGGCGTGCTCGTAAGTGACGCAGAAGCGGATAACGTAACGGCCGTTAAACTTGGCCGGGGTCATGTGCATCTTGCCAGAGTGGTTGATCTGGGCCAGTAGCATGTGGTTGGGTTCGTCGCCAGTTCTGTAAAGGAATGCGTAAATTATTATTTAAAGAGTCTTAAAAGTATTAAATAAGAATTTAACTAGTTCTCGATTTCCCGACTTACCGCATTCTGAAGCAGACCAAGCCCAGGTGGACATCATTGCGAACCTCGAAACGCTCATCCTTGCGTACCAGCATCTCGAATTTCTTGGCTAAGGCCATGTGGTTGCGGATATATTCCTGCAGGCCTTTGATGCCGTAGGTTCGGAACACAAACCACAGCTTCAGGGCCCGGAAGCGGCGGCTCAGCGGAATGCCGTAGTGGCGGTAATCCACGCCGTTCAAGTGCTCGTGTCTAAGGTACAGTGGATTGACGTTGAGCGCGCTCTTAAGGGTCATCACATCCCGCACCCACAATGCGGAGGCATCAAAGTTTGTCAGCAGCAGCTTGTTGGGGTTTGTGTTGAATGAGTCGGCGTATTCCAGGCCAGCTGAGAAGACCCTCATCTCGGGAAGGATGAACGAGTTGCCCGCGTAGGCACCATCTACATGCAGCCATATGCTGGACACCTGGCGACACACTTTGCCGATTTCTGTGATGTCGTCGAAGGCACAGCCGCCGGTGGTGCCCACTGTGGCCACCACGAAGAAGGGCGTTAGACCGGCATTCACATCGTTCTGAATGGCCTGACGCAACAGGTCCACGCGCATGCGCCCGTGTTCATCAGCGTCTATAATGCGCAGTTTAACCAGCGCCATCTTGGTGGCCTTCTCCACGGAGGAGTGTGCCTCGCGACTGGCGTAGGCAATTAGACTAGGCAGAAAAACGCTGTCGTGGACACTGGTCTGGCCCTTCAGCTCGCTGATGGCGCGGGCACGTGCAGTAATCAGGGAGACTAGAACGCATTCGGAGGCAGATCCTTGAAGGGCGCCGCCGCCAGTGCTGCCAGGCGCATCAGAAACGAATGCCTTAGGCAGCCCAAGGGCTTTGGCATACCAATTCATCACGATCGTTTCCAACTCCGCGGCCGCCGGACAACTGGCCCAGCTGAAGCCTATGGAGCCAATGGCGCTGCTTAGCATATCGCCCAGCACGGAAGGAAAGGAGTTGCCCGACGGGAAGTAGGCGAAGAATTTGGGATGGTTCCAGTGCACCACGCCCGGCATGATCTTCTGCTCGAAGTCCTCGAGCACGTCCTTGAACGACTCCGGCGACTGCGGAGCGTCCGCTGAAAGATAAACAGGCCAGCAGCCGATTAGTGGGTGCGCCTTAAATATTTCTTTTATCACCCATAAATTTGGGCAGTATTTATGGCTAGTCTGTTGTTTTTGGCAGTGAGTAGAAAGATCAACAAGTAAGTCTATACGCAAGGTGTGTGTTTGCGTATGCATAATTAATTGATTTGTTTAGTTGAACTCTCGGGACTGCGGCGTCCATCCGTCCATTCGGGGTGTAAATATTTAACTTAGCCTACTGTGTGCGGAGGAATTCGCCAGAAATTCACCAGCAAAACGATGTTCTCCTCAGCCTGCCAACTTCACCGATCTTGGAGCTGCGGCGACGGCCGCCGAGTGCGCCCCAATTATGCCAGGCCCCCGCCCACGCCGCCTCATTGCGGCACTCGAAACCGTGGGCTTGGGGATTTTCGAATAGTTTATATTCGCACATTATTCACATGACTCTTTGAGCGGTGAGCAAAACAATTAGTCAACATGATTTAACAACTTTTCTGAGAGGGCTTTAATTTGCTTGTTGCCTTCACTTGGCCTGGCTTTCTTTCAATATATATATATATACGTATATGTATGTATGTACATAAATACATTCATTTGTACATGTTTTTTGCGAAAAGAAATATTTTCAGATATTCATTGTTAATTTGTTTGGGCATTGTTAACAATTAGCGTATACAATTTATCACTATTGCTATAATTAAACATGCTTATTTTGGATTGAAATAAAGCCTACAAAAGTCTACATTGTAAGCGAAATGGTTTCACGCTATTAAAACTAACTTTATGTCAAAATATTAAGGTCACGTACGTAATTTCTTAACTTAAAGCTAAAAAATAACTTTCGACCATTTTAATTTAACTTTGAATAAGCAAATTATAATGCGAAAGGAGCTTAATTTCTCTTGAAATTCGGCAGATGATTTGCTGACTTGTTTGTCTCACCTGGCAGTAGTTTCTTCAGGTAACCTGGATCCAAGGTGGGCGCCACATCACGCTCTTCGATGTTGGTGCCATATTGGCATATATAATCGATCACTTCCTTGCCGTATTTGCGAAACTCTTCAACATTCATTTTTTGTTATTAACACTTGTCGTTTGTCTTCGTGTTTATCTTAATGTTTGTTCCTTTTCGTTTTATATACGTTTGTATTACACACGATATGGTTGGTCTGAATACAAGGGTCTAATTTATCTTGATCACTGTTTAATCCGTTAACGCGTACCGCTCGCTTGCTGCAGCTTCAGTTTCCTTGGCGCGAATGACTTGTCCACTACCCTTGGCATTCGGTTTTATATGGAAAAAGTCAGATCGGCGCGCGATCGGCGGACTCTCTTTTGGCGCGTTGCCCTCTCTGCTGGCTCTCGGAGCACCTGCTAGGTGTTTTGGGTATTGGCGTTGCCCGTCTCGTGATCACGCTCAAATTACTACCCGGAGACTCGAACTTCGCCTCCATCGAGATCGGCTGGGAAACCCGCTTTGATCATTATGACCACTCCTCTCGGCTAGCTCGGCTTGGGCCCAGTGCTAAAAAGTCCCTGGTTGGAAAAGGTTTCGGGCTTAATTATAAGGTGAGAGAAATTCCATTTCCAGTGTGATTGGGGAATTATTAATAATAGCTTATAATGTCGAGTGTGAGCTCTAATTTGTGTAAATCTTCATTGGCTTGCCGCCTGAAATACTGAGTAACTCTTCCTTGCGATGCCATCGTTAATTGTTATGACATTTAAATTGGTTTTGAGCGTGTTTCCCAGACTTTTGGCTTGCCGAACCTGAATTAGTTATTTTTTGTTTGGCTTTTCGGGGAATTTTTCGGGGTAATAGAAAACGTTGGGCACTGATAAGTCCGGCTCGCGCAAAGACCGTGTGTGAAGAGACCAAACTTGTTTCTCCTCAAAGACTCAAAGAAGAACCAAAACTTTCCAGCCGCTGATAGGGGGAACCACTCCAAGTACTCTAACAATAAATTGGCAAGCAATTGTCCAAATATTGACCGAATTCGTTAACGCCATCGGGATGCACGGATGACGAATACCTGGCAACAGCTCAGGCTTGTGACGTAGCTGTGCGAAAAACGCCCATTGTTTTACGGGATCTCCTGCTGGGTGAAACACGAAAATAAAAATAACAAAAAGAAAACAATCTCTGCCAAATGAAATTTTCACCCATTTGTTTCTGTTTGCGGATCGGATCGAGTGGGCGTGGGGGCTGCTTGCTAATGGGTGTGTGTGGGAATGGGTGGTGGCCAGGCACGTATGAATGAGTGGTTCTGTTCCGCGAGTTAGCTAGAGGCTCCCCCGTAACTTGACGTCTTGTTAATTGCGGCACTTATCTAACTGTGCCCTCTAATGATCTGGCGATGGTTACGTTTGTGTGATGAGCATTGTGGTGAGCAGCGACCTTGAGATTTCTTTCGTTTGTTTACTTTTATCTCTGGTTACTATAGTTCCCAAGTCTTTAGTCTAGAATATATTAATTATGAGGTGTGACCCTTAAATTACAGGTGGGATCAGAAGCAAAAGATTTAAAACAGTATAGGAAGCTAGTGAAGGGAACCCTTGCTGTTTGCCTGTACTATAACTGATGGTATTGTCTTTCATCGGGAAAAAGCCAGGCTACACACATCTTTGGTGGCTCGCCAGAAGCTCCAGGAGCTCGGATGGGAGGTTCTTATGCATCCAGCGTATAGCCCGGATCTCGTACCATGTGATTACCACCTTTTTCTATCCATGGCGAACGCGCCTGGTAGTCTGAAGTTGTTCACAAGAGAGTCTTGTAAAAATTGGCTCTCCGAAGCGAGCTTCTATATGAGGGGCATTATGATGTTGGCATCTCGTTGGGAAAGCGTCATCGAGCGAAACGGCGCATATTTGACTTGAGTCCCATTATTGTAATCAATTCTATGAACAATTGAACAATTTTTACAATACCGCAAAACTTTTTTGACAGTCGCTTATCCTGATACATTAACGAAGTCCAACTCATTCTCCGGTAAAGAGCCGGCTCCGGAAGTCCGTCGCGATGATGACGGTTGGACGTTGGTGTCAAAATGCCGAAAAACTAAAGTTGTAGAACTTTTTAAGATTTAGTGGTCCGACCTTACATTACACAACTCGAACAGGAGTATTTAGAATGTTTTATTTGGATTAAAACGACAGGCTAGGCTTAACAATACTCTTGTATAAATCGACTTGGCTCTTGATACTGATCAAGAATATAGTTTATACTTTTAAGAGTCAGATATGTATGTAAGTCTTTTGTAGTGCATTGCAGACTGCAGAGGTAAAAATATCAAAAAACTTTAATTGTGCTTAACTTATTTACTTAAATTCTGCAAATAAATTCCCATATTCTCTTCTAATTAAATCTTTATCGACTGATCAACCGATTCCAACCACTGTGTCTGGGCTGGGGCAAGGTTTGGCGAACCTCGCTGAGTCACTCGGCGCACGCGCCGCCTTGAAGAGACTCTCAGGCGGAGCAGAGTCCGCGGCGAGAAAGAGTGAGATAGAGATCGGAGATTGCGGGACTGAGAACGCCTCTACACACCATGACTTGACGTGTTTCTGCTCCTCTTTTAGCGGCCAAGCTTCGCCTAAACTTTCATTCACAGTGCCAGCCACCGCAGATGACGTCGTGCGTCTAAATATAAATTCGTATTCAGTTTACGCGGTCACACTTCAAAAGTGCTCGAGGGCCGTTGCCATCATTCATCGAATCCACCAAATCCATCCGCCTTCAACGCTGCCTCTGCTGGTTCATCTGTTTCCTCTGGCTGTGGCTGTCATACGTGCGATTGGGAATGTTTCCATTGAGTTATGGAAGGTGGCACAGCCAAACACGAAATCAAACTCCAATTTATCGCTGCCTACAGTCCAACTCCACTAAGCCACATTTTTATTGTTAAATTAAATGTTAGAAAAGGGATGATTTGGTATATCCCTGCACATATGACAGTAGTTCTCCTATTACATATAAATTAATAATTAATTCTATTACTTGTTACGCAATGACTATGGAGGGTCTTCTCCCAAAATTTGCATTAAATTTGGTAAAGCCACGCGCTTGACAACAGCTGACGGATATTGCACACGAAGATATCGTGCTCCGTGCTGCTTCTACATTTATATTTTGTTTATTTAAGCGGTTTCGTCTCTTTTCGTATTTGCCAAATCATGCTTTAGGCATTTCATTCATTCTTTCATTCGGCTAAGCATGCTAAATGACTTTGTCTTTACCATTTGAATGCAGAGATAGGTAGGTATGGCGGCTGTTGATTGATGTATTTCGAGGAAGGTGTCAGAGATGTCGTTAAATGATTCTTTTTATTGGCGCCGGTAGCATAATATTAGGTTTATTTCGCATGTGAACCAGATATAGAAATCCGGTTTTGAATTTCATGATGTAGCGAAAAGGGATTTGCTTCTTTGGGGTCTCGTTTTATATTATCTTATTCGTTTATGATTTGATTCTTAGACTTATTTTCGAGTCGTACGCGGAAAATATCTTTGCTAAATATGTAGACTAAAATCAATCCGATCAAGATGGGGAAACTGGATTAATCTTATTCTAAGCAATGTTCACGGATCGGTCGGAAATTCGAGTCGTTTTTAATATAAAAGAAATCATTTTTCGATAGCTTAGCTTTTAGTGTTTTTTAACATTTGTTAAAGTTTTGTTATGAGTTTTGCTTCCCAATCTATTTTCAATTTCCAGGGTTTTTCGAGATATACTAATTTGGGACTTGTTTAGTTTTACTAATTCTTTTTGTTTATTAACCAATCTTTAATAGTAATAAGTAATATGTCCGTTTTATGTCCGTCATTAAGATAATATTAAGTTTATTTCACTCTCACTTAAGTGGCTACAAAATGAAGAACCGAAACTAAGGTATATTCGTATGTTTAAAGTAAATTGAGCTTAAAAATGAACTCCCTCGCAGAGTTAGTAACAGTAACTAAGGTATATTCGAATGTTTAAAGTAAATTTTAAATTAAGAAATTAACTCCCGTGCGGAGGTAGTTTGATTAAAATCGAATAATTAATATGACAGATATTTTAACAATAAGGTTTTTGTGTATGTTGAACTTGTGCAACATGGACATTTATGTTTGGTGTTGCTTAGGATGTCCCCAGCAACATTTGTCTTTCTTAGGGTGTTGCGCAACATTCGCCTTGGAACACTTGCCTTCACTAGTCAACATTTTCTTCCGATTTGTTTAATTTAAATTTTTTTCATAAATGATTCTTTTAATTTCAACCACTATGCTTTTGGGTACCGGGTATCTGACAGTCGGTCACACTCGGTTGAAGCAGGCAAAAAATCCAACAACTTAAAGTCTACGCAGGCCTGTCTCATTTTTCAAATCAAGTTATTTTGGAGTGTATATTTTGTACAAATTTACGAACAGCCATGTTTATCTTATTCTGGTAAAAATTGCCTATCTGCTGCCGTTTATTCTTCTGCTTACTCTAATGCCAAGTTATTCTCCAGGTGTATCTTGGTTCTTAGTTCCTTGGATGTGATTTTTGTGGCTAATGCTAAAGAGAAGGGGAAGCAAAAGGTTGCGGAGGACCCGCACTACGATTACAATGAGATCGTGCGAAATATGATCAGGTCTTGGGAAGCACCCGTTGTTTATCTCAGAGGCCGCGGCTTCTTGCCCAGCGACTACCAGGACACGTCGAAAATCAAACCGAGCCTGGATGCTCTAATGCAGCGGCTGGATAAGAACAAAAGAGAAGCCAAGAACCATTGCGTGGAAGGGATGGGCCCTCAAACGGTTAAAGGTACTCCCAAAGAGAGGAAATTATCTGGCTGGGAGCAGCTGCAGGCCTTGAGTACCAAATTCTCCGGGAAGAGGAGACTAGATGAACGAGGGGGAAAACTTATGACCATGAAGCGCCGCTTGGAGCAGTTGCAATGCGGTGCCAGCGGCAGTCCACAAAGGTCGGAAATTCAGATGAATGCCAAGATGGTGCCTGTCCCTACACCAAAGGAGTCTGAGCTAAAATATGACGATGTATTGCAACGAATGATTGAAAAGACGAAGCCACAGTCAGGGAGCAATCCCTTCTCCTTCAGTCCTCAACCTTCAAAAGCGCCAGCCTCGATAGATGGTAATCCTGTGACATCGGCTCCGATCAGTCTGAGTACGTATAAGGCGCTCAGCTTACTGCCTGATTCACTTGATAACACCGAAATTAATATGCCCAAATCTAGTCCGCCGGAGGCCCAGAAAGGCAATAGTAAAGAGGAAGCCCATAGCTTAAATAAAGGCTTGGGGGTACCAAAATTTCTAAAATGGGACATAAAAACCGGCCGCCTTGACCAGTACTCACACGACGAAAAGGAAGACTATCTGAAAAAGTTGCTCAATGTCTACCGACCAAAGCTGGACGAAGGCGACCCAAAACCATTCCGAGAACCCAACAGTGCTCCTGACTTTGGACATTTGTTATCCCAAAATCTGAGGAATTTCTCAATGAGTCACATTCCATTTGGAGTCCGAACCAATGCACATTAATTATGGCTATTTTGATTCCCATGACGATACCAAGTAATACGACGTCATATCCATGGTATCATCCACATACTACATACATGCTTTTGTTCCCTTTTGTTTACCCCGAAGGAAATATCAAAGAAATCACAGGATTTGGCTGTTTACCCTGAATCCGTTTATATTTTGTTGATTCTAAAACGAATTAGTTGGTTGTGTTAATTTGGAGGCCACATGCTTTAACAAATAAAAAGCTGCTAACATCTTTATCGAAGTCAAAGTGCGACACTGAATTGTTCACTAAAACAAAAATAAAAGAAATCCGTTTAATAGAAATCTAAACTTTTTTAATTTATAGTTTTTATGTGTGCAATATAGTAAACTACATTGCAAAGTGTATTAAGGTTGGCTGCCTGAATACACTTTAATTTGTTTATAGTTCACACATACTTATATTGTTACCTATCCACATCAGATCAGCACAAATATCAATTTATTTAGAATTAATAGTCATTGCTTTGCATAAAACGAGAAAGTTTTATTCGTTCAATATTGCTGTGACAGATCTTAAAGGATAAGTAATACATATGTATATGGGATGTCCCATTGCATTGTAGATTGGTCTAGAATTTAACTAGGCACCTGGGATAAGTAGGTGCTAATACTGTGTGCTATATATGCATAAGCCTGTGTCTGTTCGAATAGAATTAGTTTGGATTTTCCCGTGCGGAGGATGTTTTACGCACGACCATGGGCGATCTTCGGGGCGATCGCTGCTCCTGCTGCTGCTGTTGCTGCTGCTGCTGTTGCTGAACATTCATGTAGTCCAACTCATTCTCCGGTGAAGGCGAAGAGCCGGCTCCGGAATTCCGTCGCGACGATGACGGCCGGACATTGGTATCCAAATGCCGAAAACTGAAGTTAGAGAAGATTTTAAGCTTCAATATATAAAGATTGAATGATTCAAAGGAGTCTGCAGAAAGTCATTGAGAGTTCATGTATACAACGTATAAAAAAAAACTAATTCACAAGCGGTTTCTGTTTAAGTAGAAACTAAAACTCGTTCGTTTTAAATAAAATTTAACTCAAACATTAAAAGTGGACAAAACAAAAATTAAAATTGTTGAACAAAATCCTACTTATAACCCAAGAAAACCCACCGCAATGAGACATTATTGCCCTTGTCCTCGTTGTTGCTGTTGAAGAGGAAGGCCAGCGGCCAAGAGATCCAGGAGTTGTGGTCCACCGAGCTCTGGGTTCGGATGATGGGGGCACTGCCTCGGCTCACCACCGGCGAGGGCAGCTCCATGGATAGCTTCGGTGTTCCGGCCTTGTTGATGGCCGGGTTGTAGATCTTCGGATCGCTGACCATACGCACAAAGAAGGATCGCTTCTGGGCCAGCGTGTCCTGCTTCTTGCGGTTAATGATCTCGGAGAGCTCGTCGTGCTGCTCCTTCTCCAGCAGCTCGTTCGCAAAGTCCACGATGATGTCCCAGGCGTAGTCGATGTCCTCGGCCGTTGCGTTCTGGGCGACGGCGCAGAAGCGGATGATATAGCGGTCGTTCACGCTGGCGGGAACCATGTGCAGCTTGCCGGACTCGTTGATGATGCTCAGCAGCTTCTCGTTGAGCTTGTCACTGCCTTTCAGTCGAAAGCAAACTAGACCCAGCTATCGTAATTAAAAATGTTTTTAGTTTTAAGATCCCTTTGGACTGTGGGTAATTTGTTGCAGCTTAAAATGTTAATTAACATGATAATAATGAGATGCTAACGCTCTTCCTGTCATCTCAGAATGATAAATTCTCGCAAAGTGCATGAAAATTACCAACAAAACCGTGATATAATTATTTCGATAGAAAAAGTGTGAATAAGAAGAGGCCAAGTCTAAAATTTCGAGTCATGATATATAAAATAATTTTTGGTGCGAATGAAACGACTGTCAGACTGTCAGCCAAAGAGTCTACCCCTGTGATGAAATACCTTTGAGATCACTGCCTCATTTATGTCTGTTTAGAATTTAAAGACGCACCAGGAATTGATAAAATCGGAATTTTTCAAACTCTGCTCAAACGTGATCTTGCAGAGATCCGCTACCGAAGTGATCACTCAATTAGGTTGAGCACGCTCACGATCGCAACATCTGTCAGTGGCTGACGCGATGAATCATTTGTGCCTGTCTCTGAACGATTTTCTACGGCAATTATGCCCAAACACTTGCCAATTACCACAGAAAAGGGGGAATACTTATTTTTTTCGTGAATTTTTGAATACGGAATTCGGCGTGTAGTTGCGCACGTTTGATTTGCTGGCCGGCTGGGTGTGAACAAGTTCACGTCTTGCCCTCGAAACATTGTTTGGGCAGCGATATTTGCGTCACTCGCAAATCAATTTCCCAATTGGAGTTGGACCCTTGGTCCGCATAACCGCACAATGGACACACCACACACCCACAATCGCATCAATGAAAATCCCACACACACACACTGGGTCCGGCGGCGTATATGTACATTCAAAAGAGCTCTGAACTCTAAGCTTGATTAATTACTGGGTAAAATCAAATCAGTGGGGTCTGTATATCGGAAAATAAAAGAGAAATGAAACGAAACGAAAGTAGGGCCAACTCACTTACCTTGACTTGGTTACAGATCTCGAAGCGCTTATCTTTGAGCACCAGCTCCTCGAAGCGCTTGGCCAGCTTGATATGGTGACGTATGTAGTGCTGCAGCCCGGAGATTCCATAACTACGCAGCACGAACCTGGAAAGACACTTTTCGGTCAGAAGGGAACGCAGAAACCACCACCTCTGTTTTGTAAAGTCCATGGAGTAGAGTTAGCAATTAGCAATTATCATCGTTTACTCATGCCGTAAGCACTCGTTGTGGACTCATCTCATTTCATGGATGGATGGAGCATAGAAAACTTTTGTTTTTACAACTAAATCACAAGCAAATAAGAGGACGTTGTACATGCTCCTCGCCACATACTCCAGGCCAATCCAAAACAATTCACTTTTTGACAATAGTCAACAAGCCATTCACACTTGACTTTCGAGGGCCTTTTGGACCTCATAATGGTACACAGTACCGAGTACACAGCATTTGGCACATACCACAGCTTCAGCGAACGAAATCGCCGGCTGAGTGGAACTCCCCAATGACGATAGTCGATGGCCGCATCCGAGTAGCCGTGCTTGAGGTACAGCGGATCCACCACCAGGGCTGATGTCAGACGGATGCGGTCCCGCACCCACAGTGTCGAGCAGTCAAAGTTGGTCAGCAGCCATTTGTTGGGGTTCGTGTTGAATGAGTCTGCGTATTCGATGCCCTGTGAATGGGATGGGGTCAGAGGGGCTTTGAGATTGGTTGGGAGCTGCGCTAGTGTCACCTTCAGGAGCGGCTTCAGCTCGGGACAGATGAAGCTATTGCCCGCATAGGCGGCGTCCACGTGCAACCACACGCCCGGGAAACGCTGCAGCTGCTTGCCAATCTCCGGCAGGTTGTCGAAGGCACAGGAGCCCGTGGTGCCCAGTGTGGTGGAGACGAAGAACGGCACCAGGCCCTGCAGTTCGTCCTCCTCCATGGCCTCGTAGATCGTCTGGCCGCGCAGACTGGCGTTCTCATCCGGCTCCAGAATGCGCAGCTTCACGAAGCATATCATGGCTGCCTTCTCCACGCAGCTGTGCGCCTCCTTGGAGCAGTAGGCCATCAGCTTGGACAGCAAGTGGCCCTCCTCCACGAACGGGTGCTGGGCCTTGAGCCTCTTGAGGGCCTGTGCCCTTGCAGCCAACATTGTGACCAACACGCACTCCGAGGCAGAGGTCTATTGTCAAAGTAGCAGAGAAAGAGAATTTTATGAAAGTTACTTGCCGAACTCTTCATTTGGAAGAGACTTCAAATCAGTGTTAGAATTTTCACAATCTTCTCAGAATTCCATTGCCCGTTATTCCTAATTTTCAAACAAACTTATATCAAAATCGTTGAAATAAAAGATTGTCTTTATAAAGTCAATAATTATCGTAGTAGTAATGAACTGATTCTTAAGAAAAGATAAAGTTTCTTCAAAAGTTGTAGCCAAAATTACAAAATTGTTGTCAGTTATAAGAAAATAAATTTTCTAAAAAGTTACCCTTAATTATAATATATTGTAGTCCAAGTGAAGGGAACTACGAACTAGTTTCTAAGTCACAATACCATGCTTTACCTGGATGACTCCACCCCCGGTGCTGCCTTCCTTAAGAGCCAGGAAATGGTCTGGCAGGCCGATGGCCTTGCCCAGCCAGTCCAGCACAATGGTCTCCAGCTCGGTACAGGCGGGACTGGCTGCCCAGGAGAATCCAATGCAGCCAATTCCATCGCCCAACATATCGCCCAGGATTGAGGGGAACGAATTTCCCGCCGGGAAATAGGCATGAAAACGTGGATGCTGCCAGTGCGTTACGCCAGGCATTATTTTGTCCTCTACATCACTCATGATCTGATCCCAGTCCTCCGGTTCCTGTGGAGCTTCAGCTGTGAAAGTGGGGAGGTCAGGCAGACTCTGGAATATTGAATATCCTCCTTACATGGCAACAGATGCCGTAGATAGCCCGGCTCTACACTGGGCGTGACCCGGCGGTCGTTCAGCGTCTCCAGATAGTTGCAGATGTACTCAACCATTTCCATGCCACGTTTCCGGAATTCAGTGCTGTCCATGCTTGATCAGTGTCCCACTTTTAACAGGCTCGTGCTGCGATTTTGTATATTTTTCCGATTAACCTCACGTTTCAATATTGAAAACTTGTAAATATGCAATGAATCAGACAAAAATTCGATCTCTCTTGAGCAGCGTTTAACAGAATTGAGTATATTATCATTGAAATATTAACAATTAAAATCAATATATGGCCAATCAATATTGAAATATAACAACATTACATTTATATTTAGCTATGCTTAATATATTTCTAGTATTCGAATGATAGTGATATTTAATATTCAATTCAAACGATAAAGTCTACAAGAGTACTGTTAAAGCAACGTACTCCACTCTTTGGTTGATTTTTTAAATCAAGCGTTATTTTATTATTTTTATTAAATATGTGGTTTAGGGAAGCTCGACAGATTAAAAAAAAAATACGTACAATAAAGTGAGTAGCTCTTCTCAAGTGTCAGTAAATTACTTGTTTTTGTACTCCTTATCGCGGAATTTCTCTCTCAACTCTGCATGTCAAAGGCTTTGTTTTTAAAGTCTCTCCTAGCCAAAGAATTGAACGGAAAATTGAAATAAATTTGATATAAAATTAAAATTATATTTCGGAACTAAAAACCAAGAAATTGCAGTTATGGAAAAAAGTAGGTTGAAGTGAACCATTCTTATTAAATCAATTTATAATCTATACACAAAATACTCAATAATTTATTTTTGGTTTCAAATGGATTGCTAATTTGCAAATATTTGTGTTATGTTTTGACACTTCACTTGATTTTATTAAAAATTCAAACTGTTGTATTTGGGTCTCATCATATAATGTCACCTATTTTGAATTTTCACTATAAGGAAATAGTAAGTTTTAAGTTATATCATAATTTGTTCTACATAGAAAACTTGATTTATTTAAACTCACAGCTCTCAGATATGCATATTAGTTTTTGTCCTTTAAGTTACGTCTCATTTGCATTCGACTTGAGTTTTGCACAATAACTAAATTTAATTGATTACATAACATATTGTTAGTAAAAAGTGCTTAAAGCAACCGATTTATTCAATGATATACAATTTGATTTTCCTTGTCGTTTTTTGTTTATCTTTTTTTAGGCTTTACATTAAAATTGATGTTTCAAACTGCTGCTATTTTTAATTTATTTTAGCACGTCTGCGCGTTAGCGTAATTTGTGATGTTCTTTAATTTTCCATGACTAAATGGCGTGTATAGTTGGCATAAACATAATTAATTTTGTTTGTAATTAAACTGCGGTTCCGTTGGCATATTTTATGACTGCCTAAGATACACAATCCACAAAAAGTTCACTCATAGTCGACGGGTAATATTCCGTTCCTGAGGACTTACTTGAAGTTTGGAAAAATTACTTTTGGGCGATTTTGTACTCCGAACTCGCAATGGTGAACCGTTGGTCGCGACTTGCGAAACCAAACTGATCCTTGCTCTGCGGTCTGGCGAAGAGCTAAGCTCGGTTGCGGCTGCTGTGGCTCCTCCCTTGGCTCTGGCTGCCGTGGCATGTCTAATGAATGCATACTTCAGTTGGCCGGAGGAGACTGGGTGCTTGGTGTGATTGGGAGGGAGAATAATGGAATTTTTGCGACGCTTCATTCATACATAGCTCTGAAAAGGAGGTGGGCGGTGGCTGCGAGTCCTTCGCCTCTGTGCGTGAAGATATGCAAAGGGAAAAGAATCGGAGAGCATGGAGCATATACATATATACTTGATATGGCGGATACGCAATGAAAATTGAATTTTCAACACTGTTAAATGCCCAGCACATCTAATTTGTCATTAAAATAAAACTCAATTCGACCCTGGGTGTGGTGGGGTAATTTTAAGTACGTGTTGTCATAAACACTCAACAAATTACAACACACTGACAGGACAACAGCCTCGGCATCTCACACTTGTCCTTGCGAGCTCGGGGTGCGAAGCGTTTTATTAATAACTTCCGCACCAAATTGAATTATTGTTCAGAACGTACTTGATAGGAATGGCGGCGATGCCAGATGATAATGACGATGCCAATGGGTCGTTGTCAATGGGTCGGTCGGGCAGGACAGATCCGAGGCAGGAGCAGGAATAGAAGGAATTCAACGCATTCCTTTCGGAACATTCCGGCCCATTTTCCCTTTCCATCTCGGTGTCCTTTCGTGTTGCCTGCTGCACTGGGCCATAGAATTGTCTGGGACACGTGGCTCCATGTACTTGTCGTCATCATCACCACACACCCACACAGCCGAATGATTTCTCCTCGTTTTTCGCATTTTTTTCCTGGTTGAAGGAAAGTTCATTAATAAACTTTCGTTGTTGCTGTCGAATTCAGCTGCAGCCTGGCGGCCACCCGCTCCCTCCTGTAACAGGCGGTATCAGCCTCAACAAGTGGCATCATGCTTCTGTGGTTATCATCCCTCGGTGGCCTCCTTTGCCTCCTCCGCGGACCCGACACCAACAGGGTTTTATTTGACGGAAAATTGCTGGGAGGAAGTGCCTGCAGCCGCGTTCATTTAATTGCTCTAGGAATGGTTTTTTATTGACTTTTACTTGAACTCCTCTTCAAAATGCATTTAGGAAAGGCCAGGGCAGCCATGGTCATATCAGACGTTTTGTCTTACAGCTGGAGAAAATTAACTTTTTGGTCTACCTTAAAGTTATCATATTTAATCAGGATCAAAAATAAATATTTGATTATTGTATACAAATAGTCATATCGTGTGGTATTTAAAGGTGATAATAAGGTGATAAATTTCACAGATACAAATTTAAAAAGTTCTTCAACTTGAACATATTTCATAGTAAATTGATATAATAATTAATTTTTCAATCTCACAATTGCCGCATTTCCCACTCTTGTCGGAGTGTAGACTATGTACATCTGTACTCATAGAGCTGGCTCCTTTTGCGGCTTGTCTTTTCCTGCTCTGTCCTTGATCTCTCGGCCCATAAACCAAGCAATTATTCAATTTGCACGAACCCTGCCCGGAACATAACTGCTGTGGACAGTTTACGTTGAGTGGTTGGTTTGCTGTTGGGTGGGTTAGTTGAGATTCTGGTCCAGCGGGGACTTTTTCTCTGTTCCCGTTCAAGGTTATTGCCCAAGGGCTTGGAGAGATTGTATTTCTGATAGCTTCTTCAACAATCTTATTTGCAGACTCGGCAAAATGATGCACTATCGCAAGGCCCAGAATGTTGAGCAGGAGTTGAGCAAAGCCGATTTGCCATTTGAGGACTGCCTGCCCAAGTCGCCAAATGATTTCCTGTGGATGCATGTACATAAGTTTCTCCGTTGCATCCGGTTATCTTTGCTAAAGAATTCTCATATCTGCAGGTTAAAGGCGGAACCAAGGTGAGCAATGTTATTGAATTCGCTCAGGCAGCCCTCAACAAAAACGAGCACAGGTGCGTGGTATGGAGCGGATCTGGCGGCGGAGTTGGCAAGACCATATCCTGCGCCGAAGTACTAAAGCGCAGTCATCCCCTCTACCAGGTGACACGCATGGCCTACACAAGGTGAGTCGCTCGTAAGCTATGTAATGGTGTCGTTACTAATATTATTACAATTTAATAAAGCGTGGAGGAGCACTGGAAGCCACAGATGGATGGCCTCGAAGAGATCATCGCCACTCGCCAGATTCCCACCCTGCACATACTTATGAGCCTGGACGCATTGCCGGACAGTATAGAGGGGTAAGCACCAGGCACTATAATTACAAATCTGTATTGCTGAAATCATTTACTCTTTCAAAAGATTGCAAAAGCCCAACACTGCCACCGACTTTTGGGAAGGCAATGAGACTCATCGGAACAGCCATCCTCGCCAGCAGCAGCAGCAACACCACCAACCTTCGACAGCTGGCAGTCAGCAAAAGAAGCGCCACAGATCTGGACGCACGAAACCCGCCCAGCAGCAAGTAAAACAGGTGGCAGAGGAGAATGAACCTTCTAGCCATGGCCAAGGTTGACAAAAATATGACCTGGAACTTAATTTACCAAACGTACACGTACAATAATAAACCTCTAAAACGTTTCGCCCTTTGTAAGGATATGCAAATAAAACTTGATGTTATCACAAAAGATTTTGGCACTAAAGCAATTAAGGGTAATTGAAGATTAGTTTTCCAGAGATAAGTGGGGCTTTCTTGATTCTTTTGTATATATTTGTATAGAAATTAGTACAGTAAAACCTCGTTGGTTTTAGATAGTATTGTATAATCAGCACAAAACTATTTCTAGTTGTTTTCTTGAAATATTATTCTTCGCATACGACTTGTGTACATTTTTTTTTAATTCGTATTTTAATCATTTTTATTGTGAAGGGATTTAGCGGGGCTCAATCGAAGATATAGTATTTTACACTCAATTATATGCTAAGATCACACACAGATCATTATGGTAATGTTTGTCAAGACGCTTTCCAATTAGTTTACATGATTTGTACAACAATTTGGTTGTAAAGTTTTTAAGATTCTCGGTTGATTAATAAAAAAAACCAATAAATTCTTTAGCTTAATTCAAACGCATAATCTTTAATGAAAATAAGCATTGTTAATATTTGGATTTTTCACATTTCCTTTTTATTGTATTTTATCTTTTATATAATATTTGTTTTTACATTAGTAGTCAGCTTAGTAAAGTGTATTCATATTACTGTTAAGAGCTAAAACACAGTTTTTATACCCTTGCAGGGTATTATAATTTCAGTCAGAAGTTTGCAACGCAGTGAAGGAGGCACCTCCGACTATATAAAGTATATATATTCTTGATCAGGATCAACAGCCGAGTCGATCTAGCCATGTCCGTCTGTCCGTCTGTCCGTCTATCCTTCTGTCCGTCTGTCCGTTTCTACGCAAACTAGTCTCTCAGTTTTGAAGCTATCTGAATGAAACTTTGTAGTTAGCCTTCTATATACTCTCACTCGTATATATGTCGGAACGGGCCGGATCGGACGACTATATCATATAGCTGGCATAGGAATGATCGGAAAATTTTTACAAAAAAATTTTTAACTTTTTCAGTTTTCAATAGAATTGGATCAAATTTGAGATATAGCCATTTTACTATACTCTACAATTTTGCATAAAATTTTATGAAAATCGGACTACTATATCATATAACTCCCATAGGAACGATCGAGAAATTAATACAATTAAATTTATAACCTTTTCATTTTTTTTTTTTAATTTTTCATTTTTTCATTTTCATCAAATTTTAGGTATAGGCATTTTATATTAGTCTTAAATTTTGTGTCAAATTTCATTAAAATCGGACTATTATATCATATAGGTGCCATACAAACGATCGTTTGATGTAGAGGAAAAATGCAAATCTTTGAATATAAAACTGCAAATATAATATGTATAGGTGAATACAATGAAAGCAGGTATTACTTCACTGTTTTTTAACACAAATATATATCAATTATATTGTATGGTTTTTTATTCATAGAAGTTCTATCTGCAAGGGTATATAAACTTCGGCGTGCCGAAGTTAGCTTCCTTTCTTGTTTAATTAAAAATTAGTATATTGAGGATAAGAAGGAATCCCTTACGCTCTTGTTATCATGAAATTTTTCTACAAATTAACCTTCCTTAATGGGTTAAGATGATTTATCTTTCCAGTTGGTTTATTTCTTAGTTAAAGATTTTTTTGTCTTATTGCATTGTGTTTAGGGAGCTTCCACTGTAATTCTAGCTCTGTTTGCTGTGCACACAAAACACTTACGGCAGGCTGCACAAATCTAATCTCCGCTCCGTTTTCGCTTATCACCGATTTAGATGGAATGAATCCGCACACGAATGTGCAACTCCTAGGTTAGTGATAATAATGTTGCGCTTCGGACAAGTTCTTCGATCGGGTGCTCTGAGCCAATTCCGTTGCCTGAGTAGTGCCAAGTCCCACGGGGACGTTCTGCCTCGGAGCTGCGATGTCCTGATCATAGGTGGTGGCGGCATGGGCGCCTCATCCGCTTTCTGGCTCAAGTCCCGGTCGCAGCAGTTGGGAAAGAAGCTCAATGTGTTGGTGGTGGAGCGGGATGCCTGTGTAAGTAAAACTTAAAGCCCAAAAATACTGAATAAAACTTTATGTGCGGTGTCAAAAGCAAGACCATCACAATTTCTTTAGTTGAGGTTAAGGTTATAAAATTGGGGATTGTTTCCAATCTCTCAGATTCGCAAGCACGGTATATATTTTTGATCATAAGATTCGGAGTATTCCATCTATTTGAATTTTAACAAGAAAGGAAGCTTACTTCGACACGCCTGAGTTTTTATACCCTTGGAGATTCCAATTTGATCATTAATTTATAAAACAATTTAAATTATATTTAATTGTATTAAAAAACAATGAAACAACTCCCATTTTCAATACAGTAACCTATACTTTTTATATTTACAGTTTTACATTTAAAGATAGTTTCTATGACAGCTATAAGAATATTGATATTGTCCCCCGATTTTCATAAAATTAAAACCGAATTTCAAAAATAATATAAAATGGATATATATAAAATAATAATAATTTAATTTAATAATTTTAATATAATATAGTATTCCGGTTTTCTCAAATTAAAACCGAAATTCTAGAATAATACAAAATATCTAAGTCTTAAATTTTATGAAAATCTAACTGAAATTATAATACAGGTAAAGTTGGGTGCCCGAATTACGTGAGCTCTTGCATATAGTAATTGGAGTTTTTTTAATCGCTGCTTTTCGATTCAAAAATAATTATTTCTGAAATGGTACAATATCTATATCTCTGGATATTTGCGTACATACATATGTCCTGTAAACAAAATAAAGTAATGTCAACTATTGTAGCACGTTTTATACATTCCACATTTACATTTTTATATTTTCTTATAATATAGTCATTTTTTATATAATTTGTTTTTCTGCAGTACACTAATGCTTCCACGGTACTCTCGGTGGGTGGAGTTCGACAGCAGTTTTCACTAGCTGAGAACATCGAGATGTCGCTTTATGGCTACAACTTTATTGTGAATGGACAAAAGCACCTGGGAGATGTTGATCTCTGCTACCAACCGAACGGCTATCTGATCCTGGCTTCTGCAAAGGGAGCACATATACTGGCCCAGAACTCCAAGCTGCAAAACGAGTTGGGGGCTCGCAACGAACTGCTCGGTCCCGAAGCGTTGCGTAGCCGGTTCCCGTGGTTGTCCACGGAGGACGTTGAGCTAGGATGCCACGGAATCGATAAGGAGGGATGGTTCGATCCGTGGGCATTACTGATGGGATACAAGAAAAAGGCCCGCGCCCTGGGCGCACATTTCTCCAGCGGCGAGGTGGTGGGCTTTGAGTGGAATTCCTCCGGAGCTTTGTCCGCAGCCGTGGTTGATGTTGGTGACGGAGTGCAGCGCCCTGTGAATTTTGACACCTGTGTCCTGGCAGCCGGAGCACATTCGGGCCAGGTGGCTCGACTGGCGAACATTGGCGATCCGGAGGCGAAGACGAGTTCCTTGAGAGTGGCCCTGCCCGTGGAGCCCCGCAAGCGGTATGTGTACGTGTTTAGTACTCAGGGTCGGAATTGTCCGGGCTTGGCCACACCCTTGACAGTTGACCCGGATGGTACATATTTCCGACGCGACGGTCTGTGTGGAAACTTCCTCTGTGGTCGCAGTCCCAGCGATGAAGAGGAGCCGGAATGCGATACCCTGGACGTTGATCATGGCTACTTTGAAACGGATGTCTGGCCCACACTAGCGAGCCGTGTGCCGGCCTTTGAGTCCGTGAAAATCCAGAGCAGTTGGGCGGGCTATTACGATCATAATGCATTCGACGCGAACGGAGTAATCGGACGACATCCTCACTATTCCAATCTCTTCATAGCGGCCGGCTTCAGCGGCCATGGAATTCAGCAGACTCCGGCCGTGGGCAGGGCTATTTCCGAATTGATCCTCGACGGAAAGTTCAGCACAATTGATTTGTCCCGACTCGGTTTCGATCGCCTCGTTAACAAGCAGCCTATGTTCGAGGTAAATATCGTTTAAGGAACACTTTCTGTTCGTGCAACCGAAATACATTTAATTTTATAAAGCACTAAGTAGTCCCGGTTATTGTGTGTATGTACTTGTTTTATTGCAATTTTCATTTGTATATATGTATAGTACTTTTTGTATAGTAAAGTTAACGTTTTAGTCACGTACAGCTTTGTTGGTGTTGTTTTGGCTGCAAGTCGTCAGGGGGTTTTGGGTCTGGGGTTCTGGTCTGAGTTCGGCCACAAAAGTCGTGTGTCTGTCTACATATAATTTATTTTAAATTAAGAATTAAACATAATCGTAATATAACTTTACGGAATAATAGCGGACTTAAGACCAGATCAAGGCGAGCGGGATGAAGAGGGCCGTGTGTCTGGATCTGCCTTGAGTAGCATCTAAACATACAAGATCTGTGTTTGTATTTGAGTTGGGTTCGCTCTGTCCGTGTCTCTCTGTCGGGGTGAGCCAAAAACCAAATCTGTAAGCTAATTTGGTAAATATAAATAAATGTGTGTTGAATGGGCGCGACTATGTTCGAGTTCATGCCGACTGATGACTGATCCTAGGCTTCGCTCTCGCCCGGGGCTGCGTTCTCGCCCACGTTGATAGGCACGATCAGATTCTCCTTCGACATCAGACTGTATTTGGTGACGAAATGCGTAAATCGGTGGCATAGATACGTTTCGGTCTCGAACTCGTCGAAAATACGACGATGGTGAAAGTAGGCATGCGAGAAAATGCGATACACGCGCCGACACACGGAGCCCAGCTTGGTCACCGACGATTCCTTGATGGACACCCTGTGGGAGGAGACACTTCGCTCATTATGTGGCTAGTCCCAGCTGACCCCGATGTCCAGGCCCGCATACATACCTGCTCGGGAAGTATTTGTTGCTGTTGAGCAGACAGGCGGCCCCGTCCAGCGTGTGGCGAGTGTAGTCGATGGCCGGGCATTCCTTGGGCGTTTTGTGGGCGGCGCAAAGGAATATCCACTGGTCGGTGGCCGTCATTTGTGTGCACGTGGACGGCGAGCACTCCTTCTGCAGACGCACAGCCAGGCCATTCAACTCCATGCAGAACTGGCGCAGGTGCTCGTATTTCCACACCCCCTCATCCTGGGCCTCGGGCATGGTCAGGATCAGCTCCACGTTGCTCGGGTCCCGCTTGATCAGTTGCTGGATGTACTGCTGCACTGCCAGCGTGCTGTCCATCTCCTCCAGGGGCTCATCGGGCCAGCGACAGAAGTCCTACAACACCAAAAGGGAGATAAACCGTCAGCGGGCGGACTTTTACACCTCCCCTTCTGCTGCAGTACACAGCTTACCTTGGATTTGGTGCCTGGCCGGTTCCTACGCAATATGGTTGAGCCGTCAGCCATCTTCATGTTTCACCTTGCTCGGAGCCGCGATTATCCACAACGCCTATGCCTGTGCCTGTGCCTGAGCCCACGCCTTGCACAACAAACTCGCTGGCTAACGCCGAATTCGACTGAAACACAATAATATCCTGCCCGACTGCAATGCCCGATCTGGGCTCCCGAACTGTCCTCTACAACGCTGGAAGGGATTTATTGATTAACGTTTGTCCAAAAAAACTTTGCTTTGTGCGAAAAACAGAGTGACCGTGCGTCGACTGTTAAAACATCTCTATCGATAGACCGATCCACATCGGGACAGTTAGTATTTTGTCTAGCTTAGCCCATCCCTGGTTGAGCGAGAACTGGGCACACTGTCCGTAGCCAGTCATCATAAATACGAACAGATTGGAAAACTTACAAGAATTGCGTATTAGCTGTAATATTACGAGATCTTAGATTGAGAGAGATTTGAAAGCGCTACCCACTTATCTTCGACATGTCCTACGCATACTTGTTCAAATACATAATCATCGGCGACACAGGTGAGTTTTGTCTGGGGCCCCTAGGACTGGGAACCTTTCCAAATTGAGCTGCAAAAAGCTTGCCATTGTCCCACAAATGAGCCGTAATTAGACAACAAAACAAAGGCTATCAAGCGCGCAATACCCGCAGTTCGAAGCCAGTTTGACAAAGTCCACCGAACGCTGGAGTTTTGGGGCGCCCAAACAGACACCCGTGAGTTGGAGCAGCCGAAGGAAAAATCAATAATACCATAACAACGCATACAGGCGAGCGTTTATGAAGTCCGCAGAGGGGGATGGGGCCGGGGATGGGCCCACACAGCAAAACCCTGCTGCTGAGTCAGCCAACCACCCCCCAGAGATAGAGCGGAGATTCTGGTAGAAGTCAACACCCCCGCCCCGAGCATTCGTGGGCTTATCAGCATGCAGCTTTTCGGGCAGCTAACAGCTGCTGGCTGCTGCTCATCCTGCTTAGCTGTGGGCTACGGATGCGTGACAGCCGTTGCAGTGTCCCAGTGGAAACACGGCTGCTGCAGTCAGGAGAAACTTTCGCTCGTGTTGCAATTAACTAATTAACTGTTCGTTGTTGTTTGTTCAGGCGTTGGAAAGTCATGTCTGCTGCTGCAGTTCACGGACAAGCGCTTCCAGCCAGTGCACGATCTGACCATTGGCGTAGAGTTTGGAGCACGCATGATCACCATCGACGGAAAACAGATCAAGCTTCAAATCTGGGACACGGCTGGCCAGGAGGCCTTCAGGTGCGTAGTATAGATCCAAAGAAAGCATGTCAATTATGTAATCCGAGGGATTTGTGACATTGCAGATCCATCACACGCTCCTACTATCGGGGGGCAGCCGGGGCGCTGCTGGTGTACGACATTACACGGCGGGAGACCTTCAACCACCTGACCACCTGGCTAGAAGATGCGCGACAGCATTCCAACTCCAATATGGTGATTATGCTGATCGGCAACAAGAGCGATCTGGACTCGAGGCGCGAGGTAAAGAAGGAGGAGGGCGAAGCTTTCGCCCGCGAACATGGACTGGTCTTCATGGAGACGTCGGCGCGTACGGCGGCCAACGTGGAGGAGGCGTTCATCAACACCGCCAAAGAGATTTACGAAAAGATTCAGGAAGGAGTCTTTGACATCAACAATGAGGTGAGTTGATATATTGCTAGGCGGACATAGACCACAAGTAACCTGATTATATCCGCAGGCAAACGGCATTAAAATCGGTCAGCAGCACTCGCCAACAAACCCGTCGTTACCAGGCGCCGGAGGAGCCGCCGGGGCAGCCAACAGTGGCTGCTGCTAGGAGTAACCTGCAAATGCCCGACTGCATTTTTGGGATAGATGTAGCCGCTTCTGTAAAAGCTCCTTTATAGTGACTAACTAATAGAAGGTGACCGACCGTTTTTGATTTCGATTTCAACAATAACTAATCACGTAAACATAGCAACTTACCAGTAAACTAGCAAGCGAACACTAAGCGTAATGTTAATTCCACAAAGATCCGGCAACTGCAAAACTGTATCAGAAACTGAAGCGATCGAACCAGAAAATAATAAACCCAAGACCTACATTTGTGTACTATATGTGAATGTGTTGTGCGTGATTTCTAAATTTTATAAACTTTATCGAGGCATATATAACAGTTTTATGTATGTATTTTGTGTATATTGAAATTAGTTTGCTAGTTACTTTGTGCAAAGACCGTTGGTTACATGTACACTGGGATCTTGACAAAATGATGTGTAATATATATATAAACAATACTTGAACTATGTGAATTTTCATTGTGATTTGTTTTCAGGGTGCTACTTCAGCCCCGTATTGCTGCTTACGTTGGGTATCTGCTCCTGCTTCTATATATTTATACATACATACACATATACGGAATAACAAGTATGCATAATTTTACGTCTCCCCCTGTCAACGCATTTTTGCCCCGTCTTTAACATAGAAATAAATGGGATTATATAATTTACACAATCGTAATGCATAAACAGAGGATACTTACACGTGAATTCTGCGATTCAATGATCAATTTAGTATTTTACAAAGTTTATATATTAAATTAAATTAACACGAAAGCTAAGACAAAACGAAAGATACAACTGTAAACGCAAATCAAATTATTTATAATATTTGTATTTGCTAAAAAACAATGCAGAATAATAAATAAACATACATTATACATACATATATTACAAAGGAAATGCCAATCGTTTTAATCCTTGGAAAGAATTTTTTGAGCCATAAAAATAGCTTGCCCAGGACGTCATCAGGTGGCAAAATTATAAAGGGATATTGCAGTCTGCTTATTCGAACTTTCGCTTGCCGATCCGGAAAATTCTCTCAGATTCTAGTTTCCTCTGTTGGCTCTCCTAAGTTTTGAACCAAACTCACGGAAACTGTGCGTGCCATTTTTCCCCATAAACAAAAATAATTCAATTAGAAAATAATATTGACTTTAAATTTTTTGTTTCCGTTTCATTATTACATAAAGATAACGTACTTGATTTTTTCATAATTATTTCTTTGTTTCTCAATTTTAACCTTCATAATTATTGCCAGTGACAGACTAAACTAAGTAAAATCGAAAAAGTCTAGCTAACATAAGGTTTTTATTTAAGTAAAGAAAAAAAGGATTATAGAAATATTTCAAATTTTTTATTTTTGGCTGCGTCTTCCTTTCCATTAACGTCCATATGTCTAAAATACAACGGAACAATATTCGATCTACCTTTATGGCAAATCCGGAAAATAAAAAGGAAAATTCGGGTATTCGATAATGTTATGATGTACCATTAGGTGAATTTGGAATAAAAAAGCAGTTTGTTTTCTTTTATAAGTTTATATTTCATAATATATGTTTTCAGTAGATAATTGTATAGAATTGTGATCTTTTTTTACATATTTGCTAGGGTGAATTGAACCAACAATTATTCTTTAAATATAAACCGGCTACGGAACAATAGTGTGTACCATAATAGTACCCTTACTTCGACAGATGCTTACACTTTAAAGGCGTTTTTCATAACAATATTCTAATTATGTTTATTTCTGTGCTTCTGGGTGAGTTTGTATTTTTATTTCAATATTAATAATGTCTGTATTTTGTGTAATAATACTTAAACGTTCAAGAGCCTGTTTGTTAAATTTTTATCTAGTAAGAACGAATATATTAATTTTTAACATTATATTGTTTAGTATAACGTTTTTTCTCAATTGAACTGTGTGATTGGAAAACTATTCGGATCCGAAACGTTCAGCGTAACAATATGATGCATTTTTTAATTTAAGAACGAACATAAAGTTTATTGTGTTTATATTAGGGAAAATTGTCGGTTGTTATTGCATACGTTACATAGATTGTTGCTTTTATGTATTCTATTTAATCAATATTCGTACCAAATGTAAGGCAATTAAAACTATTTCTCCTATATATTTTTTGTTTTTTTTTTTGTAAAGACAATTTTGTGGGGACCCGTTTGCACCTGGCAGTGATGCACTGCATGATATTGATTGAAATTGAACAGTTTGTCTGCGGTGTGAGCACAAGATGTGATTATTAGTAATTGCCCTAGTGCGTTAACTATATATTAGGTGTGTATATGTCGATACTTAGCCGCGATTAGTTATCAAGTCAAGTATATAGGCTTACATGCTAGGTCTTAGGAAATAGGCTTAGTTTCAGTTACAATGCTGCTCTGATTTTATGGCTGCAACACCATTTGACATAAGAAACTCGTTAACATTTAATGCTAGTCCAGATTTTAGTACCTCAAGTTGTGTTTGCTTCTCTTCTCTCTTTCGGCTTGCAACCAAGTAATGTACGTACAAGTAACCTAGTGTAAAAGTTGAGCTTTTTTAGTCTCTGAGACATCACTATCACTCTCCTTGGGCGCTTTCTTCTCACAGAACTCGATCAGATACGAACAGACGCCGGAGAGTGCGATAAATATGCCGGCAAAATAGAAGGAGTCGTCCCATCTGCAAAGGTGCAAGTAGATGTTGGCAATAGGGCATTCTAAGATGTTAACTCGTCATATCACAACTCACCTGCCGGTATATTCGTAGATAACGCCCGCTATGGGTGGGCCAGCGATCATACCCACTCCTTGCACCAGCAGCACCAGACCATAGGCACACGTGAAATCATCCAAATCCACAATACTGACCAGAATGCTGGGCGTAAATGAAAATGAGCTGGCGAACGTGAAGCCGAAGATTACGCACATGACCATCAAGCCATTGTAACTGGTCATCAACATCGGCATAAAGAACACCGATGCTCCGCAGACTGAAAGATATATAGTTATGTTAAAAGTATAAACACAACAAGATGCGTAATGCCTATACATTTTTATTGCTGCATGCAAAAAATCGGATGGCATTACTTATATTTTTATCATAATGATAAAACTCACCCAGCATACAGAGGGAGTAGCATATGTTGATGTTCATCCACGAAAGGTCACCCAGATAGCCCAGTCCAATCATTCCCACTGTTTGGGCAATGCCAACAGCCGATATCAGAACAGCACTTACACTCACATCGTAATCGTATTGCTTCATGTAGTCAGGGAGGTACAGATAGGGAATTATGAACCTACGAAGCGTGCCAAGGGGTGGATTAGTTAGAGGAGTATTATCGGGATCTGGTTGAGTTCCTTATCGAGGAGCCAATAAAACACTTAAAGCTCTATATTATGATCTTGATAGATAACTTTGTACTTGAACTGCGACAAAGTATGCTCGTTTCAGGTTAAAATTGTTTGTCAACATTTCTATTTCTGCCAAAATTGTTTTCGACATATTTAGGTTGGCAAATGTTCAGTTTGTCGTCGACGCCTTTGCAGAATTTATCTATTAATTTTAGCTTTTTTATGCTTCAGGGTGTGTGCGCAGTTTGTATGCTTTCTATGTCTTACAGTACTCACCAAATGAACAAAAACAATGTTGACAGATTGAAGAGGGCAAACTTCATGTCCAGAAAAAGGGAGAAGTCAAAAATGGACTTCATGGTGTCCACAAAATTGTCGTACCAGGTCTGTTAAAAGAGCGAAAATATTAAAATGTGTATTTAAAAATTCTACTTATCTAAGGTTTTACCCATAAGGTAAAAGACTATTTAAATTAATCTCACTGTTAAAGTTGCATAGCTTCCGATCGAAACGATAAAAGCAAATCGGGTTTATCGGTGCCTTTAATTTATCTGGATGAAAAACATAGTTCATAGTACTTTTATATTTTTTCGTTTTTTGGCTGACATGTTGTCGATGGAAGGGTCCCGGCTAAGGTTAGTTCCTTTGACCAGAGAGATCAACCTTTTTTCACGAGCTTTATCTGTCCGAGAAAGTGTGAGTGTAAAGAAACCGGCCCTAAAATTTGGTTCGAACTAAAAGAATGTATCGACAAATAATTTCGCTTATAACAGTTATTTGTCTGTCTTTCCAGTCTCGATTTATCAAACATTTATCGCATTGCAAAAATATAGATTTTTATATCGGCTTTCGTGTCAAAAACAGTACCGATATATCAATATGTTTGCCATTAATAATACGGATAGACTGATATTGTTAAAGTGATTCGCCTAGTGATATATGTACATAAACTTTGAGGGAGTTAAGATTCAGCTTGTTATACACATTTTTGTTTAAAAGTAAGTTTTAATAAAACATCGATAGATAGATATATGTAGGTCGATGGACTCTTCTGAATTAAATACAGTAAGCAGTAAATATTTTTAGAAGAGGAGGATGAGACTTCAAGGTAACAAACTGATCATGAAGATGACTATTTCAAATATGTTTGAGCTTTGTGCTCTGCATAGCTTCACGGAAGTCAGGGCGGCCACCTTATCAGACATGGCCCAACTATGTTTCCATGGCAGGACGCAGAGGGGTAGCTGATAATCAGCGACAGCCATTAACCAGCTAGGTCTGTCGCCAAGTGGCTGGCTGATAAGGCCGGGGCAAGGGGCACGAGGCACATCTACTCACATCTTCCTCCTCCTTGGCTATGGTGGTCATCGAGTTGCGGTAGATGTTGGGGCATGAGGAGGCTCGCAGGCGGTAGCGGTGCGTGTTCAGCATGGCACCGCGGTAGTGGATTGAGTTTCGGTGGATGCGCATGTCCTTGAGGAAGTTGGAGTTCCTAATCGAGATGTTTCGTCGCAGGTTGGATCGATGCTGGCTGGGCTTCTTGGACCGCGACAGTCGCCGGATTCCTGTGATGCTGTCCAGCCGGGCTCTTCGCGTGGCCAGTTCGCTGTTGGACGCCGGCTCTTGCTCCGGAATAGCTATCACCGTGGGACCAATCCGCCTGCTCGGCTCTAGCAGTGCGAATGTTTCATCCTTGGAGTAATAGCAGTGCATGTCCTCACTCAGGATATCCACTGAGTTGTGACGCAGGCCGTTCACTTTCAGGTTTGAGATGGAAGGCGTCGTGTGCTTGGCCATGAAAAGATTTTCGTTCAGCGAATAGCGGGAGCTTGCGTGTTTTTGTGTGAGGTAACCCTCGTCCGAGGAGCGGAGTGACCCATTCGGGGTGCCAGCACCAATGGAACGCTTTTCCGACGGCGACAGTGTCTCTATGGATGCCAGGTAGGTCTTTTTGGCCGCCTCCGAAGCCTCGTGCGCGATACCTCCCATAGAGGTGTCATCCGGCGATCCAAGAATGGCGGTTGAGGGAGGATAAGCTCCCGCTCCCGAGGACATGGAGAGAAGGTTCTCACGGGAAGGCGCCTCTGCACCCTCCTTGTGCCGCAAGGAGCGCCGGCTCAGGCTCTTCACCTCGCAGATGCTGTCCAACTCCTGTGTGCTCAGGAAGGTTGGCAGAAAGATCTCGCTCCTGTAGCGCTTTAGGCCAGTGTCGAGAGGATCGTCGATTTGCTGGTTGGCCTCCGTGTTGTTTTTGGTCACGAGGGAGTCGAGAACGGCCTCCTTGGTGATCCCCGTGTCCAGAAGCTTCTTGATTTCCTCCAGGCAGACGCTTGAGTTCGAGAAGGTGGTGACGCTTTGCGACCGGCTCTCCAGCCGGTTCTCCTCAATCAGCCAGTCGGGATCCCGCATTAAGGCACCGCACACGCAGGCGTTGAGCATGGTGCCGCCCAAGATTAGGGTGGCTCCCCGCCAGCCATATGACTCAATGAGGTAGGAAGTCAGACGGGCGTACACGAAGGTTCCAATGCCCGTGCCCGAGGCTCCGATTCCGGTGGCAAACGTGCGCTTCTTGTCGAACCAGAAGGCAATGGAAACTACAGCGGTGACGTATCCAATGCCCAGTCCCAGCCCTGAGATAATTCCAAAGGTCACCATAAGCATCTCGATGGAGTTACAGAAGGAGGAGAGGGCAAACCCGAAGGCGGACACGATGCCGCCCAGGATGGTCATCTTCCGACATCCGTATTTGTCCACCAGGTTCGACCAGATGGGTCCCATTAGCAGGGGCACGGAGAAGAACAGCGACGAGATCCAGGCGGTCTTCGAGGTGGACTCGCCAAAGTACTCCAGCAGCTGAACGTTGATGAGGCCGAACGAGAAGCTCAGTCCGTCGGCGATAAGGGATACCACCAGGGAGGCAAACACCACCACCCAACCGTATCCGCCATCGGGCATCTTGGGCGTCTTCTTGTCCGTGGTGCTGGAATCGATCGAGTCGCCGGACTCGTTCGAAATCAGCCGCTTGCGCCTTTTCACCTGCCCCCCGCTGCCGTTCATCAGGCAGGTGAGCGCACCATCGCCATCCGTGGCGATCACGCTGCTTCTCACCACCCGGCTGTGACCCTCTTCAGCCCCATCCGTGAGCTCCTCCACGGACAGGTTGCAGAAAGTGACCTCCGGAAAGAGGTCATGCTTGATGGCCTTGTTCAGGGGTGTGTTTGCGGGGGCCGGAGCCGTGGATTGGGCCAAGGGTTGGTTCTCCTCCGGCTGTCCCCTGATGTGGACGTTGTTATTGTTGTTCACCGCCTCGCGACTGTTGTTGTTGGAGCTCGATGTCGTTGGCTTTGCCATGTCGAAGTCTGCGTAACGTTATTAATATTGTAAAAGGTTCTGGCTACGACTATAAAAAACGTTTGTAAATATTTGCACTTTCTTGTCCAAGCGGTTGATTATTGGAGTTGAACACAGATTGCATTAGACTTCAGCATTGGTTTTGTCTTAAGTAGGCGGCAGATGGATGAAGTACCCTGGTCTCCGTTGGTCAACGCTGCAGTGCGTAGCTGGGTGAGAGGGGGGAAGCAACTGTTAGAAAGTTTAGTGGTTCCTAGTTTCTAGCTGACCTGGACCTAAAGCCTTAGTTCTAGTTATGTATATTCCCAGAGGTCAGTTACAACAAGAACAATAACTGCTTGAAAACATTTCGTTGAAAAATCCGCGCAGAAACTGATTGCTCATTTTGGCATTTCACTTATTTAATTTTCGGATCGCCTTCAACTTGACCTCTCAGGAAAACAGAGGAAAATGCTCAGCGGAAAACAGAGAAGCAGAGAGATCGCCTCTCCCAAACAAAGTGCGTCACATGAGCGTCGCGCAGCTGATGTCCCAATAATAATATTGGCCTCGGACTACCACGAATAATATTTAAAATCCAATTTCTTTGGCGGCTTGTTGTTTTCTGTCTGTCTGATCCTAATTTTAGACAACTATATAGGCTATATAGGGGTCCAACATGCATCCCGTTCGATGGGGAAAACGCAAAAAGAGAACAATCATCGGCAGGCCGAAGACTTACTCGAAACCCTTCTTACCTTTTCGGGATGTTGTTTTCGAGGGGAAATACTCGAACCAAAGGAGAAGTAGAAAAAAAAACGCGTCACAACGAATCTCGGACACACTTATGATTTCACTTGCACTAGTTGTTTCATTGATTCTGATTGCAGTGGTCTGCCGCCAATTAATTCACCATAATTGCACAGATCTTCAGTTATGTTTAGCTCGCTCAGAGTGGTGCGATTTAAGGGTTTATTCAGGGTGGCGGTCTTGTTGAAAATTCTTAGGCGCGGATCGCGGGGTATATAGTGGAGGAACACCTTATTTGACTTGCCGCTGTTGTTGTAAGTACGGGGATTGTTGTTCTGCGATTTATCGAACGATTTAGCAGTGGATTTAGCCGTGGCCGACGCGGATGCTGCAGATGTTGCTTTGCCTGCACGATAGAATGACTTGGACCGAATGTCATTCATTAAGAACGATATGGGGTTTATCACAGGCCAGCGGAGAATATATCGAAGGGTTGATGGCAACTGCTTGATGTTGCAGTTGCTGCTGATGTCGCTGCTGATGTTGTTGTAGCAGTTATTGCTGCCGGTAAGAGGATTTAGCCCTAGCAGCCACATGCGGTCCTTTGTTGTCAGAGAAGTCAAACACTTCCTTAGGCCAATTAAACGCGGCTCGCCCGGCGTACGAATTCGAACAAAATGCGAACAAATAACAAAAACAAATCAAAGCTTGAGGCTTCGATGATGATGACGATCCACCAAGAGGCGTAGTGCTGCTCCGGGACACTCTCCGGCTCCCCGCCTTGCGATCTGCAATAAGTGGTTCTCGGTCTTGGCTCCGCTTCAACGCGTGTCAAGTGCGCGCCGCGCAGTTCGGCGGTGGATGGACAATCGAATACATATCGACGACGAGGCGGCCAACGCGGCGTATGATTAATTTGTCTCCGGGCTGTGCAACTCAATCGCTGCTGCTGTGGGTGCTGCCTCCTTGCTGGCGCGGGATAATGATTTATGATCTCTGTCCTCGATTAGCAGCCTTCAATGGGAGCTCTGCAAAAGAGAGGAAGGAGAAGGAGAGCAGTGAGCTGGGAAATCTGATAAATGACTTAAATATGACCAAGGGGCTAATCTTAAATATAGCACTTAATGCAAAGGAAATAAATGAGATACGTATTCCTCACAAAAGCCTTACAAAGAAATTGCCGAATCGCACGCACAGAAAGCTCAACTTAATTTCATCTGCTGAATTGACAAACAATACAAAATACACAACAGTGTAAACATACTCGCAGTTACAGTTGCGCTCAAAATACTAGCAGTGAAAAATAAATAATTTGTACATTTATGAATACTTTGCGACAGAATATTTTTTGGAATTTAATTATTCAATGAACGTATTATAATTATCTAGAAAATCATCTGAGACTACATCATATCAAAAATATTTGAAGCTTCCATATAAATCAATTTTTTTAAATATAGGAAAATATCACATTTAAGGTTAGTTTATTTGTTGTTCTTTTTGTTCGATAGAATCAACATAATACTTTAAGTTGAATAAAAATTAATTTAACGAGTCAAACATTGACACAGTATCGATATTCAGATATTTTTTTTTAATCATTAATTAATGTTATTAGTACAAACGCGGTTGTATTTGAGAGTAACATTGTCAAGGTTTAAAATTTTCTAAAAATATATGCCTAAATAACTACACAATGAATCGGGTGACACGATACAAAAGCCAAATGAAAAGATGGCAGAACAAGCTTTTGGTATTAACTTAAACGAAGTAAGACTGTTTTTGCAGTCATTCGATTTCAGACTATGCATCTTAAAAACACATTTCGAAATAAAAATGAACAACCCTCCACTTAAAATGATAAAAATTCCAAAAAGTGGCTCAAATACTGAAAAATCCACTTAAATATTCAAGTGACAATTATTTTTCATTATTAACTTTCCATGAAATGGAGCTAAAAAATTAACCGAGTTCAACGTTCGATACGCGAATCGATTAAATGATAACAGTCAGAGGCGTGCACAGGATTCCGTAAGGGGGAAGGCAATTATTTGTATTTGATTTAAGACTTGAATGGGGGGCAATATCGCCAAAGTACGACACTGATTAATATGTACATTTCACGAGGAAAGTGAATGTATTAGTTGCTGAGATTTTCACGACTGTCTGGTTTCCGACATCGCGATAACTCGCCTTTGGTGTTTAATTTCGTACATATATAGCTAAATCACTTGTCTGATTATATATTTAGTTGCTTATCTTTACAATATAATTGGCAGAAATGTCGTTATACTAGGTGAAGCGATAGGCAACGCTAATACTTAGCCCTCGAATAAACCGATTCTAAATGTATTCGGTTTACATTTCGAAATAGGGTTATATTTTTCAGAATGCTTCGGACACGTGATCTTGCCGGAATATTACACAATCAGATAATGATGGAAGAAATAAAGATGTTCTACAAAACGAGTGTTTTTCTAAGCGATTGTTTTAAGTAAAACCAGTAACCCAATGTTTTTATTACCATTTCCTTTAGTAATAAATAAAAGCATCTTGAAGCACTTTCAGCTGCCCCTGCTCGTATGCAACACTTTTCAACTGCAATGGCAGCACTTTCACTTTGTAGAACAAGTCACACTTGAAACCTAAAGTCCACATCTTGTTTAGTCCGTAGTAGTTACACAGCGAAAGCCAAAGACAAAGAAACTTGTCAGTCACAGCACTAAAGTGGCATCTCGCGCGGTTGCCAGCACTGTCCAGACTTGGACTCGGACTCGGACTCGGATTCTCGGATCCCCGGATTCAAGAGTCGGATTGAAGAACAACAGTCGCGCGGCTCGGCGGAAGGCCGACTGAACCCACTTCACGCTGCGGCTGGCCGAATGGGACCGGCAGAATGGAACATGTGTGGAACGAGGGAAGCGGACAAGGCTACTCGGCGTCTGTAATCGCGGCAATCGTTGCCTTAATCTAATAAATTTCTTATCAAAGCGCGTCGTGCCTATAGTATTTCCTATATCTGTGTGTTTGTTCACTTACATACTGATATATGCCTCTACGTACGAGCACACGCGTTGGCGTCTGTCAGCATGCCAACGGTCTGTGACGCGCTCTTTATTCTCTCTCTTTTTGGCAGTGGTCACATTCAGATTCGGATTCGGATTCGGATTCTGATGCAGAGCCTGACATATATACTATACAAATGTTTGTAAGTGTATGTATTTATGATTCTATATACATATACCACACATCATGTGATTGTCGGTAATTGCTATTCTAGTTACAACAGCAATGCAATCAAATCGGAGCACATGTCAGAGCAGCAGCCTTGATCGTTAATAAATATAATTTTATCAGACGGATAGCTTTCAATACTCAATGGGATGAACATTTTAAGATCGAACAAGACTGAGAAGGAGAATCAATGCTGGAACATTGTAATTTTTGTGCTTAAGCTAGAATCTTCTCATGGTTAAGGGGATATTTTTTGTAGTCTTCATTAGACAGTGTTTCAGGAAAGGTTAGCTATCTATAAACATTTCATTTAATTAATTAAAAAGTAGCCACCTCGCTACAATCTGTACAGATAAGAATTTATACTTTCTCAATTTAATATTGATTATTTCGTAATTTACGACACATTTACGAAGAACTTGTGGCAATTTTAATCCAAACGCATCTAGAAGAATCCGCTTTTGCCTTTTATGAGTTACTTCAAATAATCTATGAATAATGACTAGCTTTTAAGTTGGCCAACAGTGCCGAATATAGTGATAAGTAAAAACTTTCTACGGCATTCAAGGGGCTCAATAAATTCTTCTTGCAGTCGCCTCATTGTGGGGTAATCTTTGTAGGTGCTTTAAAGGGGTGATAAGCTTTATGACCCTCTCGGTTTATTCAGGAGACCCGTTTGATGCTGACCTAGGCCAGCAAATTGGGGTTATTTGTCTGATTACTATATGGCGGGTCAGTAAAACCTGAATATAAAGTGGGAAAAACTCGAAGAAAATACGCATTTACTAATATCTATGGCTTATCTGTCAAATATAATATTGTAAATTGTCAGAAGATTTTAATTGATTAAGCCATGCAGCGGAGGCAAGGACAAGTTTTTTACCTTGGGTTGAATTGAGTTTGCTTTTCTCATTTTCATTCACCTTCATCACCAACTCAGACAAAGTTTGCTTGGTCAAAGGGTTTGCCCAAGAAGGGGAACCACAAGTTCCCTGCTGGCAACCATTGTCCTTCATACACATCGCTTTAATCCCCTACCTTAGCAATTCAACCGAGAACTTGGCCTCGACACAGCTCAAACTTTAATATTCTCTGACGCCCTCAGAGAGCTAAGTTCGCCGAGAAGCTCGCCCAACATCATCTTTCACTCTTCCCCCGCTTTCCGCTTAATTGATATCCGTAATTGATAGTGGGCCAAGCTAAGCCCCGTTCTGGTAAACGATTGCTGCTGCTGGTTGTTAATTGATTTGCGGTTTTTGTGTTTCGTTTGTGCACGGCAATTGTTTGTTCAATGCAATTGCAAATGCACTTAGACGACATGCTTTTATGCTCAATTAATTCTATTTCGGGGGGATTGTATTGGATTAAAACGTTCTTGGAAAATGCATATACCTGGTCGAATTTCGATCAGTAAGATCATTGAATTGGCGACAGCTCCACAGTAGAAATATGAATACACGTGTATGTTTATTTTTCTGTTAATTTCTGAAAATTTCAGGACTAAATACAAAAACATCAAGAACGTATCGAGCTTCGAAAAGACGTTTTATACAAATACAAATTGTCACTTGACACAACCGTTAATAAAGGTTTGGTATTGGTATATTGTATCAATTGTCTTATTATTTTTTACTCTTTTCCCGATCCTATTCATTCATATTCCTATGATATCTATATGACTCCCATGAGAGCTATATGAGAACCACATTTTTTAAATCACATAAAATACCTTCTATTCCGAGGCAGATGGATTTATTTTAAAATATATAGACTCGTTATGATAGTACATATCTTAAGTTATAGTAACCTTGTCCCGGATACAAAATTATAGGAATTGGGTGGAGTTAGCTCCTGTTTTTTAGTTTCCCAACATAATTATGGTGATTTAAGGAAAAGATTTTGAAATAGATATAATAATATAAGCATATTCATATATATATATAAATCTTATTTAAGTATAAAGCATAGATCATTTTAAAATTGGTTGTTTGTTATAGCATTGCTTTAGTTTACTAAGGTAGAAAAAAAGTAATATATTCATATGTTTAGTTTCTTATAAAATTGGTAAAGGTTTAAAAAGGTCTTATGCCTTATCAAGTCGGGCAATGTCTTACAAAATAGAATATTCTATATAAGGATCTTGTCAGAGACATTCTTGTTTTCACATAAAAGTGATGGCGGCATCACTTAAAAACCTGTCAAGAAGCCACGGCATGGGTTACAAAGGAGGCAACAGGGTGCACTTAACACGTAACATACTAGCACATAAAACCTGTTCCTGTGGGCAGGCGAAAGTTTAGAGCGTCCTTCTATGTTTTATATTTATCTTTTGCAGCACATAGTGACAACTATATGTAACATATATATATATAACATAACATAGGCGCTGCAGCTATGGCAGTTTTTTAAATTTTATCGAGAAATCTTAAAATCCGAAATGCTAGTTACATTTCTACACTGGTATAGAACCAATATATGATTAATTTTATACGGTTTTATTTTTAATTAGGGAAAGCTGCCATCAACTCAAACACCTTTAATAAGATTTTTTTGTTTAAACGAAGAGAAAAATACAAACGAACCCAAAATTTTGACGCCGCTACTGTGGTTCCTCTGTTGTTTTTGAAAAGGGCAACTTGGCACAAAACGGACATCTTGCTATGCGTGCAAACAACTTCAAGGCTGAGGGTGCTTTTTATTTTCTCATTTGTGCTCTTGACATGGGCTCCCACGGCTAACCAGAAAGGTTGAGTGCAAAACGCTAAGCGAAATATGCAAATTAGAAATCAACAAATGAACTTTCGAATTGCGGTCATATAAATTCATTCTGAATTTAAACAGGTAATGCATTTCAGAGCTAAAGTAATAAATTATTCATTTGAGATTTATAAATTATTTCATTTGCTATTGAAACTAATTGTATTGAAATTAATTGAAACCGCATTCATTTTGTGCAATTCAGAGTTAATTCTATATAAGTTGAATTGTATTTATCGTATATGTATATTTTTTCTTTTACAGACTCAGTACAGCTTAGCTCATATTAAATGACAAATTTACTTAGCTGCGATGAGATTTTAGCCACCGATACTAGATACACAAGTGTCCTCGAGGACCTTTGAGGCGGCATAGGGTTGGAAGGGGCAAGGTCACCACCGGCGTTCAAGGAGCATATGATGTAATTACAAAAATTTCCATTTGCTGCAAATTTGCCAAGTGAAATTTAGCGTTAAGCGTCACGCAGTCTGTGACTTTTGGATGGGGAAGTAGGGGCGAGGAGGTGTTTATGTGTTTTTGCCAAGTTTTCGGGGCACTCGTTGGAGCTGTTTGTGCGACAGCTGGGCATAAATGAACTTTGGTTGCTCCTAATTGCTCCACTTACGCGTCTTACGATATCGTTTCTTTGTCAGTTGTTTATTTGTTCCCCGCCCTCCGCGTCTCTCGCCGCGAGGCCAATAAACAAAGCAGCGCTGACTAGTTCAACAGTAATCACTGAAGAAATGGCTCGTTTGCACTTCCTGCAGTTGTGATGCGCGTTGTTGCTCCCTTTGAGTTCGAATTTGGACTGACACACTGCGACTCCCTGCCCGCTCTAACTCGTCTCTCTTCCGCCAGTATGTTTTTTGTGTTGGAGTTTAAATTTCCACCGCTCCCTAGGCACTACCCACCACCGACTCGGTTCTTGTTTTTTCATTTCTTTGAACGCAGTGGAAATTTACCAGTTGACAGTCGCTTAATTCCCTTGCATGTCTTCATTTCGTTGGTGTTTTCTTTCAGATTTTCCTTACTTCATGCAGCCCAACGAATAATAAATCTCAGCCGGAACGATAATGAATTATGATGAATGAAGGTAGTGTAGCATGCAACAGCTGCGTGTTAAACAATAGCATTAATGATTTTTTAACCAAATGAAAGGTCAGGTATACCAGAGGTGAATATACATACACATGTACATATGCATATATCTACGTACATATATTTAATTTGATTTTGTAGATTGAATATTACAATTTTTAAATTTAATATCTGTGTAAAACATTAAACCTCATATTAAATTTATATTTATTTGTATCTAAATCAGGCATGGGCACGAGATAAAACGGAAGGAGCAAAAGCGTAAGTCGACTATACCTAACTCCATAAATGAAACATGTATCTGAAAGTTAAACCGGAATTAGGGGAAGGACACTTTCATTCTTATGTAAATTTCTATTATAAAATTATTAAAAACCCGTAACCTGATAATAATCAAATTAGAATTTAAATCTGGAATGTGGCGTGAGTTTCTAAAAAAAGGCTTGCAGTAAGAGGTAGCAGGTAAAGGTCATTAATATTTTTCTAATGTACTAAGAGCACCATTAAGACAGTGATAAATCGGAGCTACATACATGTGTATATGCAAATGTGCATGATTTGTGTAGACCAATTTTGCTATTTAATGAAGTCATTGTGTGCTAATGTGAGAACGGGCAACTAACAAAGCGTCTTTAGAGCAATTATCATTATTAACACAGTTGTGATACAGTTCGCAGAGGCGACATATGGAAGAAACCGGTTATGGGCCGTCATTTGTCGATTTCGATTTCTACTTCGCAATCAGCTGTTGGCCGCTTCTCCGCACTCTGTTGACACACATTATCCGACAGAACAGATAAACGAAAAAAAAAAAACAAAAATAATGAATACACAAAGGTCTTACCGGTTTCATCAGCAGCTACAAACAATTTAATTCTTTTGAGTTTTTGTTCAATCGTTTTGAGTTGTCAATTATAAACGTTTTGCGCAGTTTGAGGTCAATGGCTTCTAAGCCAAGCGTGTCTAGTATCTGGGCATGTGGCCATTTCGAAATGCATAACATCAAGAAATCACGAGCTCAAGGACGCCGCCGCCATGAGAACGGTTTTCGATTACAGTAAATCAAATTTGTAGACCCGCAAAAAGAACCGAAAATCGAAGCCAAAAAAGCGTATGCTAGTCAAATCAACATTGGTAAAAATAATCATATTATACAACAAATTGTTTTAATTGGGAGAATCTGAATATTTTATCTGTATATTTTGAACACCCCTGATAAACATATTCGTCAACCGAATATAAACTTTTATTCGTAAACTGAATATGATTCTGAAGATGTTATAAAATTATTATAAATAATACAATATTCTACAAACTTTGAAGTTATTCACTGGAGGTAAAAAGAAACTAAGTTGTCAGCAACGTTTTCTCTTTGTGTACCATACTTGCTTGTGGTGGGGAAGCACCCATTTCAGGGAGGTGGTGCTGGGTGGTGGCGAAGACAATGGCAATAAAAGCCAAACGACTGGAGCAGCAAAATGGCGGCGCGTGTGTGACAAGGGAACAAGCCCGAAACTGTGCTAGAGCCAGTGTGGTTCACCAGCATCTCATCTTGCGTTCGTCCTTCAGAACCCCTCGCTCAACCCACAACAGGCGTAGCAAATGCGGGGCAAGTAACAGAAGTCCCCCTTGATGACATGCCGCGAACGCCACTGGTTGTATGGCTTGAATTAGTTATTTATTTTGTTTTATCAAGACGACTGGCGAGTACCCTATGTGCATATAATAATACAAGATATCTGTAAATAAACACACATCGGAGTTGTCTTTGTTGGTGATATCTGGCTCCGTTGAGTCACCCGAACACTACGTAATGCCAACTGCATAAGTGCAAATCACTTTGAGCTTAAACGAAGCCATGTCCATGTACCCCATGTATGTATAGTTCATAAAAAACGCACGGCGTCAATAATTTAAATAAGTTAAAAGCAGCAGTCGTGCCAAAAATGCCAACCTATAAATAGCTCGCACTCGATCATAGTCGGGGAAAATAGCGAAAATAAATTAAAAATCGTCAACTCATGGCTGCTCGAAATAAAAGCCAAAACAAACAATAATTTATCACACACATGTGCACAAGTGATGGGTTTTGAGAATGAGACTTTTGAGGGGGAATTATGTATTCGTGCTGGCCGAATATACTTATTTATATTTAACAAGCTTTACAAACCAACAGCAAGGTCAACGAATCGTTCTATGTATGTTTGGTCTCTTACCTGCTATCTCTGCAGTTATTATTTCCAGTTAATGCCAGTTGATAATGGGCTAAATTAATACCATTGCTGGATTTTGGTCCTTTGTCATGCTAGCCGCTTACATCGTATGCTGAATTATAAAATTATTGCAATTGTCTCCAAATAAACCGAATGAGTAGGGCCTTGCCTACTTTGCCTTTCTTTTTCTGGTTACGCTTTCCGTCGATTGTGTTTGTTTGCCGTTTTGCTTTATGACTATTTGCCGCCCTTGCACAGTGGAATGCACTGGGTGAAGCACGCGCCGAAATCAGCTGTCCGCTTGAATTTTAATCTTTCTGTCGCCCTAAAACGACTCTTCGGTGGTGTGTGTGTGCAGTGCTGGTTTTTTCGATTGCACAACCCTTCGTGTTTCACTCGAAGTTAATCTCTCGACTACGACTGCTTCGTCGCCCACTGTGCGGGAGTTTCGATTTTTTACAGCACCCAACTTTGGGGGAGCGGTGGTGGGGCAATGACAACACCACCCGACGGCACAAGTTCACCGGAAAAGTGAGATGTGGGGCGATGGTCGGCGTAAACAAATGCACAGCGAATTCGGGATGCGGAAGCACAGAATATGTGTGTCCCAAAAGCACACAGGAAAAGGAAAAGGACCTTAAACTCAAGTAATGCTGCACACGTTTTCTCTTAATTGATTACTTAACAGACCACAATCTCGGCTGCCAAAGCGCTTTAAAAATACAGAAAAATTTAATTTTCCACAAAATAAACACAGCACGACCGTCAGCACTCCAAATAGAAAATCATCTGACCGCCTAGTAGGGTTGTTGATAGTTCATCCAATATCGATATATCGATATTTTCAAAAATATTTATATCGTTATATTGCAGCACTCCAATTGGAAAATCATCTGACCGCCAAGTAGGGTTGTTGATAATTCTTTCAATACAGATGTATTGATATTTTTTTAATTCTTTTATATGCCGAGGAACAAAAATAAATTTTAAATTGTCGAATAATTAAATATTAATAATTAAAAATTCTAGCAATAAAAAAAACATTATATCGATATTTTGTGGGTGATACTTAAGAATCGAGAGAACAAAATACTAGAAAGTTGAATGGCGTTGCCAGATGGCGAGAGGTAGCCTTTTAAAAATTTGCAGAGATGGGCGCGAAAAGTAAAGTAATTTAATAAAAGAGGTTACTCCAACATTTGCCTCCTGCTCTTTCTATTAGTTTCGTCACATATTTCAAATTTTAAATCTAGCAGGAGTCCAGGAGGTTCAATGGTCCACGAAAACGAGATGGGAAATTCCGCCATTTTCTTCGTTTTAATTCGTTTTTGGTTTTTTTTCATACATTCTTTTGCTTATGTTTTATTAAATTTCACACACAAGGCTTGGGTACCGGGAATGTCACAGTCGGGCACACTTGATTGTAACTGTTGTTTAATAGCAGACGCCATAATAAGAAATATAATTATCTCATGGTAAACGCAATACAATTTTATTCGATTATAGTTGTACATATGACAACTAATTTAATTGATCGGTATGCAAATTATACCTGTGTAATGTTCTTTTAAACAGCACCATATTTAGGTCAAATAATTTTATAACATCTGTTAAAAACCATGGCGTTGCGTATGAATAGGCAGCAAACTAATTTCTCCGGTTATTTTCGTTTACATTTAATGCTGCTTCTCGTGCTCTGACGTAGCGTTCCTGACGTAGCGTTCCATCCTGAAATGGACGAAGAAAGAATAAGACAATTTCAAAACAGAAAGGCTAAACGAAATGATATGACCTACATCGGTCGAATATAAAATGCCTAAAATTTTCTGTATAAATGGCAACTTTTCGGTCTCCTCAGACTCATGGCAGCTGGAAAGAAATAGATTCGGTGTTTGAACATTCTATGACTAGAGCAAGAAAACTTACAGAGCCTCAATAATGCGTAATTTAGAAAAGTAATAGTCGCGCTCCTTCTTCAGTTCGACAATATCTGGTAACTGATGAAACAAATCATCGCCACCTCCATGGGCCATCTCTTCAAAATGATGATCGGTCGCTTTGCCTCTGCAATTAGAGTCGGTGTCGTTCTTGGTTAAATTAAGAAACGAGGGCAATAGTATGCACAAACTTTACTACATAGATAGATTTAAGTTTTTGTGAAATTTGTCGTATTTGTTTGTGAGCTCAGGAGTGATGTGCGTGAAGTTTGTTTTATTATGAAACTGAAAGGAAGGAATAGCTGATGTATAGAGATATAGAGGTTGTAAATTTTAAACACAATGACGTACAGAACCTAACTACCTGCCGGGCGTCCGGCAAGCTTAACGAGACACGCTGGCATAGTAGTCTCTGCCTTTGTAGTCAACATTTGAGAACTTTTTGAAGCATCGTAAAAATTCTATATTACCCTGAAAACAACATTTGATAAGTTTGTCTGTCAATGGGTCAAACTAAAAAGTATAATTTCTGAAAAATACGCATAGACACGTTAGAAATAATGGGAATAACTTAAGAATACAAGTGAGTAGAAATAGAGATGAAGCTTAGAAGAGTATCGAAGTAAACAGAATTAAGTTTCTAAGAAAGTTATGCATTTTTACGTTATCTACAGACATCTTTTTGAAGCCCGCCTGCAATATCTGGATGTATTTGTGCGCAAGGTTTGCTTGGAACTTGACTCGCCTTAGAGGTACTGCATTGGGAAACATCATATCCATGAACTGGAAGTATGCGGCACCTAACGAGAAAAATGGAGGTGGATCCGTCCCACTTTCAAGACGCCTTGAAAACACACTCACCAGTGCAGAGTTCCTCGGTTCTGGGTAGCTCAGACTGCAGGATCAAATTTGTGGAGGAAACGTTGAGAGCCATGATGAAGATGTTGCCTTCTGGTTATTAAATCGACACTGAAGAAATAATACGAATACAAAACTTGATACGATATCGGCGGGAATACTATCTCACCGAATCGATGACAAATTAACTTGCCAAACACGATGGACTTCACTTTCTTACTAAAATCACACTCTTGTAGCTGTTCTCTCGCTTAAACTCACAAAAGTAAAAAAGAAAGAAAAAAATGAAATGTATTTTTCGTTCAAGTCTTTGGTTGAAACTAAGAGGGGTTTCAAGTGAATTCAAGCTATAGCTTATCGAATTATCGTGGTCTGTAAGGAGGGAAGTGGGCTTGGTCAAATTAAAAGTCGTTGAAGATTGTCACCAAATTTGGTAGCTTTAATTTAGCTTTAATAGTCCTGAGATCTGGCTAATGTACATACATATGTATGATCAAAAGGACTCATTTTCTTCTGCTGTGATATTGTACTCCTATTCCCATTTAATATAGTTTCTTACGTATTTATATTTTGTTCATATCTTTTACTTATAGATTATAACCATTGACAACGTGAAAAACGATGAATCAACTATGCTTTTTGTTTTCAATTCAGAAGATATTTATTCAGTTTCATAATAAAAAGAAGTCGATGTATATCCGTCCCAAACCTATTAACAAAGTCAATGCACCTTCAGTGTGTTCACAAACAAATAGATCACGATTGCTGTACTTTAGTTTGTGCATACTGACTGGGTGACTTCACTAATGACAGATCAGCCCTTAGACGAGATGGCCCATGGACGTGGCGATGATACGTCTAACCAGTTCTTGATTAATAAAGAGCTGAAGAAGGAGTGCGACTTCTATTTTTCTAAATTGTGCGACATTGAGGTCCTGTAAGTTGCCTTGCTCTAGCCTTGGGCTATATAGTAGGACACCATATCTAATTGACCGAATCCTTCCCTTTCCAGCTGCCAAGAGTCAGAGGAGATCGAAGAGATGCCTATTATACAGAAAATTGTACGCATTTTGTATGCAACTGATGTACGTCACTTTCTTACTTTTACCTTTTCTGTTTGACCATTATCTTATCCTTTCGTTGTAAATTACAGGACGGATTTCTCCCCCCGACCGCTACGTCAGAGCACGAGAAGGAGAATTAAATGTAAAACTAAATATAAACTACAAAATCAATTTGCCGCCTATTCATACTCAAAGCCAAGGTGTTGACAGCTGCTGTTGTTATAAAATCCAAATTTGTCTATTCCATACATTATTTCACAGTTATTTTCTGTATTTCAACCACATAAAATAAACATAAGTATAATGCTAAAAAAATGGAATAATAAAATTGTTTTGCCGACTGTTACACTGAAGTTTGCAACGCAGTCAATGAGGCACCTCCGACTATATAAAGTATATATATTCTTGATCAGCCATGTTCGTCTGTCCGTCTGTTTGTCTGTCCGTTTCCACGCAAACTAGTCTCTCAGTTTTGAAGCTATCTGAACGAGTACTTTGCAGTTAGCCTTCTCACTTGTATATATGTATGTATGTCGGAACGGGCCGGATCGGACGACTATATCATATAGCTGCCATAGGAATGATCGCTAAAGTTTTACAAAAAAAATTACAACATTTTTAGTTTTCAGTTTTATTTTATTATTCTAAAATTTTTAAAAAATCGGACTACTATAGCTACTACTACTATATATAGCTCCCATAGGAACGATCGAGAAATTAATACAATTAAAAATCATAACTTTTTCAGTTTTTAACAGATTTTCAACAAATTTAAGCTATAGCCATTTCATATTAATTTACAATCTTGTGTAATCATATGGTGCCATACAACCCTGCAGTATCTGTCATCAATAATTCATCAACGTTTCATCAACAGTCAAGGGGGTGCTGTTGATTTTTTATCGATGACAGGCCAATGAAACTGTTGATTTATTTAACATGGGCATGCCCTAGGCTGTCATCAATAAAAATTCATCAATAATTAATCGATGATTCATCAACAATTCATCATCAATTCATCGATGATTCATCAAAAATTCATCGATGTTTCATCAACAAATATCTCAACGGCCGGGCCATGGTACTGCCGATGACTACCGCCGTAACTGTATCGTGGGCAGAGCGTCGTAGTAGAAGTCGCGCTCGACAGAGCGTCGCCTCGGTAGAGGTCGCAGTCATCAGTCATCAACGCGCCGATGACAGTGGCCTATTGATGACACGCGGTACTGCAGGGAAACGATGATGCGTTAGATATAGAGGAAAAATGCAAATCTGTGAATTTTAAACGGTAAATATAATATGTATCATGTATCATTGTTTTTTGATAAAAATATTTATAACTTACATAAATTGTATTGATTTCTAGTCATCGAAGTTCTATCTGCAAGGGTATATAAACTTCCGCGGGACGAAGTTAGCTTCCTTTCTTGTTTTTAAATAAATAAAATATTTTCTAAATTTTTCGCTTAACAGAAACGAAAGAGAGGTTTCCGAAAATTAAAATTAAAAAATTGAGTTGACATTACACTTGATTAATGCTAGGCCCCGATAAAATTAATTCTGAATACCCGGCATTATGTTGCAGGACTTTCATCTCTGTCCTTGGCTACGAGAGCTTATTAAAATCTTGAACAGGAAAGTAAGCTAAACGGATTATCATGCATCTTTCCAAGAATCTAACTCAATATTCCAATAAAGTTAAAATATGTATAAAAGTTATCATCAAATTTTGTTAAATGTTAATGTTAAAATGTATAGTATCTAAGATATTTTAGGTGGACCCTAAGAAAGTAAGAAAGTAGGCCTTGAGAGTTTTGCATATAAAATAGTAATTTGATTGAACTCCATATAAATTATTATCAAAACCTAAAAAGAAATAAACGAAAAAATACATTAGACATTTAAGTTTAAGCGAGAGAACAGCTACAAGAGGTGTTTTAGTAAGAGAACAGATCAACACAGTTGGTAAGTGAAGTCCATCGTGATTGGCAAGTGAAGTTGTGCTCGATTCGAAAAAAAATCTTTGTACTCGTTTCATTTCTTCAGTGTCGACTTAGAAACCAGAAGACAAAACATTTATCATGGTTGTCAACGTATACTCCACAAATGTGACCACAGAGAATCTTTCACGCCACGAAATGCTGGCATGGGTTAACGATTGCCTGAAATCGAATTTTTCCAAAATCGAGGAGCTATGCACGGGTAAGTGTGTGCCAAAGTCGTATGGAAAGCGTTCCTATTTTGACGGAGTTACCTCCTCCTTTTTTATTAGGTGCGACATACTGCCAGTTTATGGACATGCTGTTTCCCAATTCAGTGCCCCTAAAACGTGTCAAATTCCGAACAAATCTTGAGCACGAGTACATTCAAAACTTCAAGTTACTGCAGGCAAGCTTCAAAAAGATGTCTGTAGATAAGGTAAAATGTATATTTCTGGTTTATTCGACATCTTTTTAAGTTAGCTTTCTTCCTTGTTCTACTTACCTGTATTCATTTCTTGATTGCATTGCATTTGGCGTTAATGCGTATTTTTCATGTCTTTTACTTTAGATTATACCCATTGATAAACTGATCAAAGGCCGCTTCCAAGATAATTTAGAATTTTTAGTGCGGCCCGCGAAGGTGCCCCTATGGTTTTTGCTTCCGTAGGAGGCGGCAGCTCACGGCGTGTTCCTTCGACATCGAGACGTCCTGCAGGGACATCTGCGGACACTGCGACAGATCACCCCAGTGAAGGGACAACCGATGGAGGTGGCGATAATACGCCTGACCTGTTTACGCATTTTTATGCGACTGATGTAAGTGATTTCCTTACGTTCATCAATCATCTTATCCTAACATTGTCCATTTCAGGAAGGATTTTCTCCCCCGAACGCAGTCAGAAGAGGAAGAGTATTAATTTAAACTTAAAAGCACACCACGAAACCAATTTGCCGCCTATTCATACTCAAAGACATGGTGTTGAAAACTGTAGTACAATACTTAAAAAAACATATGCTAAATAAAATGTTTTGCTATACATCATTTGTGGATCGATTTTCGAGTGGATGATGCACAAAAATTTATCATGAGAATGCCATTACCGATATATTCAGATGAACAACAAATCAATGCATTTCACATCGGCACAGTTTATGTTTTAAACAATGACAATAACAAGCATGGTTCTCGGGTTGGCGAAAGAATATTAGTTGGGTAGGGGATACTGAGATATGTTATAAATAACTTTAAACTAAATTAAGGTTTAGTATTACACAAGTTGGAAAGCGAAAGGCTAGTGTGACCGATTGTGTGATTCCCTGTAAGCAATGTGGGCGATCGGACATGGATAATTCAGTATGTCTAATTATACCGCGGACTTGCTTCTTAGCAAAAAGGATTTCCGCCGACTGTCCGCTGGGACACCATGCCCCACTTCATCTTCCGGTATACAGGACGTCTTCCGGATACAGGATCTCTTCTTCCTCCTCGTTTATCTAGAGGACTGCACATTTGTAACCCTGCATGGGTATTGAAGTCGTAAGGTGCAGTACCTTCCAGTCCGACCGCTCTCCTTGGATAGCAATAGGGAAGAGTGCCTTCTCCTTTGGAATGGACTAAATTTGCTCCCTATCGACCACCTCCACCCTGCCGAACTCCCACAGAGTTTCCAGTTGGCAGACGCTTTGCTTTAGCCATTTTTTCATCGAGTCTTCCATGCCTATTAGGATTTTACCACCCTGCAGCATCAAAAGTAGGCATGTCTTCCACATGGCTTCTGTCAATGATTGATCAAATGTCGATTGCATCATAGAATCATAAGTCGATCACAAATGTATCAGTCAGCAAAACAATTTTATTATACGATATTTCTAGAACTATACTTTGAGTACTTTATATTATTTTAATATGCTCAAATGTATTGAATAGACAAAGTTAGATTACATAACAACAGCAGCTGTAAACACCTTGGCTTTGGATATGAATAGGCGGCAAATTGATTTCGTGGTGTGCTTTTTAGTTTAAATTAATACTCTTCCTCCTCTGACTTGGCGTTCGGGGGAGAAAACCCTTCCTGAAAAGGACAATGTTAGGATAAGACGATTGCTGAACGTAAGGAAAAGACTTACATCAGTCGCATACAAAATGCGTAAAATGTGCTGTATAATCGGCATCCCTTCGATCTCCTCGGATTCTTGACAACTGGAAAGAGAAGGGTTCAGTCGATTAGATCAGGTTAGCTCCTACTATGTAGTCCTTGACCAGAGCAAGGCAACTTACAGGACCTCAATGTCGCGTAATTTAGAAAAGTAGAAGTCGCGCTCCTTCTTCAGCTCTACGATACTAGCCAACAGGTCAGGCGTATTATCGCCACCTCCATCGGTTGTCCCTTCACTGGGGTGATCTGTCGCAGTGTCCGCAGATGTCCCTGCAGGACGTCTCGATGTCGAAGGAACACGCCGTGAGCTGCCGCCTCCTACGGAAGCAAAAACCATAGGGGCACCTTCGCGGGCTGCACTGGCATCGTAGTCCCTGCCTTTGTAGTTGGCATGGAAGAACTTTTTAAACCATTGTAAAAATTCTAAATTATCTTGGAAGCGGCCTTTGATCAGTTTATCAATGGGTATAATCTAAAGTAAAAGACATGAAAAATACGCATTAACGCCAAATGCAATGCAATCAAGAAATGAATACAGGTAAGTAGAACAAGGAAGAAAGCTAACTTAAAAAGATGTTGAATAAACCAGAAATATACATTTATACATTTTTACCTTATCTACAGACATCTTTTTGAAGCTTGCCTGCAGTAACTTGAAGTTTTGAATGTACTCGTGCTCAAGATTTGTTCGGAATTTGACACGTTTTAGGGGCACTGAATTGGGAAACAGCATGTCCATAAACTGGCAGTATGCCGCACCTAATAAAAAGGAGGAGGTAACTCCGTCAAAATAGGAACGCTTTCCATATGACTTTGGCACACACTTACCCGTACATAGCTCCTCGATTTTGGAAAAATTCGATTTCAGGCAATCGTTAACCCATGCCAGCATTTCGTGGCGTGAAAGATTCTCTGTGGTCACATTTGTGGAGTATACGTTGACGGCCATGATAAATGTGTTGTCTTCTGGTTTCTAAGTCGACACTGAAGAAATGAAACGAGTGCAAAGATTTGATTCTAGCTCGCAGAAAATACTATCTCCTCCAATCACACACAACTTCACTTGCCAATCACGATGGACTTCACTTACCAACTGTACTGATCAGTTTTCTTACTAAAAAACCTTGTAGCTGTTCTCACGAAATAAAAAAAAATTAATGTATTTCTTTCGTTTATTACGTCTAGTGTTGCTTGGCTAAAACTTATAATAGTTACGAGTGAATTTCTATTTGAGAGGCAAAACTCTCATGGCATACTTTTCTGTTTTTGTCAGACTGTAAAATATAGTTCGTGGGAACCACCTGATACTGTATTTTGTATCAGCATCACCTGCCAAGTTTATTTAGCTATGTGAAGCAGCAGATCTCTTTAATTAATAAACTGGACATCTATAACTAACTTCATTCTTTTGGATAACATAAATATATAATTTGTACCTATTTTTTGTTTTTTGTACTATTCCAAAGGGTTATGACGTTAAACCCTTTTATGCTATAATACCCCCATAGGAAGAAACTTATAAACATACACAAAAAAAAGAAACTATAAATATTAAAGCTACTTAATTTGGTGACAATTTTCAGATCTGTTGCATGCAGATCAAGTTTGTTAAATAATTTGACTAAGCTCACTTTCGCCCTATTAAATCACTGTAATTGAGGGGTTTTGAGTTTGGGTTAAAAAAATGTCAATTAATATCACGTAATGAGAGCTGTGCGGAAGTACTCTAAAAAAGTGGTAAATAGGGAGTTATTTGAGTTTTATGAAGACCATCGCCAAATATTTCGATAGTTTTTCGATTTTCTTAATGATCATTAAAATATTTAAGTTCTAAAAATATTTTTTCTTTATATAAGTATGAATGTAAGCATTCGCTGAAATAAGCTATATTAAAGGAAATACAAATAATCTATTTAAGTGAAGCAGAATAACTAGCATCCCATACATAGTTTGTTTCTCTTCAGTACCGTCGTCATTTAATATTGTAAAATTAGGTAAAATAAAGGTCGATATGGTTTATTAAGAACCGCTCTAAAATGCTTAAAAAACACAGGTTAAAGCTGTAAGCAAATATACCTTTTTGTGTCCCTTATATCCAAAATGTATATAGTAAATTAAACTTGAATTACTGTAAAAATTATTATTGGCATTTATTTCACAATATTATATGGCAATTAAATTTAACTTTAACGTAATTACTATGACTTGAGTTTGTTGTTTTATTAGAATTTTTATAAAGTACCATAGGTATGAAGACAAATGAGTTCTATATTGACGTAAATATGAGCATGAAATATGGAAGTATCCAAAGTATCAAGCTGTTCCAAAAGATATTTCAAAAGCAATGGATCTTAGTTAGCTTGGGACATTTGCGTAATGGTCCACCAAGCACAGTCGATTGTATCGGCGTCTAATTTAGACGATTTGATGATAGATTGATGAACATTGATACATTGAGATGTGATGATAACCATTTTAGGATTGATTTTCTCGTTAAGGGTTCCCTCTCCGGTCGAAACCCATGATAGTCCATGATAGTTGCATAACTATTCAACATGTTTCAGTGCTTCTTTCCAACTGTTACCGTGCTCTGACCTATCGCATTCACGATTGCTTGGGATGCTGAACGGGTGGCGGGGGCGCTGGCTTGAAGCACTGGAGCAGGAAGGCTGTGTAGATGACAAAGGCCACTGCCAGGGCGATCAGGGCGTACATGAAGATGTTTAGCTCGGGCTGCCGGAAGCGGTTCTTGCGCAGCCATTCCAGCACCTCATCCTCGGAGAGAAGGTCACCTTGAAAATGAGATGTGGATGTCAGTGGAGCTCTCATATTTTATCATTGGGAGTCCTGACTTACCCCTGTATATGCTGGGGAATCGCCGGCGGAAGTAGACCATTGCCGGCAGTTTGGTGACTCCCCACTTCTTGGCGTAGCGTGAGTCGGCCATCTTAACAAAAGTTATATCCAGGTTATCTGTCTCGCTGTCGATGTTTTCGAGCTTTTCGAGAGCTGCCGAGCTGTCTGGTTGGTTGTGCTCATCTAAGGAGAGGGGTTGGACTGTAATTTGCAATTTAGAATTCACTTTATTTTACTTACAGAAGAACACTGATAAGAACTCGTTCTCCTCAAGAAGCTTGTCAAGCATTTTACGGTTAACTTCTTCGATTTCGTTTTTAATTTCGAATACGTCCTGGGAGGTCAGCCAGGTTATGACTTTGTCGTGTTGATGCATATCGCCATCATAGAGCACGGGCACTTGTTTTCTAGAATTAACAAAGACTAATTCACACGTCCGGCTAAGCTAAGGTTTATCGAGAACCAACCGGAAGTAAACCAGGGAAGGTATGTTGACAATTTCGTATTTCTTGGCTGCTTCGATGCTGGCAATCTTTACAAAGTCAATTCCAAACATGTCGGCTTCACCGTCGATCTCCTCTAATTCCTCCAAAATCTCCTCACACTCCGCACAGTCATCGTCATCTTAACGAAATAATGTCTTAGGATTGGGGTTAAAAGTAAGCGTTAGAAGAAAACTTACAGAAGAAAACGACTAAGAGAGTGGACTCGGCCATTAGACGGTCCAGCATGCGCTCGTTGACCTCCTCGATTTCATCAGCCAACTCCCGGTTGTCGTCATCAATAAGCCATTCCAGTACTGACTGCTCATTCTGCAGGTCACCCTCAAAGAGTAAGGGATTTCCATTGCTGTGGGCCAGTTTATGGGGTTATCATGATATACTAGTTAGATATTACTCAATATATTTACCGGAAGTAAACCAAGGCCGGGAAAGTCTTAATCGAATACCGCTTGGCAAGTTGTGGGTCCTGGATCTTCACCATGTGAATACCGAACACATCGCATTCATCATCGATCAGCTCCAGACCCTCCAATATCTGGTCGCAGATGTTGCAGTTAATTTTGTCTGATGAAATAAGTCGACTTGGTAAGTAACATCATAAGGTAGAGTGAGTATTTGAAATTTTGTGGCAAGCTTGAGAGTCGGTTAGCGATTTTGTGAGAGGCAAAGAAAACGCCGTAAAAATAAGGTATTCGCGTCCAAACTAAATTTCCATGAGTTGCAAAATACATTAGATTAAATATGGTCGATCGATCTATCCGTGCCCGAACTCTATGATTTTACTCAACTGCCGAAGAAGACATTATTAAACGCAATGAATACAATTTAGTTTGGTCGTAATACGAGGAAAGCCTGGTTAAGAGCAGTCAAGAGTCGTTTCTGGACATAGAACAGAGCTCCTAAAAGTGGTTAGACGTAGTTAGGACTCAATCAAACATGCGCAGTCGGTGGTGTGCACACGAAATACGGAATACGAATACCTTGTTTTGCGATACGTTTTCTTTTACGTGAGATGTAGTTTTGTACGAATTGACTGGATGAGTGTTTTGTGGATTTGGTGGTGGTGGTCAGGTTGCTTTCTTTAAGACTAGAGGGGAGCAGAAACTGCGGCAGAAAGCGGGTTGCTTTCCCTTGCGCTCAGGCGGCACTGAGGGTGGTACGTTCGGGTTCAGGTTCGGTTCAGATTTTTAAGTCAGGGACAGTTTTGTGGATTGTGTTCGATGGAGTGTTGGGGTCGGGGATACAGATACAATAACAATAATTCAGAATGTGTGAGATCATGAGTAGGTGCTTCTGGGAGACATTTGACAAATTAAGCTACTCACAGAAGTACACGGCCAGGTACTGCGTCTCCTCCACCATGGTCTCAAGCATTTGGCGGGTTATAAGTTCGATGCGATCCTCGGTCTTCTGTGTGATCAACCACTGAAGCACCTCCTCCTCTTCGCTGAGTTCGCCTACCCAAAAAATAGATTACTAAGACTAAAAGGGACTGAAATGGGACTTGCGTACCCTCAAAGACATTGGGTATTCCACCCTCAAAGTAGACCAGAGCCGGGTACTCGTGCACTCCATAGCCATCGGCCACGGAGAAGTCTCTGGTCTTTACGAAGGTTATGCCATGCTTGTCGCAGTCGTCGTCAATGTTCTCCAGCTCCTCTAGTACCTTGGTGCACTGCTCGCAGCCGTCCGCATCTGGCAGTCAAGGTTGGATTACACTCATTATTCAACACTCACAATACACACGGGAAACGGTGATATATAGGGTTCTACGACAAGCACTAAACGTTTATATGTAAGGCAGAGTAACAGCAAGAGTGGACATTGACATTGGGAATATGGCAGATTGTGCAGCTAAGATACAATACATAAGTCCTGACTCCACGGCACGCTCGTGTCCTTCATCGAAACTTAAAAATCTCCATGATTACTGGACGAGCACACGTGGAATCAGCAGAGTTGGCGATGATGTGTGAGTAAGTTTCAGTGGACCAGACTATTACGTAGTACACAACAAGCAACACAAAGCACAGAATCGAGCATAGGGTACGACTGGAAGTGCATAGTGAAGAGATAGAGAGAGTCTAGAGAAGGTTTCGGGAGTCACTGAGAAACAGAGAGAAACCAGAGAAACAATGAGATAGAGGGGGAGACTGGATTTCGCTACGCCGGATCACTTATGGAGGTTTGTACGTTCACTTTACAAGGCGGATGTGGATGCGTGGTGTGTTTCTGGTGGTGCTGGGTTATGTGGAAAAACATTCTTGGACTCATTCCAGTTGCACGACTTCTACTCGGAAAGATGATGCACTACCATCTTCTTGCTTTCCAGCCGATGCGTCCGGTGGTGCAGATGCACCTGCTGGCGCAGACGGTGCATCCGAGGCCGCTGGCGACCCATCCGCCCCGCCAGCAGCCGCCTCGGAAGGATCCGCCTCACTGCCGAAGGCGGCAGCGGCGCTGGCGGCTCCGCCCTCCTGCTGGTGCTGATCGCGCTCCTTTTTCAGACGCGCCTTGCGCGCCGCTTTGGAATTGCAAATGTCGCACTTTGTCTTGTTCCCTACGTTTTGGTTTTGTGTGGTTCGGTTTGATAGTTCAGAGAGCGCAGTCGTAAATAGAAATATAAACAAAGTCTTTTTGGGTTAGATACACAGAGCTTATAAGCCTAAAATAACTTAAAACCTAGATGGTTAACTACAATTACACAGAGTTCGCTGCAAACTGTTTGCGCAAAAGCGTGATTGTCAATTCCACAAAGTGCATTTTTGACAAATGGTACAGAGTGTTAACGATTTTCGTGATGCAATTTTTCTTTTAAATTTGAATGTATTCCTTTCAGGATGAACGAAAACAGAACATCGACATTGTTTGGACATTGTTTTTTGTGGAAATTGAAATCACCAAACC